TATTGGTTGTTAGCCACCCTGAGCCCGGTCTTGGCTGGGGAGGGCGGGGTATAAATATTATTATTATATATAAATATTATTATTATTATTATTATTATTATTATTATTTAGAGCATTTGTACCCCTCTCTTAAGCCAAAAAGGCTCCAAGAGAGCCTTCCATGAAATCAAATGCAAGAAACTCCCTAATGGCAGACTTCTATTGTAAGAATCAATCTGACCAACAGAACACACAAGGAAAGGGGGCAAGGAGGGCAGAGGAAAAGACAACTCACAAGCTCAGGCCCCAGTGTCTAGAATGCTGTTCTCATCTCTCCCACTGAGGCAGCCTGCTGAAATGGCTGCCGCCAGACGACAGTTGGGGAAGAGGAGACCTGAGGGAGCTGGCCTGTCTCAGCAGAGCCCATGGCGTTGTTTCTCATCCGTCCTTCCTCCGCCAGGGCTCCTGTCTCTCCCTTGCCTGCACCTGGGAGCAGCCCTTTCCTGTGATGGACTCTGTGGACAGGTGGGCAGCAGGGCTCCCTGCCTCAGCTCTGCAGAAAAACCAGCTCCACCCGGTACCCCCTTCCCCTGAACTGCGCCAGCCAGTCACACTTTCTTTTCTTCTTCTGTTTTACCCTTCCAAACTATAGTACAAAGATAACATCCAGCATGTATAAATAGAAATGAAGTCTCTTCCAGATTCACATGTACATAAATCAGAAGGAATCCTCTCTTCAAAATAATATTCAATCGACTTCAATATAGGACACTGAATTTCCCTTTTTGGCATTCCTTCTCCCCTTCCAAAAACTTGGGCAAAGCTCAACCCTTTCTTTGACTTTGGATAGCTCTTTGCCTAACTTGGTGATACCATTAATCTAGGTTCCAGATGCCGATGATGCGGTAATTCTATCTAGAACCCCCATTGGACTCAAAAGAGCACTAAGAAAGCTCGCAGCATCCTGTGAATCTGAATGTCTCGAAATCAACTATCAAAAGACCAAGATACTCGCTTTTGGGGGAAAACCAAAGCTTAGAAGCTGGGAATTCCAAGGCCATAAATTAGAACAAGTCACAAACTACAAGTATCTAGGAATGGTGGTACAGGCCTCAGGAACCAACAAACTACACATAAACTCCATTGGGAGTTCAGCGGGGGGGAAAAACGCAAATTGTATCCTTAAATTCTTCAGAGCACAAGGGGGCTTCTTCGTTCCCGCAGCTCTAAAATTTTACAAGGCCAAAACTTTGGCACAACTCCTCTATGGTTCCTTCTTGGGCCCACCTTCCTCTGCTTTCTCACCCCTTGAGCGAGTTCAATCTAGACTTCTTAGAGCTCTCCTCCAAGTCCCCAGATGCATGGATTAGATTGGAAACGGGGATGATGAGAGTGGAGGCTAGCATCTGCCTAACATCAATCTACAAATGGCTGACATTGAATCTGCTCCCCCAAGGGATAGCCCCTTTGATCCTCTGTGACCAATTCCAGTCGGGCTGGCAGACTGCAGTCCTGAACCCGCCCCCGGAAACTGGATTTTGCCCCTCAAGCTCTTCTAAGTTGTGGGATGTAAACACAGGAGCAGTCAATGACAACATTCCTAGAGTGTACATGTTAGAACATGGGGAGGGATGTCTGTCCAGCAAGCAGGTAAACTTCCTGGAGGCGGACTTCCTCCGCATGTGACCAGAGGTGGGTGTGGCCTCACCTGTGCAGGTAATGACAAAAGCACAGGGCAGGCAGCCATCTCTCTCTCTCTGCCATTTTCCTTCGATGAGGAAACATCTAAGGATGCCCTCTTGGCTCTCAGCCAAGAGAGGAGATAAGGACTATCTTGCTACAAGATAGATTCTGAATGTATGTAACCTTTTAAGCTGTCTGCCTTCTGGGATCATATTGTGAACAGAACGTGAGTAAACTCTTTTATACTTTTATAAAGACTGTGTCGTGTCTTGTATTTTAAGAGGGAACAAAAGGGAAATTACCAGAGTAATTATTATAGAGGTTCTAGCGAACCTGTGCACACGTTACCGTTGCGAACTTAAAGGGGAATGTTTATAAACTCTGCTGATATTTTGGGAACTTGTTAGCACAAGTTGGATAAGGATATAATTAGTCAATATATCCTCTCCTGCACCCCAGAACATTCCCACATAAGTCTGGGCTTGGGCCAGGCAAAAGCTACGGTCAGGCAAAGAATATTAGACACCGAGAGAAAGCAGGACTGTGCAAGGTGCCCCGACTATAGAATTGGAGAAATCGAGAGAGATATAGCCGCACCAGCAGCGTATCTCTTCTTTCTTGTATCTAGGGATGCAAGAAGAGCCTTTACACTCGCCAGAAGCTCGGCTCTTCCCTCGCTGGTCCTGGATGGAGCCTTTAGAAGGGTCCCGTATGCTCAGAGAGTTTGCACCTGTCCACTGGGAGAGATAGGAAGCCCAGAACACTTGTTCTTTGTTGTTGTTGTTTAGTCATTTAGTCGTGTCTGACTCTTCGTGGCCCCATGGACCAGAGCACTCCAGGCACTCCTGTCTTCCACTGCCTCCCGCAGTTTGGTCAGACTCATGTTTGTAGTTTCGAGAACACTGTCCAACCACAAAAGTATATATCTGTGGCTTAGGAGAAAAGGCGCATTAAAAATGCGTTGTTGTTGTTTAGTCGTGTCCGACTCTTCGTGACCCCATGGACCAGAGCACGCCAGGCACTCCTGTCTTCCACTGCCTCCTGCAGGTTCATCAAATTCATGTTGGTAGTTTCGAGAACACTGTCCAACCATTTTGTCCTCTGTCGTCTCCTTCGCCTTGTGCCCTCAATCTTTCCCAACAACAGGGTCTTTTCCAGGGAGTCTTCTCTTCTCATGAGGTGGCCAAAGTATTGGAGCCTCAGCTTCACGATCTGTCCTTCCAATGAGCACTCAGGGCTGATTTCCTTAAGAATGGATGCATTTGATCTTCTTGCAGTCCATGGGACTCTCAAGAGTCTCCTCCAGCACCAGAATTCAAAAGCATCAATTCTTCGGCGATCAGCCTTCTTTATGGTCCAGCTCTCACTTCCATACATCACTACTGGGAAAACCATAGCTTTAACTATACAGACCTTTGTTGGCAAGGTGATGTCTCTGCTTTTTAAGATGCTGTCTAGGTTTACCATCGCCTTTCTCCCAAGGAGCAGACGTCTTTTAATTTCGTGACTGCTGTCACCATCTGCAGTGATCATGGAGCCCAAGAAAGTAAAATCTCTCACTGCCTCCATTTCTTCCCCTTCTATTTGCCAGGAGGTGATGGGCCCAGTGGCCATGATCTTCGTTTTTTTGATGTTGAGCTTCAGACCATATTTTGCACTCTCCTCTTTCACCCTCATTAAAAGGTTAATTCCTCTTCACTTTCTGCCATCAGGGTTGTGTCATCTGCATATTGTTGATATTTCTTCCGGCGATCTTAATTCCGGCTTGGGATTCATCCAGCCCAGCCTTTCGCATGATGAATTCTGCATATAAGTTAAATAAGCAGGGAGACAATATACAGCCTTGCCGTACTCCTTTCCCAATTTTGAACCAATCAGTTGTTCCATATCCAGTTCTAACTGTAGCTTCTTGTCCCACATAGAGATTTCTCAGGAGACAGATGAGGTGATCAGGCACTCCCATTTCTTTAAGAACTTGCCATAGTTTGCTGTGATCGACACAGTCAAAGGCTTTTGCATAGTCAATGAAGCAGAGGTAGATGTATTTCTGGAACTCTCTAGCTTTCTCCATAATCCAGCGCATGTTTGCAATTTGGTCTCTGGTTCCTCTGCCCCTTCGAAATCCAGCTTGCACTTCTGGGAGTTCTCGGTCCACATACTGCTTAAGCCTGCCTTGTAGAATTTTAAGCATAACCTTGCTAGCGTGTGAAATGAGTGCAATTGTGCAGTAGTTGGAGCATTCTTTGGCACTGTCCTTCTTTGGGATTGGGATGTAGACTGATCTTCTCCAATCCTCTGGCCACTGCTGAGTTTTCCAAATTTGCTGGCATATTGAATGTAGCACCTTAACAGCATCATCTTTTAAAATTTTAAATAGTTCAGCTGGAATATCATCACTTCCACTGGCCTTGTTATTAGCAGTGCTTTCTAAGGCCCATTTGACTTCACTCTCCAGGATATCTGGCTCAAGGTCAGCAACCACACTACCTGGGGTATACGAGACATCCATTTCTTTCTGGTATAGTTCCTCTGTGTATTCTTGCCACCTCTTCTTGATGTCTTCTGCTTCTGTTAGGTCCTTTCCACTTTTGTCTTTTATTATGGTAATCTTTGTACAAAATGTTCCTTTCATATCTCCAATTTTCTTGAACAGATCTCTGGTTTTTCCCATTCTATTGTTTTCCTCTATTTCTTTACATTGCTCGTTTAAGAAGGCCTTCTTGTCTCTCCTTGCTATTTTTTTTGGAAATCTGCATTCAATTTCCTGTATCTTTCACTATCTCCCTCGCATTTTGCTTGCCTTCTCTCCCCCGCTATTTGTAAGGCCTCGTTGGACAGTCACTTTGCTTTCTTGCATTTCCTTTTCATTGGGATGGTTTTAGTTGCTGCCTCCTGTATAATGTTACGAGCCTCCATCCTTAGTTCTTCAGGCACTCTGTCCAGCAAATCTAAATCCTTAAACCTGTTCCTCACTTCCACTGTGTATTCATAAGGGATTTGACTTAGATTGTATCTTACCGGCCCAGTGGTTTTTCCTACTTTCTTCAGTTTAAGCTTGAATTTTGCTATAAGAAGCTAATGATCTGAGCCACAGTCAGCTCCAGGTCTTGTTTTTGCTGACTGTATAGAGCTTCTCCATCTTTGGCTGCAGAGAATATAATCAATCTGATTTCGATGCTGCCCATCTGGTGATGTCCATGTGTAGAGTCGTCTCTTGTGTTGTTGGAAAAGAGTGTTTGTGATGACCAGCTTCTTCTCTTGACAGAACTCTATTAGCCTTTGCCCTGCTTCGTTTTGAACTCCAAGGCCAAACTTGCCAGTTGTTCCTTTTATCTCTTGACTCCCTACTTTAGCATTCCAATCCCCTATAATGAGAAGAACATCCTTCTTTGGTGTCATTTCTATAAGGTGTTGTAGGTCTTCATAGAACTGGTCAATTTCAGTTTCTTCAGCACCAGTGGTTGGTGCATAAACTTGGATTACTGTGATGTTAAAAGGTCTGCCTTGGATTCGTATCGAGATCATTCTATCATTTTTGAGATTGCATCCCAGTACAGCTTTTGCCACTCTTTTGTTGACTATGAGGGCCACTCCATTTCATTTACAGGATTCTTGCCCACAGTAGTAGATATGATGGTCATCCGAACTGAATTTGCCCATTTCTGTCCATTTTAGTTCACTGATGCCCAGGATGTCAATATTTATTCTTGCCATCTCATTTTTGACCACATCCAACTTACCCAGGTTCATGGTTCTTACATTCCAGGTTCCTATGCAATATTTTTCTTTTCTTTACAGCATTGGACTTTCCTTTCGCTTCCAGGCATATCCGCAACTGAGCGTCCTTTCGGCTTTGGCCCAGCCGCTTCATCAGCTCTGAATCTACTTGTACTTGTCCTCTGCTCTTCCTCAGTAGCATGTTGGACGCCTTCCAACCTGAGGGGCTCATCTTCCAGCGTCATAACTTTTATATGCCTGTTGTCTTTGTCCATGGAGTTTTCTTGGCAGGAATACTGGAGTGGCTTGCCGGTTCCTGCTCCAGGTGGATCATGTTTGGTCAAAACTCTCCACTATGACCTGTCCATCTTGGGTGGCCCTGCACGGCATAGCTCATAGCTTCTCTGAGTTATTCAAGCCCCTTCGCCATGGCAAGGCAGTGATCCATGAAGGGGACTTGTTCTTTAGATGTCCCTTTTATGAAGAGGCACGTAGTAAGATCATGGATCCCCTACTGGTGAGGTTCACCGACCTCCCGCAAAAACAAAAATTTGACCTTTTGCTGTTAGGCAAAGAGCAGAAGATGACCTGGATGGTCGCCAGATTCTGTGTACAGATCTGTAGGCGCAGACCATCGCCCAACTCAAAATAGTCCGGCATGAAAAGCCCTGACTCTGAGTCAACTCCCTGGGATAGTTTATTGTTGTACATTTGTAGTGAAGTTAAGGATTTCAAACTTTGGTCAAGAAAGGAGCAGAGTATGGTGGGTAATCAAAAAGCCACAAGAGTTATGGGAAAGAGGTCTGTTGCTTTAACCCTACAGACCGACAGTCTCCAAATGTGTAAATTGTTATCTTAGGAAGGAAGTTCTCTAGTTTGATTTGGGGGCTTGACACCTGGGGCTCCAGCTATTCACACCCACCTAGTCTTGTTATCAGTCTTTTAATTACCTGGGAATGTGCATCTGTGAAACATCTGAGGAAAGGGGTGAGCCCTTTGATCCAGGTTCTGGGAACTTAATGAGCTCAGCTGTCACAAGTTAAAATTATTAGCCCATAAGCTGCTCATTGGTGAATTTGAATGTAATCAAGAATTGTGATTGGGTCTGGGTTCTGGTTCCACGTGAGATTTGTGAGTAAAGATCCTAAAAATGGCTGAAAAAGCGCGCTCTGCAACCTGCGATTCGCCTGGCTGTTAGCGTACCACCTTGCTGGCAGCTGTCCTGTGTCTCTTTGTAATGGAGATTCCTGCTGACTTTGTAATGCGGATCTACTGAAGGACTTTGAAACTATCCTATCTCTGTCTTTGTTCTTAGAAGTGAGTATCTTAGTTAGCTATACTAAACAATGTCTTTATTTTATCTGTCCGCAAGATACAAAAGATGTGCCTGCTTTTTAAGCATGTTAACTTTGTGTTTTTTAAAATAAATTTAAAAAAAAGAAACTTTCTTTTGTCTTATGTGCCAATCTGAGGGAAAATCTAAGTCCATCGCCTGACTACCGTATTTTTCGCACCATAGGGCGCACCGGACCATAGGGCGCACCTAGTTTTGGGAGGCGGAAAACAAGAAAAAATTATTCTGAACCCCAGAAGCCAGAACAGCAAGAGGGATCTGGCTTCTGGGATACCGTGCGGCTGTTCTGGCTTCTGGGATAACCGCGCCAAGCCTCTTCAGGGCAGCGGGATGAAGGCTCCCCCTGCCCGAAGAGGCTGCGCAGGGCTAAGGCAGAAGCCAGGACAGGCGTGTCGCTGAAGGGGCGCTGCGCCTTCTCTCTCTCTGCGCAGCGCCTCTCCTTCACAGGGGTCCCTTCTGTTCCTCCTCCGGCTTCCAGGACAGGCGCGTCGCTCAAGGGGTGCTGCACCTTCTCCCTCTCTGTGCAGCGCCTCTCCTTCACAGGAGAGGCACTGCGCAGAGAGGGAGAAGGCGCAGCGCCCCTTTAGCAAAGCTGGAGGCCTCCGGCTTCCAGGTCAGGCAAGCCGCCGTGAAGCCAAGGAGCCTACATTCGCTCCATAGGACGCACACACATTTCCCCTTCATTTTTGGAGGAGGAAAAGTGCTTCCTATAGAGCGAAAAATACGGTACTTGGTTACGCTATACCTGATGAGTTTCTGCCTGCAAGTTTGTGGAAGCAGCTTGCAGAGTGGGGCAACCGGAAACAAAGGAGCATAGTCTTCTCCCTTGGACTGTGCCTCCTGGTGCCCTGAGACGAGGGAGTGGTGGCAGCATTACCTTTTCTGTTGTGTTGTGTTTTGTCAAAAAGTAAATGGCTGCCGGCCTCCGTTCCAGAAACCTGACCCAGCTGGAGGGTAAGGGCAGGTGAGGGAGGGGCGAGTGGCCGGAGCCCCTTTACTACAACAAATTATTTCTCAATTTATTGTTGTACATTGTTTCAATTGTCTGTTTTAACCATATTTGCACAGCAGTTTCTAATGTTGTGAGTTGTCCTCTATTTCAGAGGCTTCTACTCTGCAGCCTCTTATAGTTGTTTTAACTGCAAGTCTTTTAGTTCTTATGCTCTTACAGTTGTTTTAACTGCGTGTCTTTGTTTTTTAGTTCTTATCTGTTTTAATTATCAGTTTTTATCCATCCATTATCCGTGTTTAATCTTGTATTTTATTCAAATATTTTTGTTGGCTATTTGCAGTTTAGTAGCGCTGCAGAGAGCTTGCTGGGGAGACCATGCATTAAAAAGGGACTCAAAAATAACTTAAACAAGGTTCTAATAACAAAAACAAAAACTCCTTATACACTAAACACATCAACAACAAACCAGACCCAACCACCAACCCATCCCCCAGGGTAATGGGAGCTAGGTGCTGCTCCTTATATACTACACCCAATTGCTGACACAGCTTGATTAACACAACTCAGCAGCACCTGCTATGTTTCACAGCTGTAAGACCAGGTCTTGTTATTTGCCCTGGCCCTTAAAGACATACACAAAGCCACTTCCGGCCTGCCCAGGAGGTGGGGTTGCGGGCTTCACGCCCACCCCCACGTGAGCGGGGGCTGGTTTCAGCCCCCGCGAGAGCAGGGGAATCCCGGCCGTGTCTGCCCTATTTAGGGCTGGCGCAGAGGGGGCTCACCCTCTTTTCGCCAGCTAGCCGCCACGTTTTCCCGCCCTCCCTCCCTTTAGGTAGGTCTCTGACTTTGCTATGGACTTCGGTCTGTTGCCGCATGGGACATGGTAGGAATTTTTCCCAATTGGCAATTTACAGCCATTTGGTTTTTCGCCTACCTCGTAGCAACTCGTCACAACTCTTCGGCATTGGCGGTAGGCATTGGTAAGAAGGGGTTAAGAGGAGGGGGGGGACGCCATCACCTCCCCCCAGTGAGCGAAGGGTGGTCCGTTAAAGGACTCCGGGGGGCGTGGCCCTGTCTGAAGCCTATGGAGGTGTGGGCCAAAGGCACGCCCCAGAGCGGTGACCCGGGGGAGCTCCTAGTCAACGTGCCTCGGCGGGAGACTCCCCCAATATAGTGTTAACCCTTCCCCGTGTCTCCAGCAAATGGGCTGGAGCCGGATAGTCGTTAGGACCAATGCCTAAGCCAATGCCTCTCATTCCTGAATTCAATAAAGTTGTGGCCTAATTCGCCCATTTAACCTTAAACCATGGTGTCTCGTGTCTTTATTTATCCTGGTGGGGGGCGGGAACTCGCCACGCAACTTGTGAAGCAATAAGGAACCTTCACATTTTAAAGTGGCCATTCAACAGTTTTATCCTATGCCTGTTTCTTTGTCCTCATTTGCTCTAACAATTATCAGTTAAAAAAAAAAATCCTAACTGCCACTTTATTTATATGCTCTTTCTTTTTTTTATCCTGGTCTGTGACCATAATAAAGTTCATACAAGTAGGTTCCAGAGTTAAGTCCCCTGGCCATGGCAACCTACACTTACCTCCAGGAGTCTTCGGGACGCCATCCTCGCCTGTAGTGACTGCGCGAAGGCCACTACAGGCGACCTCTGCCAACCTCGGGATGCTGAGGAACCTCAAACGGTCACAAGCTCCGTTGCTAGGCAACGGCAGTTGAGAAGATGGAATTCCCGGCCTCAGGGCCAAGGTTCTAGGAGAGTCCGTGTGGCCTAGTGGTTAGAACAATGTTAATGCCATGCAACGCTAGGGTGATATATATATATTCTTTGAAATGTACACTTAATACTTTTTCTATTATTTGTATCCTGCTTTGCAGACTCTTGTTGTCTCCGAAAGAAGCTGACAGGATTGCTCCCCTGTACTTACTTATGTGTTTGCCGTGTACATTTATGAACGTTTATTTTATATTTGGGGCCTTTGAATTCTTAACTCTGAACTCTGGATTAATAACATTTTAGGAATCTTCCAGAATGGCTAATTCTATTGCTGGGAAGGACTCAGTGACCCCGGTCTATTTTAGGAGAGAGGGTGGTATGGGGTTGGGAGCAGATGAGATGGAGGTGCTTGGCAGTGGGTGTGTTGTAAGCAGAAAGCGTACGCTTCAATTCCCATGACCCACCTCCTTCAGTTACTAGTTTCTTGGGGTTGGGGCTAAATCCATGATGGGTCAGAGAAAAATGAGCGGCGGCAGGAACCAGTCAAAGCAAGGCAGATCTTAATTTTACTGTTGCGACAGAGTTTCTCACCTTACATGTTGCATGGAGGTGAGGAGCCAAGACAAGTGTGTGTAACAACTTTTAAAGACTTGAGAAATTGCCAATAATTATTATAATAATAATAATTTATTTTTTATACCCCCCCCCCATCTGGCTGGGTTTCCCTTAGCCCAGAGGTTTTGGACTTTTTTGAGTCCACGGCTCCCTTGACCAACTACATTCTTTCTGTGAGGCTCAGGAGCCCAGCTATGTCACCCCTTGCCAGCAGAGCTGGCAGCCTCTCGTCCTTTTTCTGACTCCTTCCCTTGTGGAGTGTTCCTTCTTCTTCTCTCCCCTCTCTTTAGGAGTCCTCTGGACAGCCGCAGCTGTCGCCCCTTCCCTAAAGAGAGGTGTCTCCTCACGCTGCCCCACAGGGCCTGGGAAGCACCCCCTGGCCAGCTCCAGAGGCACCGTTCGCCTGGGGAGCTTGTAGCCAGGGGTGCTGCAACAAACAGCTGCACAAGCCTTTGGGAGGCAGACATGCAAGAAGGCATGGGGGGGAGAGAAAGAGGGACAGAGGCCAGTGTTGCTTGCGGCACCCTTGACCATCATTCAAGGCACCAAAGGGTGCCACAGCACCCTGGTTGAAAACCACTGCCCACCCAACAAGCAACAGACATACATCACAGAAAGAGGCAGCCTTGTCTCCTGGCTTGTCTCTTGTCATGATACCTGAGAATGTTTGTTGGTTGCCCTTTCCTGACAAGTCTGAGCCTTTCCCTTGAAATGGTAAATACCTCAGCTCTTGAATCCATTGTCACAGATCTACCCCTATTTATGTGAGATGTTTATAGCTTTTGAAGGATTTGTAAGTGGAAAGAACTATTGGGAAAGGTTTTTCCTTCAACTGCAGAGTAAATATCTGGGGTCATTAAGAGGGCTTCTGGATTGCTCTGTGAACTCAAAGAAAGTGTCTTTTTTTCCAGGGAAGATTTTATAATTTTTGAATGGTAAAGGATTGTTTTTTCTCTAGGGTGCGTGTCTGCTATGTGTGCACCTTAAGATTTGTGTAACACTCATGCCAACTTCTGTTGCCCAGCGCCTGCAAGCCCCCTACTGTGGACATCATAGAATGCTTGCAGTTGTGTGTTTTTTAAACCACACCAGCCACTGCTCATCAGCAGAACTGAGCAGCTTCTGTGAGTGAAATGAAGAGCTGTTTCTCAGAAGGGGAAGCCCTGGGAGAGACTAGGGTTCAAATACCTCCTTACTCAGCTGTGCAGCTCACTGGGTGACCTGGGGCAGGTTGTCATCTTGAGCTCCTTGGAGAAAAAGATGGGATATCATTGCAGACGCCCTCAGAAGGTGGTGGACTCTTCTTCTTTGGAGGTTTTTTATACACAGAGGTTGGGTGGCCATTTGCAAGGGATTCTTGAATTGGATTCCTGTTTTGCAGGCAATTGGACTAGATGCACCTTGGGGTTCTTTCCAAATCTACAATTCTATGATTTTGTTTATGTGTCATTTTATTGATTAGATAGGAAACCCCTTCGAGACTGCTCTGAGATGCCAGGTTGGATATAAGCGCCATAAATGAGAAAAGAGAGAGACACGTCGGCCTGTGAATGACCCCAGGCAGCTGGCAGAAGGACTCGGACATAGAGGCAGAGGGAACCTGGAGGCTTCAGGACGAAGTTGCTGTTAAGCACTGGACACAGTGCCGCCTGGAAAAGGTGAGTGGCCGTCTGCAAGATCTTACAGAGCTCATGAGATCTTGTGAGATTTCAGGAAGATCTCACAAGATCTTGCTAGTGTTGTAAACAAAAATTGCCCTTTTCCCTTATGGGGTATCCAAGAGCCCATATAGAGTCCTTACATAGGTTCCTTATTGGTAGGAGAAAATAACAGAGGCCAACCAGAGAATATTGAGAAGCAAAGCAGCTAGTAAGCTTGATCTTTATTGATCTGTTGCAACAGGGTGCTCCCCTCACATGCAGGAAAGGAGGAGGACCCAGAAAAATGGTGTGCAAGGTCTTATAAAGACTTTTGAAATTGCCACCCTGTAGATCAAGACCACCCCCAGAAACATCATACATACATCACAGAAGGGGTGTAACCTAAGACCACCCCTCAGATACATCATACCTACATCACAGAAAAGGCGGTCTAAACAGAAATTTGAATGTTGTTTTTCTCCTGTCTGGCAGGTTACTTGATTGGATACCCTGCTTACTAGACTGGATTGCCTGGGGAGCCTGGCCAGTCTTTTGTAATGATAAATACTTAGTTCCTGGGCCAGGTCACAGGCTCACACCCTATTCAAACAGAGACATACCCTTAAGACAGGATTTGTGAAGGAAAAGACAATGGGGAGGCTTTTCCAGTTTGACCTTGCAGAGAAAACATTTGCTCAGTTTAGGAATCAAAATGGTTCCAGGTTGGCCTTCCTGTGCTGATCTATGTACGTACCCGGTTGGTACACTCACGAACATTACCATGTATCTAAGACCTCAAAATTCCTATCACACTAGCCCAATACTGCTATTAAACCAACTAGATTTAGTAGGATTATGCATAGGGTTTCCATGTTGGGTTGCAGCTAGCACTGTGGGCAGGGTAAGGTCCTGGCACTTACATGATCTCCCACTACTGACATTGCTGGTGCTGGCAGGGTTGAGTAAGGTTGGCACAGTGCAAACACACTGGTGCAGCCAAACTCGTGCTCATGCCAGTGTGTTCACACCACATCAACCTCACCTCCTTCCTCCTCTACCTTCTTGTAAGCCACAGTGATGTCAGCGTTGGGAGATAAGCTAAGTGCCTCCCCCCCACCGGATGGCTTATGATTTTAAAAGATTCCACCTTCTCCCCAAGTAGTGTTTTCAAGCGGCCATTGTAGCTGTGCTTTTAACAGCAGCTCAACATGCAGACATAGGGTGATATTCAATTATGTTTTTGGTTACTGAGAACAAACAAGAGTGTACAGAAACAAGATTGGGTGCAGGCCTGGCCAGGACATAGGCGTGACACACCTGTGACAAAGGTGAGCTGTGTGCTTGCTTGCTTAACAGCTGTTGGGAATGTCAATTTCCCTGCTCTCCCTTCTTAATGGTCTTTATATTGGACCTGGAGACTCCAATAGAGAGCATTCCATGTCAAGAAGGAGGGCAAGTGGGCACCCTATCAAATGACAAGGCAGGAGCTACACGGAGCAGGGCCTTTTCACTGGTGGTGCCCATTGTATGGCTTGCTCTTTCCAGACCTGCTCTCTTTTGGCCTGTAATTTGGAGCTTTATAATCTAGGAAGACTTTGGAATAACAGGTTGACAAGTCATCAGTCACTGAAGTATGAGCAGATTTTATTGGTTGTTATTCTGGGTTTCTGGCGCACCAGGGTTTACACCAGCGTAATAGAGTTGGCCAGGATGAAAGAAGGGATACAATTTCTGAGCTTTTTCCATTGTCTGCGCAGCAGGGGCTGTTCAATCAACAGTGCAAAGGCTGAGCTGAAGCGTTTCCTGCTGGTTACCTGCTTTCAGCAGTAGGGGTTGCTGTTTGGTAGTACCCAGTTGGTTAGTTGTCAGATTCTAGAGCTCCCTATTGGTGGCTCTTAGGTAATTCCAAAAATACAGTCCATTAATAAAACAGTGTTCATTCAGAAAGCGGTAACATAAATCTCCATTGCTACATATTGGGTGTGTATTTCAGCAGTTGAATGCACAGCTTTACGGCCACGCTGTAGTGTAGTGCTTATGCAACTGTGAATAAAAGGTGGCTGGGCTCATTGTCCCGGGGTTTGTGGGGGGAGGTGATGTAGCAGGAACCCCCCACCCCAATCCTTCAGTTTGTACAAACTTCACACACTCACACTCACACACTACATATGCCACACTTCTGTTATAAATTCATAGAAAAATCAACCATACATCGGATTTGCACTGTTCCATTTTTATTTTACTCCATATGACAAGGACTATCAAAGGGGGGTGGCTTGGTTCTGGTCAGCCATAATCCCTTCACCATCCCAGCACATCCACAGGAGCCCTGCCCAGTTGCTATGCCAACCCTGATGGTCCTAGACAGAAGACCATCAAGATCACAAAGAACTTGCATATGGGAGTGGATTCAGCATGGACTGAAACAAAGGACAATGATCAGATCTTCCCTCTGGGGGCAGGAAACTGCCAACTCCCCTTTGTCTCCTGGAAGTGACTCATGGGCAGGGGGAAAGGAGGAACCAGCCAGGTGACAGGACACTCAGGTTACCACCACAACTCCTCCCTCAACCCCTCCTTTCTGTAATGTATGCATGATGTTTCTGGGGGTGGGCTTGACCTAGAGGATGGGAATTTCAAAAGTTTTTATAAGGTCTTGCACACCATCTTTCTGGGTCTTTCCTCTCTCCTGCAAGTGAGGGGAACACCCTGTTGCAACAGTTCAATAAAGGCCAAGCCTACAGGCTGCTGTTTTGCTCCAAGTTATCCTGGTTGGTGTCTTTGTTTTTGTCCAAGGGAGCCCTCGGATTTTTCCGGTAACAGTGACAAAACTGATTTTGAGTCTGTACTCTGAATAGTGACACCAGGGACCTAGACGGTGCAGGGCTTGTCAGTCCAACCCCTGCACAGACTCATCAGGGCTGGCCTTAAGGGAATTGGAACAATTGGGCCAAATTGGGCCCTGGGGGCCGCTCCTAAAGGGGCCCCCACACCAGGGCAATCTAGATGGATTTATTTATATGAGATTTTGCAGACTTTGGCTGTGAACTGGGGCCCTACAAAAAAAACTAAAGTTGGGCCCCACTTCCTCAAACTGGGCCCCCACTGGCTAGCCCTGAGTCTCATAGTTGCTGGGCCTGAGTTTCCCTGCCCTTGCATGAAGTCTTGGGTTTCCAATTTTGAGAGAGGGGAGACTGCGGCACTGGGGAGATGGCAGGCTGCTGAGGCCCCCTAGATTTAGAGGCCCAATTTGCCCTGCCCTCGCATGAAGTCTTGGGTTTGCAATTTTGGGAGAGGGGAGGTTGCCTGCTGGGGAGCGGGCAGGCTGGCCAGGCCCCCTAGATTTAGAGGCCCTAGGATTCAGCCTACTTAGCCTATACATAAATCTGGCACTGGCTATATCCTATACAGGAGCAGGGCCATCTTCACCATTGGCACTAGGGGTGCACGGCACCAGGGTGCCGGGCTCTCAGAGACACCAGGCGGAGTCTGGGGCCGAGCATTGGAGTCCAGGGAAGAGCCGCCGACAGCCAAGCAGAGCAGAGCCCGTCGGAGTGCCACCGGCTCTTCTTCTGCTCTTCCCCAGACGCCAACACTCACCCCTGAACTCGTGCTGAGCCGCAACAGCAGAAGAGCCCATGGCTCCCCAACAGGCTCGGCTCTTGGCTCTTGCCCCAGCTGCATGGCAGCTAACTGTTTTGGCACTGCACCCAGAGTGCCGTGTAACGTTGTGGTGGGATCTGCCATGCGCCAACAGCACTGAAGGCAGCAACAAAACCCAATGAATAGGAGCATACGGATCCGGTCTGGAGATGTTGCCTCTGATGCCGCTTGCATTCCCCATCGTTCTGCACTGGCACCCCATGTTGGACGGTGCTGGGAGCGTGCGCTGACAGCCAAGGAACCCGCAGCTTGGCACACGCAACAGGATGCGTTGCACAGTGCCCACAATGTTACACGGCACTCCGGGTGCTTCATGCGCAGCCAAAACAGTTAACTGCCATGCAGGAGGGGGCAGCAGGTGGACAGCATGGCGACTGTGCATGCTGCCCGACATTTTGTCCCCCCCCAGCATGGAACCTGCACCCCCCTTCGTACACCCCTGTGCCTGGGGTGCTGGCACCCCTTTTGGTTGGCGCTGGGAGTCCCTGTGTCCCACAACCGTTCTAAAGGTTCTAAAGGTAAACAACTATTTCTTTTAAAAAGCCAACAACTTTGGGGTCCCCCACCCCTAAAAAAAGGTCAACAACAAACCTCTTCTGATCAGCAAGTCCTAGGCTCTGTGGTTTAACCCACACCGCCACCCGCGTCCCTAAAGTTAAGATACTGACAGGAATATTAATCTGAGAAACCATAAACTTGTTAATGTTTGTAAAATAAACTTGGTTTTTTGGTTCACTTTTAACAGCTGACTGGACTCAGTGTTTTACCAGAGAGTAACTGGTTGGTGGCAGCAGGGAAGCGAGCACAGTGGTGGCACAGGGATCAATAGACCATTAAACGTCCGGGGACCCTGTGTGATCGCCACACCTCTGAACACCAGTTGCTGGAAATCATAGGGAAGGAAAGGGCTCCTGTGCTCAGATCCTGCTTGCAGGTTTCCCAGAGGCATCAGGGACTAGATGGGCCCTTGGCCTGATCCAGCAGATGCCCTTCTTATGTTAAGGCCTTTTAAAAAACACAATATAACATTGCAACCTATTTCTGGATCGCACTCACAGTGGGGAGCAGGCATTTGGTGATGTTGTAACAGAGCTTCGGTTGTCAGCTGCCCTCTCTGGAGGGTACCCTCCTTGCTGCACCTCGCAAGCATCACCCTCTTGGCAGGAACATCAGGGAAATTTAGTGGGCAGCCCCTGACAGGATTGGGAAGCACTTAACCCAATGGAGAGGGTAGGCTCAAGGAGGGCACAGGGTTGGCTATAAGGGCCCTCACTTCCCTCAAGGATCTCCTTGAGGGTTCGTTGAAGCCTTCCCAGAAACTCGGGCCAGGACGTTGTGCTAACAAATACACCTAAGAACATGGGCATATCCAATTATTAAGTTGGTTGGGTTCAGAAAAGCAAACACTTTTCCTCTCTTCTTTTTTGTATAATTTTTTATTAAGTTTTTCTATTTCACCTTTTAGAATATTCATTCAAACAACCTTAAAATATCAGTGACTTCCCTCCTTCTCTTTCCACGGTTCAGTTTGCTTGCCATAAATCCCTGCATATTTTACATAAACTAAACCATTCAGTATTCCATTATTACATCCATCAAAACTTATTTACACTGTTGAATTTATCTTAATGCTGCCAGTGTTTTTAAGTGTACACAATTTCCCCCCATATATTCAATAAACATTTTCCAGTCTTCTTTAAACATATGTTCTTCTTGTTCTCTTATTCTATAAGTTAAGTCTGCAAGCTATGCATATTCCATCATCAGTTTAAGTTGCTATTCCTCACTTGTTTTCCATTTTACACTTTAAGGTAAAGGTAAAGGGACCCCTGACCATTAGGTCCAGTCGTGGCCGACTCTGGGGTTGCAGCACTTGTCTCGCTTTACTGGCCGAGGGAGCCGGCATACAGCTTCCGGGTCATGTGGCCAGCATGGCTAAGCCGCTTCTGGCGAACCAGAGCAGCTCACGGAAATACCGTTTACCTTCCCGCCAGAGTGGTACCTATTTATCTACTTGCACTTTGACGTGCTTTCGAACTGCTAGGTGGGCAGGAGCAGAGACCGAGCAATGGGAGCTCACCCCATCGCACCGCCGACCTTCTGATCGGCAAGCCCTAGGCTCTGTGGTTTAACCCACAGCGCCACCCTCTTTCCAAATCCCTGAAAAAGGACTTGTGGAAGGGCTGTCTTCAAGCTCCTGTAATCTGCACCTTTGGAATTGCTTAGAGGGGCTGGTTGAGGGGCATGGCGTGGTTCTCACAGTGGCATGGCAGGTGTCCTAACGGGAAACCCACAAGCAGGATTTGATCACCAGAACACTTTCCCCTCCTGGGGCTTCCAGCAACTAGTATTCAGAAGCATTTACTGAGGCAGAGCATAGCCGTCATGCTTAGTAGCTGTTGGTAGCCGCTGCCCAGAGCCGTCTTTCCTATAGGGCTTATTGGCACGTTGCGCCAGGGTGCTGGCCTCTCAGGGGCGCCCCAGTGAGTGAGGGAGCTGCGTGGCTTTGCCGGCGACCTCCCCTTTCCCTGCATGCCCGCCAGCTGTGCCCTGTCAACCATATGGCTGGCTGGCGGGGAATGGGGTAACTGTGCCTCTAAAGAACCAGGTGCGCAGCCTGGGAGTCATTCTGGACTCACAATTGTCCATGGAGGCGCAGGTCAATTCTGTATCCAGGGCAGCTATTTACCAGCTCCATCTGGTACGCAGGCTGAGACCCTGCCTGCCCGCGGACTGTCTCGCCAGAGTGGTGCATGCTCTAGTTATCTCCCACTTGGACTACTGCAATGCGTTCTACGTGGAGCTACCTTTGAAGGTGACCCGGAAACTACAACTAATCCAGAATGCAGCAGCTAAACTGGTGACTGGGAACAGCTGCCGAGACCACATAACACCGGTCTTGAAAGACCTACACTGGCTCCCAGTACGTTTCTGAGCACAATTCAAAGTGTTGGTGATGACCTTTAAAGCCCTAAACGGCCTTGTTCCAGTATACCTGAAGGAGCATCTCCACCCCCATTGTTCTACCTGGACACTGAGGTCCAGCGCTGAGGGCCTTCTGGTGGTTCCCTCACTGTGAGAAGCCAAGTTACAGGGAACCAGACAGAGGGCCTTCTCGGTAGTGGCGCCCGCCCTGTGGAACGCCCTCCCACCAGATGTCAAAGAGAAAAACAACTACCAGACTTTTAGAAGACATCTGAAGGCAGCCCTGTTTAGGGAAGCTTTTAATGTTTGACGGACTATTGTATTTTAATATTTTGTTGGAAGCGGCCCAAAGTGGCTGGGGAAACCCAGCAGATGGGCGAGGTATAAATTATTATTATTATTATTATTATTATTATTATCATCATCCCTGCAGAGGCTTAGGATGGCCCTGCCGCTGCCTCTGTGAATTTGTCCAATTTTTAAAAATCATTTTAACGTTGACTTTTAAATTGTTGTAACCTGCCCTGGGACCTCAGGGTGAAGGGTGGGTAATAAATTAAGATAACATCACCATCAACAATAACTTCAGGGTTGCACCCCTCTGCTCCCTGGAACAAATAAGAGAACCTGATCTCTGCTAAACAGTACGGAACCCTCCCTGGGAATAATGAAGAAATGTCAAAAGAATCGTGATGGACAAGAGGCATCAATGTGGAGACTTCAACTTGCTGGATTTCCAACTCCCATTTCCCCTCCTCATTGACTGTGCTGATGGAGGATGATGGGAGTTGGAGTCCAACCAAGAGCAAGTGGAGTAATCCATGTGACCTACTCCTGAGACTGGAGGCTCCCTGGCCCAAAGGCTCATGGGAGGAGGCTGGCATATTCATTTATTCATTTACTTATATTGCATTTCTATCCCATCTTTTTCTCCAAGAGCTCAAGGTGATGTCCATAGCGCTCCCTGTCATTTAATCCCCACAGCAACCCTGTGAGGTAGGTTAGGCTGAGAGGCAGTGACAGGCCCAATGAGTTTCATGGCCAAGGGGAGATTTGAACCCTGGTCTTTCTCCCAAGTCCAAGTCCGGCACTCTAACTGCCACACCACCACGGTTTCTCAAATGATTTCGAAATGATTACTTTGAACCTTTCAATCTCTTCAAGAAAGAGCTGGTCAAGGACCTGAAAAGAGGGCACCTTAACCATGAGTAGATATGTTCGTCATGAGGACAGGGTGGCCCCATCATAAGGACCTCACTTTAGTCCTCAGGAGACCAATGTTTGCAGTTCTCTAAACTACAAGGGCTCTGTTCCTGGGGACAAGGGTCCTTTGAGGTGGCTTAATGGCAAGGGCCTCCCTGGCCACTTCCGTGGAACTTGGCTTTGAAGTATGAAGGGGTGGTGGTGGAGAACTAGGTTCTCACACCCAAAAAGCCAAGGGAAGGCCTGGCTCTCAGCCAGATCAGCAGCCTGGAGGACTCACAGCCCACCTGGGTCATTGCCCCTCTAGGCTGCCACATATCTATCTATATATATATCTGACATGCTCCCTTCAGAGAGCAGGCTGGGAGCAGGGATTGCAGACACAGCCAGGCTATGGAGATCAAGGAGACGATGGAAATTGTCACTCAAGAAGCTCTGCTCCGAGCACCAGCAGTGGTGAGTCCCTCCCTGCATTGAGATCGGAGTCTTTTCTTTCTTTCTTTCTTTCTTTCTTTCTTTCTTTCTTTCTTTCTTTCTTTCTTTCTTTCTTTTACGTACGTTCTGAAAATAAATATTCTTATTTTTAGCACTCTGTAGGCTGTTGCATATGCGTGAGATCATGCTTATTATTATCTGCATTATTCAAAACAACTACTTTATTTATTAAGCTGCAAACATAACAAGACAACGACAATGATGGAAACAATAAGAACATTCCACCAATCCTAATTTAAATGTATATGTTTATCTAGGTAGCTCCAAAAAGTTATCTAATTAAGACCGAGGACTAAATACATCATTGGAGATGCTACCTATTTATATTTTTATTGGGTTTTGCGAGATAAATGAAACCATGCATCACATTTTACAAACAATAACAACAAAAACTAACATACAAATGGGAAAGTCAGTACTGAGATGTATGAATCAATCAGAGAAGTGTAGAATTGGAAGGGGACTCAAAGGGGTTCTCTAGTCCAATCGCCTGCAATGCAGGAACCTCAGCTAAAGCGTCCATGACAGGTGGCCATCCAGCCTTTGCTTAAAAACCTGCAATGAAGGAGAGTCCACAACCTCCTGAGGAAGTTGACTCCACAATGTTATACAGGTAAGTATAATCGTATCTGGGTGTTTAAAGTGTTGTATTCCTCCAGAAGTCCACATGTCTTTTTTCAGTCTAGGTTAGGGTTACCAGACGTCCTCGTTTCCCGGGGACAGTCCCCAGATTTGCGAATAAGTCTCCGGACAAATTCCATCCCCGTAATGTCCCCGGATTTCATCTAATGTCCCCGGGAAACGCAGCAGCGGCAGTCTCAGCAGCCCAGAGCAGTTGGCTCTGGCTGGCTTCAGGAGCTGCTCAGAAGTCCCCATGTGATGGTGGTGCAGGGGCTCTAAGATGCAGCTTCCGGGCTGCCTCCACCTTCCCTGACCCCAGCAACTCAGCTGTGAAGGGAGGCTTCATGCTGCCTATCGGAGCAGCCTCCCAACTCCTACTTGCGTGCAAGCAGGAGGGGGCAGGGATCTCTCAGTTAGGCAATGGGAAACCTCCCTTCCCAGCTGAGGGATCCCTGCCCCCTCCTGCTTCCACACAATTAGGAATGGGATTGGGGATGCTCCAGTGACCTCGCCACCGCTGCTCTCGGCCCTCCTTCTCCACCTTCCATGCCTGACCCACTGCGCACCGCTTCCCCACCACCACCACCACTGAAGAACCAACAACTCAGGGGCTGCCCAGGCTCATGGACAAAGGAGATATAAGTCTTGGAGGAAGAGAAAACATGGCAGTTGAGGTCAAGGCGGCGGCCGCCCCTCTGCCACCACCATCGCTGCAGCATCAATGTCCCAAACGTGTAGTATGTACCGTATTTTTCGCTCTATAACATGCACCAGACCATAACACGCACGTAGTTTTTAGAGGAGGAAAACAAGAAAAAAAATATTCTAAACGAAACAGTGGATGTATTATTTTTGTGGTTCATGCTGTGGCCACAGACATGTGATCTGACAGTGAGTTTGGAGTAGCCCAATGCAAAATTCCTGAGGATCCATGTGGATCCATGCTTTGTAACCACGTTTTTGCACCACTGCGACCCCAGGCAACAGTGGGTGCATGATTTTTTTGGTGCAAGATGTAGCCATGGACATGCTATGTGATCTGATGGTGAATTTGGGGTGACCCAGTGCAAAAATCCTGAGGATCCATGTGGATCCGTGCTTTGTAACCACGTTTTAAGTGGGGAGGGAAGGAAAAGCACTCAAGGGACAAGGAGCATGCATGGGGTGTGTGGAGAAGGATGCTGCTAATAATGCTATTTAGTGAGCTGAGTGGGGAGGAGAGAGGAACAGAGAGCCTGCTTGCTTTAAAGGAGCCAACCAGACAGGAGCCGCTTACCTCTCCTCTCCCGCTTTGCTCCTTTAAAGCAAACAGGCTCTCTGTCCCTCTCTCCTCCCCACTCAGCGGCTCTTCTCCCGCTTTGCTGTTTCAAAGTGAGCCCCGGAGGAGGGAAGGAAGGGGAACCATGGATCCTCTGCTCACGACTGCAGCAGATCCCCCCGCCATCTGTAGGCATTCCCTCCATAACACGCACAGACATTTCCCCTTACTTTCTAGGAGGAAAAAAGTGAGTGTTATGGTGCAAAAAATACGGTATGTATGTATGTATGTATGTATTTAAAGTGTCCCCGGATCATTGAAAAAAATCTGGTAAGCTTAGTCTAGGTAAGGAATTCTGCAGGTTCTTTTCCTTTCATAACTCAGAGATCTTCACTGAAGGTTTTTAAACAGAGGTTAGATGGCCATCTGTCAGGGATTCTTTAGCTGGGATTTCCTGCATTGTGAGGGGTCAGACTAGATGACTCTAGAGGTCCTTTCCAACTCTAGTTCTGTGATCTACACTGCAGTTACTACAGACTTTAGGGTACCTTTTTAAATAAGCAGCAGTGCAGCTTGAGCAACCGAGAAAACAAAGACAACTTCAGGTCAGTCTTAGAGTCCTGTGTGTTATAAGTAACACCGGCTTCCTTTAGTTGCACCCACTTACAAGGGAGTAATCCCCACTGAACTCACTGGGACTTGCTTCTCTGTTGGCATGTACAGGTTTGTGCTGCTAGGGACTCAGGAAATACTGTATTTTTCGCTCTATAGGATGCACCCGACCATAGGACGCACCTTGTTTTAGAGGGGGAGAACAAGGGGGAAAAAAATCTCCCCCACTCTGCTCAGCGCCCCTTCAGTGAAGCGGCAGGAGAAACGCAGCCCCTTCCATTTCTCCTCCCGCTTCGCTGAAGGGGCGCTGCGCAGCTCTCTCTCTCTGCTGAAGCCAGGAGAGTCTTGCTCTCCCGGCTTCAGCAAAAGGAACCTGAAGCCTCCGGAGCACAGCGGGACCTCCCGCTGCGCTCCGGAGGCTTCAGGCGGCTATCCCTGTAGCCTGGACAGCGAGAGGGGTCGGTGCCCTCCGCTCTCCAGGCTTCAGCGAAACAACGCAAAGACTCCGGAGCACGGAGGGAGCGCTCCCTCTGCGGTTCAGAGGCTTCACGTTGCTATCGCTGAAGCCAAGGAGCCTGCATTCGCTCCATAGGACGTACACACATTTCCCCTTAATTTTTGGAGGGGGAAAAGTGTGTCCTATAGAGCGAAAAATACGGTACTTGATCTTGGCTGAGGATTGTGCAAAACTGTGTTGCAACATCTCGTATCCATTCCACCCATTTCTACAGTACCAGGGGGCCTCCAGACACCCTTTTCATTTCACAGTCATGATGATTTGTGCTCATGATGCTTCCCGGGTGGTCACACACAATCCCGCTTTCAATACTGTGACATGCCACTCCAATCTCTGAGCAGTGAGACGATCCAGGGTTTCCAGGTGCTTAACCAGGTTTAGCTTCCTTGGAAGGAAGGTCAGGCAAAGACAGTTGTGCCTTTAGAATATATGGTGTCATTTACATCTGAACAGAAGACATTCACACCCAAACAGATCTTGCATGTCCTTTAGCCTCAGCCTTGGAACCAGTACAGAACAAGCAGGGCTCTGTGCTGCCAGTTCCCAGCCTGCTCCCAGATCATCTCTCTCTCTCTCTCTCTCTCTCTCTCTCTCTCTCTCACACACACACACACACACACACACTGGCTCATTCTTTTGGGATGCTGATGAAGACCCTCAACTTGCCACCTATGGCCATATTGTCTTACAATAAACCAGTTTCACGAGATTTTGAATAAATGTGCAACTAATCGTTGCTGTTTTGAATTTTATTGTGTTGTTTTCTTCCTTAGTGGTTAACATAAACTGTTACGTTCAATCACTCAATAAACCTTTATGGGCGTACACAGAAGACTGGAATATATGCATCGAAACATAAAATTGGTATCTGTTCACAGGAGGAGATGCTTTAAGATAAAACTATACAGGCCTAGCAAGGTTGAAAAGTACCACTCAGGTCTTATGACGATGTAGTTTCAAGGCATGGGTAGGCAAACTAAGGCCCGGGGGCCAGATCCGGCCCAATCGCCTTCTGAATCCGGCCCACGGACGGTCCGGGAATCAGTGTGTTTTTACATGAGTAGAATGTGTCCTTTTATTTAAAATGCATCTCTGGGTTATTTGTGGGGCCAGCCTGGTGTTTTTACATGAATAGAATGTGTGCTTTTATTTACCGGTAAAATGCATCTCTGGGTTATTTGTGGGGCATAGGAATTCGTTCAATTCCCCCCCCCCAAAAAAATATAGTCCGCCCTGCCCCCCTCCCACAAGGTCTGAAGGACAGTGGACCGGCCCCCTGCTGAAAAAGTTTGCTGACCCCTGGTCTAGACTGACCCACACTCCAACCCAAGTTGGCATTTATTTGGGATCTGTGAAGCACCTGAAAACAAGTCTCTGCATGTATCACACCCACTCCTCTCTCCCCCTGCAAGGACTACCATGCACTGGACCCGGAGTTTGTGGGCTGCCCCTGCTGCGGCTGCTGCCCCGACTGCTGCGGCTGCTGCCCCGACTGCTGCCCCAGCTGCTGCCCCCCCAGCTGCGCCTGCTGCTGCCGCTGGTGCTGCTGCCTGCCCAGGCTCCTGCTCCACCTGCCCAAGATGCCCAGCTGCCCCGTGCACATCAAGAGGCTCCTGATCATCGTGGTGATCGTCGTCCTCATCGTGGTGATCATCGTGGGTGCTCTCCTGATGGGCCTCTACGTCACCCAGGCGCACACGGAGGCGGTGAGCAGAGCGAGGATGCCATGGGACGTTTAGGGCAGGCGTTGTGGGACACCAACCAGCACGGCCAACGTTCAGGGGTGGTGAAGGTTTTCAGGGGGTTGACCTAGGTGACCCATCCAACTCTACAATTCTGTGGTTCTATTTCCCCCCCTCAATTTTTTTTATTAATTTTCCAGAATTTTTTTTTAAAACAAACAGACATACATCTCCACCGTAACTAAACCGATCTTCATAACATTGTTAAGTGACTTCCTCGTATCCCCCTGGTTGAATTTCAGTGTATATCATTTTAACGGTTTTCCAAAACCTAAATTCTTAAAAATTTAACTTAATCACTTAACATCTTTCTTTCTTAACCATTCAACTTTAAACATATTAGTTCATCACATTACATATTTAAATCCTAAGCCTATCTGGTAATTGCGAGCTTTCCAATTAAGTTAATTTAACATGTTTAACTAAATAGTCTTTAAATTTCATCCATTCTTCCTGGTAGTCCTCCTCCTTCTGGTCGCGGACTCTTCCAGTCAGGTCAGCTAGCTCCGAAAAGTCCATCATCTTCACCTGCCAATCTTCCACTGTTGGTACTTCTTGTGTTTTCCAATTCTTAGCTAATAAAATTCGAGCAGCAGTTGTGGCATACAAAAATAATTTAACATCTTTCTTGGGCTCTACAATTCTGTAGTTCTAGGCCAGGCGTAGGCAAACTCAGCCCTCCGGATATTTTGGGACTACAACTCCCATCATCCCTAACTAGCAGGACCAGTGGTCAGGGATGATGGGAATCGTAGTCCTGCCAAAACATCTGGAGGGCCGAGTTTGCCTACGCCTGTTCTAGGCTGTAGTACCAACAAGATCAGCATTAGGAAAGGTGTGAAATGAGCGGAGCCTAGGACAAAATGTTGCAGCGTGATGTGTTCCTGTTTGAGGCTCCAGCCCGCCATGACCTTTTCCAGGATATTCCATTACATATCCTCCCCTGGTTTTCTGCCTGCCTGTCCTCCAACCAGCAGTGAAAATTCAGTGTCCACTAAGCATGCTTAGTTCCTACCCACCAGGGAGGCAATCATACCTCCGCAAACAGTGGGGTTCTCCAAGTTTGATGATACTTCTAGCTTTTTGGCACAGATCGTAGTCTTTTAGCTGCGGAAGTCTAGGCCCTTGGTCAGTGAGTTTGCTAAGGATTGGGGCCCGCAGCAAGGCAGGGGATGCTACTTCTGGGAGTGGTTGTTGCTGCAGGATGCTGGGAACAAGGCACCTCTTGTCAACACACTCCATCATTTGCAGGTTTTGCAGATGACCATCGAGGGCCTGGAAGGAGAAGACTCGCAGCTGAACCTCTCTGTCAATATGGAAGAAGTGGCCACTTTCTATGTCAAGGACCAGACTAACGACCCAGCCACAGTCATTTATGACTTCAGCAAGGTGAGGGGCAACTGGCAAGTGAGTTGTGCCACATCTACACTGCACCAGGGCATAGCCGACTTCCGCCGCATCAGGCTGTTTATACTTTGCTTCTGAATGCTCAAAAGCCGAGCCACCATTCTCCACCCCACAGCATTTGCCGCCTGAGGCCATCACCTCACTTTGCCCAATGATAGGGCCAACCCAGGCTGGGTGGGAGCCAGATTCGCAAATTCATGTAAGAGAATTTTAAGGAGAGTTTTACCTGGCAACTTTTAGCTTTAGCACAGAGGGATTTTACAGTCTGAGCTGACCTAGAAAACAAAGCCACCTTCCTTTCAGACATTGCCTTTTTCTTTTTGGTACAGAGTACTGGCACACACACACACACACACACACACACACACACACACACCCTTTTTGCTGTCCATGGTAGTCATTTTGACCTAACATCCACAGTATTTTTATCAAGGTGTGAGTACAACCAACACCTCCATTTTTACCAAAAAAAGAGCACACCCATTTCCATGCCATCCATAGCCAAACCTGAAAACTGCTATAAGAACCTAAGACAGGCATCCCCAACCTTCGGCCCTCCAGATGTTTTGGACTACAATTCCCATCATCCCTGACCATTGGTCCTGTTAGCTAGGGATCATGGGAGTTGTAGGCCAAAATATCTGGAGGGCAGCAGGCTGGGGATGCCTGACCTAAGAAGAGGCTGCTGGATCAAGCCAATGGCCCATCTAATCCAGCATCCTCTTTCCCCCCCCCCATACCGCTTTATATTTTTAATAAAAATCTCAAAGCAGTTTACAGCATATTAGATCAGGGGTCAGCAAACTTACAGCGCCTCGGGCCAGTGTCTCCAGCGCTGATCACACAGCGGGCCAAAGGGCAGGGGAGCACATGCCCATACGCTATTTCCGGCGCACTTCCGGGTCGGAGGAGCACCGGAAATAGCTTGTGCGCATGTGCACGGGCCTCTTCCGACCCGGAAGGGCGCCGGAAATAATGCTTGCGCGTGCGCAAATAACACTTGTGCATGCGCACAAGCTATTTCCAGTGCTCCTCCGACCCAGAAGTGGGCAGCCGTGCAGCACAGTGCCAGTAAGTGTGGGCAGTGGCAGTGGATGGCGGGGGTCATTGCGGGCTGGATAAATGAGTCCCTCGGGCCTTATCCGGCCCACAGGCCTTAGTTTGGGGACCCCTGTATTAGATCAATCAATAAAACAATAGCTGGGTGATGTTCCTCTGGCCTCATGAGGAGCCTCTTCAATAGGGCTGGTTGAGTGTGGGCCACAGTGTGTCACAGTGACCAACCAGATGCCCCAAAAGGAAACCCACAAGCAGAATTCGATGACAAGAGCAATTTCCCTTCCTGTGGTTTCCGGCAACTGGTATTCAGAAGCATTGCTGCCTCTGACTGTGGAGACAGAGCAGAGCCATCAGTAGCCCTCTCCTCCTCCATGAATTTGTCTAACCCTCTTTTAAAGCCATCCAAGTTGGTGGCCATCCTGTGGGAGGAAGTTCCATAGTTTAACTTTGCGCTAAGAAGGACTTTCTTTTACCTGTTCTGAAACTTCCATCATCCAGTTTCATTGGACGCCCGCAAATTCTAGTACTATGGGAGAGGGAGAAAAGCTCTTCTCGTCCACTTCCCCCCTGCCTTGGCATTTGACTGTGTACAGTGGTACCTTGGGTTACATACGCTTCAGGTTACATATGCTTCAGGTTACAGACTCCACTAACCTAGAAATAGTGCTTCAGGTTAAGTAATTTGCTTAAGGATGAGAACAGAAATCGTGCCCCAGCGGCACGGCGGCAGCAGGAGGCCCCATTAGCTAAAGTGGTGCTTCAGGTTAAGAACAGTTTCAGGTTAAGTACTTAACCCGAGGACCACTGTACATACTGCAGAATATCTTTTATAAACATATATATAATTTTTATCAGTTTTTCAACATATCATTTTCAACAATAATTAAACGTACTTTTACATCTTATCCAATTTTTGACTTCCATCAATCACATCTGAAAATTTTCCAATCTATTCACTTAATTTACATTTCTTATTTTCACTATTACTTTTAAATCTCATAACTAATATCTCTTTTCTTTCTCTTCTTTGCAATATTTCATATATTTCTCCTTACAAAACTTCTTGTAGTCCTACTAGCGTAATTTGTTGATTACAGTTGCTCTTCAAATAATTTGTATATTTCTTCCAATCTTCTGTAAATCTCCGGTCCTGCAGGTTTCGAATCCTTCCTGTCATTTTATCCTATTCTGCATAGTCCATTAATATTGTCTGCCATTCTTCTTTCGTCGGTATTTCTTCTTGCTTCCATTTTGCATTACCCATCGTAATACCTTTGATATTCTGCAGAAGCAATGGAAGCATACTGCTGAATATCAAAGGTATTACACTGGGTAATGACATATAACTGAAAGGACTTGCTCTGTCTGCTCCCAGTTGCTGATTGGCTACAAACCTTGGCCCGGACAAGCCTGCTATGTCACCAGGATGGACAAGGAGAACATCCAAGGCCTGGACACGATCCTCAAGGAATTCCAGGTGAGGGTGGGAACCTTGCTGAAGGTGGAAGTGGTTTGAAGTAGAGCAGTGGCTGCTCCATTTGGGCAAGAGGGGCCCTGCCCCACAAAACTCAGCCAGCCCTTACTCGCTTCCCCCTGACAACCAGGCCAGGGGGGTAGACCTGTCTGTCCATTTCCTTTGTCTCAGTGTTGCCCTTTGTAGAACTCAGCAGGGAAGAGGAGGGGGATGTGGACAGAAGTGGGAAGAGTCTGCTTTGCCAGTCATTGGCTCTAGCGCCACCTGCTGCTGGCCTCCCTGCCTTCCGCCCCATTAGTTCCAAGGAGCACCAGCCACTGCTGGGTTAGGAGCTCTTGGACCTCCATATCCAAAAGCCTTTGTGGGTTGAGGGTGGCAAATGCACGGTAGGCAGATGATGAGCAGGCAGTGGTGGAGTCAGAGATGCGCTCACTTCTTCTTCCACGGGACTCTTCTTACGAAGGACAGCAAAGCAGTTGCAGTAGTTCATGTACTGGTGACTTCAAGTCTGGACTACTGCAGTGCGCTCTATGTGGCGCTTCCTGTGGCGATCACACAGGGTCCCCGGACGTTTCACTGTCTATTGATCCCTGTGCTACCACTTTATTTCTCGCTGCCACCACCCAGGCCCTACCTGGTGCAATACTGAGTCCAGTCAGGGTTAAATTGGAACATAAACTTCTGTTTATTTATTGCAGTTTAACAAGTGTGTGGTTTCATAAACGGCATCGGTCAATTACAATCATGGGGTGCCTATCCAGACCTATAACTTCCTCTACCTGCTCTCATTCACTAAACCACCTCTCAGATATTTACCGTATTTTTCGCTCTATAAGACGCACCAGACCACAAGACGCACCTAGTTTCTGGAGGAGGAAAACAAGAAAAAAAATATTTTGAATCTCAGAAGCCAGAACAGCAAGAGGGATCGCTGCGCAGTGAAAGCAGCAATCCCTCTTGCTGTTCTGGCTTCTGGTATAGCTGCGCAGCCTGCATTCGCTCCATAAGACGCACACACATTTCCCCTTACTTTTTAGGAGGGGAAAAGTGAGTCTTATAGAGCAAAAAATACGGTACTTGTCTTCCTAGCTCCTAAATGTTCCTGACGTAGCTTATTTGACTACACTAACTCAACCTACCCACAGACTCCATCCCAATTCACTCCCACTCCAACCAACCACCCAACTCCCAGAGCTGGTTTTATAGTCCCTCTGACTCCAACCCCTGGGTTTTGATTGGATAACCTGTTTAACTATTTCACCTCCAGCACTCTCATATGTTAACATCATACTTCCCTTGCACTTGATCCAGTGGCGTAGGAAGAGGGGTGCCACCTAAATTATATAATTTGGCTTTTGAATGATTGGTATTTTTAATGGTATTATCATTTGGCATTGTTATAATGAGGCTTTTATTGGATTATTGTAATTGAAAACTAATAAGAATTATTTAAAAAAAAAAAAAAGTTTAAATACTAAAACAGATTAGCATTACCTCAACTTTCTAAGCAACTGGGTGGGCTTGTCTAAACAGGAATTTTTTTAGCATGCACCAAAAAGAGTGCATTTATTCATGAAATAAAAAATAACAAAATAACCTCGCCTGTCTTCTAGAGGGAGAAGGAGGCATTCCTGACAACTCTGGTTGATCGCTCCATCCTGGGCACCACATTTAACATCCTCTGCAGTCACGTTCCAGTCTTTCAGACTTAGTGAGGTGAGTGATGAAGAAAGGTGTGGATTAGAGACTAGAGATGCTCAGAAATTGAGGATAGTTATAACTTCATGCCCTAACAGCTTCCACCGAGATACACGAGTGCTGTGCTGCAAATTTCTCTGACCCTTTCCCTTTTTTAACCATTTCTCTGTTAACAAGTGAAATATACTCAGAGTCGAGAGTGGATTTCATGCTGTTTATTCAGCTCATAGTGGTGAGGAGGAATGGAAGTTCCCCCAGAATATCTGCTTTATATACATTATTTACACAATGGGCCCCACGTGATTGGCTAATTCCAGGATTCTCCTGTAGGCCAATCAGGTTGCGGATTCACTTCCACCTGGAGCTGAATTGGGTGGCTCCTGTGGACCAATCAGACTGCTGCATTCTGGATCCTATTGTTCTAGGACCAATCAGACTGCTGCATTCTGAATCCTATTGTTCTAGGACCAATCAGACTGCTGCATTCTGGATCCTATTGTTCTAGGACCAATCAGACTGCTGCATTCTGGATCCTATTGTTCTAGGACCAATCAGACTGCTGCATTCTGGATCCTATTGTTCTAGGACCAATCAGACTGCTGCATTCTGGATCCTATTGTTCTAGGACCAATCAGACTGCTGCATTCTGGATCCTATTGTTCTAGGACCAATCAGACTGCTGCATTCTGGATCCTATTGTTCTAGGACCAATCAGACTGCTGCATTCTGGATCCTAGTCAACTCAGTACGTAACAACAAGAAAGGAAACTGATCCAAGGGGAGAGAAAATGTCAGTGAAAATCTTGAGTGAGGGGTGCAGGGTTAGGGGTCAAACTTCCCTCGTTTCTGTGTCAGCCCAGAAACTGTGAGTGTCCCTTCCGTTGTCCTACAAATGATCCCACCCATGGCCTGTGCTTTGTCCACCTCCTTGGCTGCCCCCTTGTGGGCCTCTGTTTCGGATCAGGAAATGTAGGCACCAGGGGAGGCTGCAGCCGTGTAGAGGAAAGAAAGCTCTCAAACGCCCTGAGACCTGTGAGTATAGGATAGTATACAAATTTATTATAATAATTATACTATCCCAACCTTAGCAACCTAAGAATCATAGAATTGTGCTCTGTGCTGCTTTCAGCATATACAAAAACATAATTAGACATTAAACATAAAAAAACATTCCTATACAGTGGTACCTCGGGTTACATACGCTTCAGGTTACAGACTCCGCTAACCCAGAAATAGTGCTTCAGGTTAAGAACTTTGCTTCAGGATGAGAACAGAAATCGTGCTCTGGCAGCGCTGCGGCAGCAGGAGGCCCCATTAGCTAAAGTGGTGCTTCAGGTTAAGAATAGTTTCAGGTTAAGCACGGACCTCTGGAACGAATTAAGTATTTAACCCGAGGTACCACTGTACAAGTGGTACCTTGGTACTCGAATGGCTTTGTTCCCAAACACCGCAAACCTGGAAGTAAGTGTTCCGGTTTGTGAACACTTTTCAGAAACCAAACATCCGACACGCCTTCTGCTTGAGTGCAGGAAGTTCCTGCAGCCAATTGGAAGCTGAGCCTTGGTTTTTGAATGCTTTTGGGAGTCGATTAGACTCCTCTAACAGATTAAGTTCAAGAACCAAGGTACCACTGTACAGGGCTGCCTTCTAAAGGTCGTATAGTTACTTATCTCTTTGACATCTGATGGGAGGGCGTTCCACAGGGCAGGTGCCACTACCGAGAAGGCCCTCTGCCTGGTTCCCTGTAACTTGGCTGCTCACAGTGAGGGAACCACCAGAAGGCCCTCAGCGCTGGACCTCAGCGTCTGGGCAGAACGATGGGGATGGAGACGCTCCTTCAGGTATACAGGGCTGAGGCCATTATGGCTATAAAGGTCAGCAACAACACTTTGAATTGTACCTGGAAACATATGTAGCCTCTTTCGCAGGAGTTGAAAACTCCCTAGAAATTGGAGGCCAGATTTTGGCACAGCACAGCAAACATACATGCCCCCCTCCATATGCTCACAAGTTTATGGGCCCACAAGCTAAGCACATGTACATGTATCAGTTGGAACTCGCGTGTTGCTGGAAACCATAAGAGGGCAGAGGGCTCTTGTGTTCCAATCCTGATTGCGGGCTTCCCATAATGGGCATCAGGTTTGCGGCTGTGAAAACAGGAGGCTGGACTAGATGGGCCATTGGCCTGACTCAGCAGGACTGTTTTACTGTATTTTTTGCTCTATAAGACTCACTTTTCCCCTCCTAAAAAGTAAGGGGAAATGTGTGTGCGTCTTATGGAGTGAATGCAGGCTGCGCAGCTATCCCAGAAGCCAGAACAGCAAGAGGGATTGCTGCTTTCACTGCGCAGCGATCCCTCTTGCTGTTCTGGCTTCTGGGATTCAGAATATTTTTTTTCTTGTTTTCCTCCTCCAAAAACTAGGTGCGTCTTATGGTCTGGTGCATCTTATAGAGCGAAAAGTACGGTACTTTCTTATGCCTTGCAGGTGCATGCTGGAAGCGCTTCAACTCTCCGGAGAATTGCAAGAATTCTGCTTCCCCTGGACTCCCCTTGCACAGAGCTCATCCTCAGGTGGCTTTCTGGGTTTTTGCTTCAGGAGGGATCACACAGCTAATTCTGTAAGAGATTTGACCTATGGTGGCTTTGGACATTATTGATGGGCACAAAGGCAGGAAAGTGGCTTCCTGGGTTTCTGATGGGGGTGGGGGAAGAAATCTCTTTCACTCTGCATTTGAATAGGAACTGGCTCAGTTCACACAGAATCCAAAACAGTCTTTGAAATCTGCATTTCTCTGAAGTTTGCAAGGAAATTCTCCAGCCAAGATGTGTGCACAAAAATATATATCTGTGGCTTAGGAGAAAAGGAGCATTAAAAATGTGTTGTTGTTGTTTAGTCGTGTCCGACTCTTCGTGACCCCATGGACCAGAGCACGCCAGGCCCTCCTGTCTTCCACTGCCTCCTGCAGTTTCATCAAATTCATGTTGGTAGTTTCAAGAACACTGTCCCACCATCTCGTCCTCTGTCGTCCCCTTCTCCTTGTGCCCTCCATCTTTCCCAACATCAGGGTCTTTTCCAGGGAGTCTTCTCTTCTCCTGCGGTGGCCAAAGTCTTGGAGCCTCAGCTTCAGGATCTGCCCTCCCAGTGAGCACTCGGGGCTGATTTCCTTCAGAATGGAGAGGTTTGATCTTCTTGCAGTCCATGGGACTCTCAAGAGTCTCCTCCAGCACCAGAATTCAAAAGCATCCATTCTTCAGCGATCAGCCTTCTTTATGGTCCAGCTCTCACTTCCATACATCACTACTGGGAAAACCATAGCTTTAACTATACGGACCTTTGTTGGCAAGGTGATGTCTCTGCTTTTTTTTGCTTTTTTGGGGCGCAAATAACATATAAGAATCATTATACTAGGAGAAATTGCTTGCAATGATGCGTGTATTGAGCAAAATTGCATTAAAATTGTGTGCATATGGGGAAATGCCCATTAAAACGGTGATGAGATTTTGTGAGGCCCCTTAAAAAAATAATTTAAAAGTCTGCAAACTGATGTGGAAATGGGGGAGAACTGAACTTCAGATTAAATATGGGAAAGCAATACTGACAGATTCATCCATCCTGGGTTTATGCCTATTATTAACACCTCAAGCTGGGACCACAAAGGCAGTCCTGAGCGTGGGGGTGAGCCCCCTAGACTGCAGGCTCACTGGTGCAGTTATGAATTTCAGTGGCCACCACACCAACATGCCCAGGTGCCTGCCCTCTCTCTTTCAGGGCCCAGGGCCCTCCTCCCTCTTCTTGCTCTTATTTGCACAGCCAAAAGCCCAACTTGCTCTCGCCAATGCTCCCTGGCATAATTAGCACCCAGACCCACTGCCTCACATGGGGGAGGGATGTCTCTGCATGTGGGGTAGGAGAGAGAGAGAGAGAGAATTCAGAAAGAAGCTGGAGATATCCCCCAAGCGCCTCATCTCCCCAGGTTATTATCAAGTCTGGTTGGACACAAGCAAAAATGGGAAAGCACTTAAATAAATGATAGCTGCCCAATTTACACTAACCCAAAGTGGCAGCTGTAGAGTTTCAGGAAGTGGTGAATAATAGATTGTTACGGGTTATTGCCTCCGTGCAGGCAGCTGATCTGAGAAGAGGCAAGATCCAGGAGAAAGAGTTAGCTGTCGCTTGGAAGAGGGGGGCAATTGACGGTGACATCCTCCTTCTCAAGTCTTGGTTGTCCCAAGACTTCAATCATGGGGAGGTTTGGCCGAGGGCATTTTCCTTTGAACTAGCCTCACTCAAATCCTGGTGCCATCAAGGTGCTTTGGGAGTCCCAGCACCACATGGCCATGATCCCTGGGGCTGGTGGGAGTTGTAGTCCAAAAGATTTGGAGGGCACCAGGTTAGGGAAGGCAGCTCCAGAGGAAAATGAAAGCTGTGGCTAGAAGCAACCTCTAAGAATCCCCCAATGCTGGCCCTTCAAGTCAGGCACCTGGGATGCTGTTTTCAGCAGAGTTTACCTTAGAGCGCTCAGTGGGGAACACACATAGGAACAAAACCCTAAGTCATAGAATCATAGAATCATAGAATCATAGAATCATAGAGTTGGAAGAGACCACAAGGGCCATCGAGTCCAACCCCCTGCCAGGCAGGAAACACCATCAGAGCACTCCTGACATATGGTTGTCAAGCCTCTGCTTAAAGACCTCCAAAGAAGGAGACTCCACCACACTCCTTGGCAGCAAATTCCACTGTCGAACAGCTCTTACTGTCAGGAAGTTCTTCCTAATGTTTAGGTGGAATCTTCTTTCTTGTAGTTTGGATCCATTGCTCCGTGTCCGCTTCTCTGGAGCAGCAGAAAACAACCTTTCTCCCTCCTCTATGTGACATCCTTTTATATATTTGAACATGGCTATCATATCACCCCTTAACCTCCTCTTCTCCAAGTCATCTTCCAAGTCTTCCGGTTTGAAGTTTCCACACAGACCCATCAACCAAAGAGAGCTGGAATGGCGCAGTGATTTCACTGTCCGACTGGAATCACCTGGCAGACTAGGGTTCGAATCCCCACACAACCATGCGACTCACTTTGGGCGCCAGTCACTGCCTCTCAGCCTAACCTACCTCACAGGGTTGTTGTGGGGACTAAATGAGCGAGGGGAGAGGTGAGGCGCGTACACCACCTTGAGGGCCTTGGACGGAAAAGGTGAGATATCGATGTAATAAATAATAGAAAACCAGGACTGCCCGGAATATCCCACGGCACATTCTGAACTGTACATTCAGTTCTTGTGGGACATGAGCTGGACACCCCCTTCTTGCTCAGTGCTCAAATTATTAGATCAAATCTATGCTGTCAGGTGCCATAAGAAAGCTGCAGAGATAGCGCAGGATAGTACACACCCCGGAAATGATCTCTTTCAGCTTCTGCCTTCTAGAAGAAGGTCCAGGGTTATAAAGACCAGGACTAGCCGCCTGAGAAACAGTTTCTACGCAAATGCAATTCTGGTTCTAAACGCAGCACAAGGAGTCTCTATAGTATATTGTATTTTAAAATGGGGTTTCAGAGGTTTTTAGGGGTATTTGAATGTTTTATGTGGATTTCCAGTTTCATTGTTCTGTATGGGGCAATGACAATAAAGATATCGTAACCGTATTTTTTGCTCTATAAGACTCACTTTTTCCCTCCTAAAAAGTAAGGGGAAACGTGTCTGCGTCTTATGGAGCCAATGCAGACTGCACACCTATCCCAGAAGCCAGAACTGCAAGAGGGATCGCTGCTTTCGCTGTGCAGCGATCCCTCTTGTTGTTCTGGCTTCTGAGATTCAGAATATTTTTTTTCTTGTTTTCCTCTTCCAAAAACTAGGTGCGTCTTATGGTCTGGTGCGTCTTACAGAGTGAAAAATACGGTGTGTCGTAAAGGGTTGGTGGGTCCTCAGTTAAGCCCACAGGCTCCAACCTCCCATTCCTGCTTCTCCCACCAGAGACCTACGTAAGATCTGGGGTGGAAGCCCTCTGTGGTCTCTCATACAAGGGCTGTGCTGCCCGTGTGGGACAGAATGAACCTAAACCGCCTTCAGTGACCTTTGTTTGACCTCATTAATTGGCTGCCGGTTAGCCCTGGCCAGGAAATGGAAAGAGCATACAGTAAATTCCTTTTCTGTCCAAATTTGCTTGTGGACTTGCTTTGCTCTTGTGCATGCGATTCGCTTGCCAAAAAAAAAACCCTCCGCCGCAGATTCTCCTCACCGCTTTCATAACGTTGCTATTTACATGGAAAGTTCGTGACTTTGCGACTTTGTTTGGATTGAGAGTTACTTTCAATAAAAGCATTTGCACCTGCTGTCCTGAACGAAGTTGCTTTATTACAATGTGAAGTGGGCAGAGATTAGGGTTGCATTGTCCCGACACACCGGCACCTATAAATAAAAATTAGGTTGTTTCTGTGACTGATTCTGTTGAGGCTGGCAAGGGAAGCAAACAGAAAAGGGACATATTTATTTGGAGCAAAAGTAGCCGTTTGAATATTAAATCCAACCATTTATTTTCTTAAAAACAGCAAAATAAAGTGAATTACAGGGGTGCAGATATTTGCAAATATATCATAATTCTTCTATTAAAATTATGCCGCCACAGAAAACACAGAAGAGAAATATCCCACCACGCCCCCAGTCAAACCATACTGCACACCTCAGCGGGTTGCAACATAAGCTGCACCCCTGTATAAAAGCACCACTCAGCACCTGAAAGAAGAAGCCATCAGTATCATCAGCAATGGTGCTGAGCATCTGCTTGGTGCAGACAAGGGGGGCTGCAATCGGTCATCACCCCCCGCATTCCTTGTGAGCAGCATTAATGCCAAGGAACAGTTTTCCAAAGCTCAGAAAAACAGTGGGACTTCTGTTCATGTCTGAGCCCAGCACAGACTCTCTTTTCAAAACTTTGCAGGGGGTTGGTCTGGATGATCCTTTGGATCCCTTCCAGCTCCACAATTCTGTGATTATATGAAATTAAACACCTCCCTCGATTAGCATACAGGGAACATGGGCCGTTATTTTATGTTTAGACATGGCCAAACTTGGCCCTCCAGATGTTTTGGGACTACAACTCCCATCACCCCTAGCCAACAGGACCAGTGGTAAGGGATGATGGGAATTGTAGTCCCCAAAAAATCTGCAGGGCCAAGTCTGGCCATGCCTGGTTTAGAACATTTGAAAGATCAGGGAGGAACCTCTGGCCTGGGGTGACACCACGGTCCCTGCTCCTTAACCTCCTTGGGCGATTTGGCCTGTGCCCTGGAACTCTGGCCAGGCCTTTTGATCACCTGCACAGAGAGATGGGCTTTGGAAAGTCCTCTAATTGGACTAATTAACCAAGCCTGGTTTAAAGAAGGGAGGGGGAGGAGGGGGAGGCAGGTGGGACCTTGAAGTGGTCATCAGTACTCGACTGAGATCACATTCACCCGGTGCTATACCAGCTGCACTGGCTCCCAGTGGAGTACAGGATCAGGTTTAAGGTGCTGGTTTTAACCTTTAAAGCCCTATACAGCCTAGGACCCTCGTGCCTACGGGACCGCCTCTCTTGGTATGTCCCATAGAGGACCTTACAGTCTTCAAAGAAAAACATCTTGGAGCTCCTGGGCCACAGAGAGGTTAGGCTGGCCTCAACCAGAGCCAGGGCTTTTTCGGCTGTGGCCCCAATCTGGTGGAATGCTCTGTCCCAAGAGACTAGGGCCCTGCGGGACTTGACATCTTTCTGCAGGGCCGGCAAGACAGAGCTGTTCCACCAGGCCTTTGGCCAAGGCACAGTCTGACCCCCTTCTTTGGTAATCCTCACAGAACTCTAGCCCAATGGTTGCCATTAATTAGATTTTGAATTGATTTTAGAATGAATTGATTTTAGAAGGTGTATCATTTTATTGTTTTAGCTGCTCTGAGCCCAGCTTTGGCTGGGGAGGGCGGGATATAAATAAATTATTATTATTATTATTATTATTATTATTATCCAGGCCACCAGAGGGAGGTGTTCTGCAGAGCTTTGCTGCCCGTCCCTCTCTTTCCCTAGAAGCTGGGGAGACCAGCAGCAGAGCTTGGTGGCCTCTTGTGGGGTTCTCAAGGAGCCTGCTTCACCCAGCCTCATGCGAGTGTGGGGTTGACGTGTTGCAGTTGCGCAACGAAAGGGAGTGTGAGAGGCTTCTCTTGGGCACCCTCCCCTTTGATGCAAGGGATTCTCCACCCCTGTTTTAAAGCTACTACCTTCACCGGAGTGGCCCCTCCAATTACGCCGCCTGAGGCCAAAGAGAAAGGTTCGCTCTGCTGCCGAGGTCTCCCTGCCCTGCCAAAGCTATGGGCTGTGGGGCAGTGCCAGCAAAGCACGGACAGCAACACCGGGTTCCGGTTAGAACTTGTAAGGTTTTGGCGAGATTTCTCGTCGTGTTGCAGGAATTTATGTATAGGTTGGGGGGGGGGTTGCCCCTCCAGCAGATATCATGCACATGCAGCCCACTACCAAAATCAGCACAATCGCTTTTGTGACTTTTGTGATTTGTCCCCACAAAACACTTCATCACAGTTTCTTCCTATCCAAAGGGCCTCTGCTGCACAATACCAAATGTAACAATTCACTGATCAATGTCTCTATGTATTGGCTCACTGGGAAAACTTCAGAAATTCCTATAGACGTGTGAGCTCAGCTACTCAGCAGCCCCTCTGCCTGAGTGATAATTCCTGGCATCCTGATACCTGAGTGCCAGACAGGTAGCCATTCCAGAAATAACAAACCCAGATGAAGACAAAAGGGTGTGATTAACTTGGCTGGGAAACAGGGAAATGGAAATATCCTTTTTGTTGCACTTGATGGGTGTTTGGTGGAGGGCAAGGGTCCAGGATGCTCAGATTACTGCCACCAGACCTCCCCTTTCATGATGTAACCATGATGTATTAGTGATGTAGTTGGGGGGGTGTAACATGGGGATTAGCAGCTAATAAAATTTTGGGGGCTCTTTTGTTCGGGGCTTCCATCTTGTTCGACCTTGTGGCAGGTGGGAGTCCTGCTGTGACAGTCTTCAATAAAGACCAAGCCTACTGGCTGCTGTTTTGCTCTGGTATTCCTGGCTGGTGTCCTTGTTTTTTGTCCAAGGGAGCCCTCAGATTTCTCCGTTAACAATTGGAAGCCGCCACCGCTTCTCCACTGGCAGTGGGGCACCGGCATGGGCACTGCCTCTTGGGGTGTCGCTGCCTCAGCCCACCTCATGAGAGCCAGTGTGGTGTAGTGGTTAGGAGCAGTGGACTCGTAATCTGGTGAACTGGGTTTGATTCCCTGCTCCTCCACATGCAGCTGCTGGGTGACCTTGGGCCAGTCACACTTCTCTGAAGTCTCTCAGCCTCACTCACCTCACAGAGTGTTTGTTGTGGGGGAGGAAGGGAAAAGGAGATTGTTAGCCGCTTTGAGACTCCCTAGGGTAGTGATAAAGCAGGATATCAAATCCAAACTCTTCAAACTCTTCATGGGCAGGCTGGCCCTGATCTTTGTCACTGCTGAACCTCACACCAGCCTCTTTCTCACTACAAGCTATCACAAACACCATCCTTCACACCACAGCACACAATGCCCTCCAGGGCCTGCTCCTCTCTGGGGACGATAGGACTCTTCCTCAGCCCTGAAGCAGGAGGCAGGTGACGCCCCACACCATGGGGGAGAAGGTCAGGAGGGTCCCTGCCCGGGGGTCCTTGGCCGCTTGACTGTAGAGCTCGCCTTCCATCATGGGGTCCGACCAGTTGGGGTTCTGGAATCCGGGCTGCGACATCTGCTTTCCGGCCGAGGAAGAGCCTTGCCCTCCTCGGGAGAAGCGAGACCTCCCAAGGGAGCTCAGGCCGTATCCCACGGCTGCCCCCACTGCTGCAGCCCCTGCCACCTTCGCGCCGCGACTGCCGCTGGAACTTTGCCCGCTGCTGCTGCTCTTTGGCAGGGAGTGGAACCCGCCGCGCGATGACCCTCCGCTTTTGCTGCCACCGCCGCCTCCTCTTCCTCCTCCCCTGCGGCAAACGGCAGGCTCGCTGATGAGAGCAACCAGGAGCACCACGACCCAGTACCCGGCAGCCCAGCTCTTCCTCATGGTCTTGTACCTGAAACAGAAAGAGAAGGTGGAAGATCCTAGAATTGTAGAGTCGGAAGCGACTTCCAAGGTTCATCCAGTTGTAATAAACAAAAATCTGCCCTTATTCCCTTATGAGGGACACAAGAGCCCTTACAGAGTCCTTTGCAGGTTCTCCATCGGATGGAGGAAATAACAGATGCCAACCAGAGAATATTGAGAAGCAAAGCAGCTCGTAAGCCTGATCTTTATTGAACTGTTGCAACAGGGTGCTCCCCTCATACGCAGTAGAAGGAGGACCCAGAACAAAGGCCCTTATATAGACATTTAAAATTGCCCGCCCTGGAGTCCACGACCACCCCTAGAAACATCATACATACATCGTAGAAGGGGTGTAGCTCAAGACCACCCCCCAGATAGATCATACCTACATCACAGAAGGGGGTGGTGGTCTACAACAGAAATCTGAGTGTGTTGTTTACCAGAAATCTGAGTGTGTTGTTTATCTCCTGTCTGGCAGGTTACCTGTTAATGCTTACTTGATTGGATACCCTGAGGAGCCTGGCCAGCCTTTTGTAATGATAAATACTTAGTTCCTGAGCCAGGTCACAGGCTCACCGTATTCATACACAGACATACCCTTAAGACAGGATTTGTGAAGGAAAAGACAACAGGGAGGCTTTTCCATTTTCCTTTGACTTTTCAGAGAAAACATTTGGTCAGTTTGGGAGCCAAAACTGTGCTGCTTCAGACATGTGGTTTATGTATTTATTTATGTATGTGTTTGCTTGGTACATTTATGAACATTTATTATATATATAAGACCTTCATTTTTTTTATTTCACAGTCCAGCAGCAAGGCAGGAATCAGAGCTCTCTGGGTCCTCTGAAGGCCCTGCCAGGATGTTGGGCCTGAAGTCCAGCCCTTGCTACACCGCTGTGCTCCATGGGCAGACCAGAGCTGAGGATCCATTCCCCACATTTGTGCATTGCAGCTGCACCGCACTGGTCAGTTGGCAACCCTAGCAGGCAGGTGGCTGTGTTGGCTGGGGCTGGTGGGGGATGTGGACCAAAGCATCAGGGGTGGGAAGGCAGACCTGGACTGAGACTTTAGCTGAAAGCGTTAAGTTAGCTAGAACAGGCATAGGCAAACTCCGGCCCTCCAGATGTTTGGGACTACAATTCCCATCATCCCTGACCACTGGTCCTGTTAGCTAGGGATGATGGGAATTGTAGTCCCAAACATCTGGAGGGCCGGAGTTTGCCTATGCCTGAGCTAGAAGAAGCCAAGAGAAGGCCTTGGTCGGCTCTGTAGCTGTAGCAGAGTACAGTAAGCTAAAGCAACAATCCTGGCCTTTTCGTTGCAGCTTGAGTGACTCCCCACAGAAGAGTCCTGGATTCTAACCCTGTCTGCTCCTGAGAGAGTTGCAGCCATTCTGGGATGCCTCAGCTTAGAGGTGGCATCCTGGCAAAGTCTGGCATGGAATGCGTCTCAGGCACAAAAGGCATTTGCTTTACTGGTTTCCAGGCAGAAGGCTGGTTTATGTGGCTGCTGAGACCACATAACACTGGCCTTGAAAGACCTACATTGGCTCCCAGTACGTTTCCGAGCACAATTCAAAGTGTTGGTGTTGGTGTTGATCTTTAAAGCCCTAAACGGCCTCAGTCCAGTATACCTGAAGGAGCGTCTCCACCCCCATCGTTCTGCCTGGACACTGACGTCCAGCGCTGAGGGCCTTCTGGTGGTTCCCTCACTGCGAGAAGTCAAGTTACAGGGAACCAGGCAGAGGGCCTTCACGGCAGTGGCACCCGCCCTGTGGAATGCCCTCCCACCAGATGTCAAAGAAATAAACAACTAACTGACATTTAGAAGACATCTGAAGGCAGTCCTGTTCAGGGAAGTTTTTAATGTGTGACATTTTAATTTATTTTTAATCTTTGTTGGAAGCCGCTCAGAGTGGCTGGGGAAACCCAGCCAGATGGGCGGGGTACAAATAATAAATTATTATTATTATTATTATTATTATTATTATTATTATTAACATCAGAACAACAGAAGAGGCTGCTGGATCAGGCCAAAGAAGCCCCATCTAGTCTAGCATCCTGTTCTCACAGTGGCCAAGGAGCAGGATCCCAGAACAAAAGCCCTCTATCCCCTCCTGTGGCTTCCAGCAACTGGTGTTCAGGGGCATTCCTGCCTCCGACTGTAGAGGCACAAAAGAGCCATCCTGGCTAGGAGCCAATGATTGCTTAATAATCCTCCATGGATTTGCCCAATCCTCTTTTAAAGCCATCCACCCCTGCCTCCTTTGGGAGTAAGCTCCATAGTTCAACTCTGCACTGCGTGGGAAACCCTTCCTTTTAACTGTCCAGCCCTCAGCTTCATTGGATGCCCACAAGGCTGTTTTATGAGAGAGAGAGGAAAACTTTTCTCTAAATGCTTTCTCCAAGCCATGCATGATTTCGTAAATGTCTATCATGTTGCCTCGCCCCTTCTCTTTCATGGAAAACCCAGATTGCCATTTGTTCTGTAAAGGTGAAGGTAAAGGGACCCCTGACCATTAGGTCCAGTCATGACCGACTGTGGGGTTGCAGCACTCATCTCGCTTTATTGGCCGAGGGAGCCGGCGTACAGCTTCCAGGTCATGTGGCCAGCATGACTAACCCGCTCCTGGCGAACCAGAGCAGCGCCGTTTACCTTCCCGCCGGAGCGGTACCTATTTATCTACTTGCACTTTGACGTGCTTTTGAACTGCTAAGTTGGCAGGAGCAGGGACCGAGCAACGGGAGCTCACCCCGTCACGGGGATTCGAACCGCCGACCTTCTGATCGGCAAGTCCTAGACTCTGTGGTTTAACCCACAGCGCCACCCTGATTCAGCATCAAAAGCAGGTTTTCTTGGGCCATGCAGTAGGCAGGGCAAAGAAAATGGAAAAAGTGCTCAGACATGAAGCAGGAAAGCTCAGGCCTGTGCCTAGAAAGCGCAGGGCAAAAGTTATGAGTGGATGAGCCCTTACTAGCCTTTCCTGTAAACTGAAAAGTCCCTGCGCTCAACACAATAATCCAGACCTAATGACAGGGCAGAACCTTCTGGGAACAGCAGCACAACAAAGAGGGTGAAATTGCTGAGCCATTGGCCCTCCAGGGCTTGCCACTCACATGACTCGTTTGCACAAAAGCCTGAGTCCCAGGAAAGAAAACAATACTCCAGTCCAAACACACACACCCTTCAGCTGCTGTCACCCGCAGGCTAACAGCCGGAGGCTTCTGGCTCAGCAGTTCTCTGCTGTTGCCCCCAACCCCCTCCCCCCCAAAAAAAACCCCTTTTGCAATAACTCTAAAAGGGAAGACGTTGGAGTGACTTGCCTGAGGGGCCGCTGGAGGGCAATAAAGTCAAGTCGCCTTTATTGGCCTCGCATAAGAACATTCAGAATACATTCAGAATAGATAGGCCAGTGCGATCTCATCGCCACCCCAACGGCACAGTCACCCGCCAAAGGGCAGAAGAGGTGAGCAAGCAGCCTCATCTCTGTGGGTTTCCAGCAAGGGCAAGATCCTGTGGCATACTTTGGCAACAAAAAATCAAATAGAGGAACTTAGCTACTGCCTTGGTGAGCTCCTGGTCTCTCCCCTGTAATAAGAAGCGCATAACCTCCGTCTCTGGTTTCCATGTTGGAATACATAGATGGTCTAGAAATTGTTGGCGGAGATCATCATGTTGTTTAGTCGTTTAGTCGTGTTCTCTTCTCATGAAATGGCCAAAGTATTGGAGCCTCAGCTTCACGATCTGTTCTTCCAGTGAGCACTCAGGGCTGATTTCCTTCAGAATGGATAGGTTTGATCTTCTTGCAGTCCATGGGACTCTCAAGAGTCTCCTCCAGCACCAGAATTCAAAAGCATCCATTCTTCGGCGATCAGCCTTCTTTATGGTCCAGCTCTCACTTCCATACATCATTACTGGGAAAACCATAGATTTTACTATACAGACCTTTGTCGGCAAGGTGATGTCTCTGCTTTTTAAGATGCTGTCTAGGTTTGTCATTGCTTTTCTCCCAAGAAGCAGGCATCTTTTAATTTCGTGACTGCTGTCACCATCTGCAGTGATCATGGAGCCCAAGGAAGTAAAATCTCTCACTGCCTCCATTTCTTCCCCTTCTATTTGCCAGGAGGTGAGGAGATCATCATACATTTTACATTTAAGGGCCATGTGAGCTAGACTTTCCACCAGGAGGGCATCGCATGGGCAGATCCTATCTCCTTCTGCCAAACCCGCAAACCTACCCCAAAGGAGGTTAGAAGGATTAGAATTGAACCTAGCCAGCGAAAAAGCCCTTCTTTCTTGAGGGTTAAACAAAAATTGTAAATAATTAAGACTAAATTCCTGCGCCCAAGAGAGTTGAAAATAAAGAGGGGAACATGTTTTTTCCGCAGCTGAGATTAGTTCCTGGCGATCTATGTCCCACAGCCTAGTTTTTAACATGGTCTTGGTGAATGGGAAAGCCCAGGAGATCCTCTGAAAGCCTGAGTTGCCGGATCTTTGTGCAAAACAGTTGTAGCTCTGGGGAACTATGGAAATCCTTCCTGCAGGAAGCAGTGGTGGCCACCAGCCCAAGCTTCACGATCTGTCCTTCCAGTGAGCACTCAGGGCTGATGGATAGGTTTGATCTTCTTGCAGCCCATGGGACTCTCAAGAGTCTCCTCCAGCACCAGAATTCAAAAGCATCAATTCTTCGGCGATCAGCCTTCTTTATGGTCCAGCTCTCACTTCCATACATCACTACTGGGAAAACCATAGCTTTAACTATACGGACCTTTGTTGGCAAGGTGATGTCTCTGCTTTTTTCCCTCCAGGTTAAACATACCCAACTCCCTTGACTGTTCCTCATAAGGCTTGCCTTCCAGACCCTTGTTCATCTTGGCTGCCCTCCTCTGCACACATTGCAACTTGTCAATATCCTTCTTAAACTGAGGTGCCCAGAACTGGACACAGGACTCCAGGTGGGGTCTGACCAAGGTAGAATAGAGGAGGAGTATAACTTTCCTCAGTGTGGACACTTGACTTCTGTTGATGCCACCTCAAATGGCATCAGCTTTTTTTGCTCCTGCATCACACTTTTGACTCATGTTAAGCTTGTGGTCTATTAAGATCCCTAGATTGTTTTTTGCATGCAAGCCAGATGTCCCAAATCTTATATTTGTGCAGCTGGTTATCTCTGCCTAAGTGCAGAACCTTACATTTGTCCCTATTGAAGCAAGATCTGTCAGGCTGCTAATGCTGTGAACCCCTCCATTTTATGCTCAGGTTGTATATATGTTTAAATACAACTATATATCCTAAAGACACCACAGTCTCTGCTGATCTTCATTCCAATGAAACCAAACCTAGAACACTTGGGATCTCTCAGCACTCCAAGTTTGGGTTGGTGTGCAACAATATAGTAGCAAGTGCAAGGGAGGCTGTTTGTCTCCACCTGACCTTCCCTCCCTAGCTGGGATCTTCATGGAAATCTGTTGTGCCCCCCCCCCCCCAATGCTGCAATTAGTGAGAGGAAAAAAGTGGTAGGTTGGAATAAGCACAAACTCTCAGGAAGCAAATTGTTTGGATTGCAGCTGAAGTGTTAAAACCCCCCAAAGGAAGGCAGAAAACTCACTATCTAAGCCAGCAGGTAAGAAAGTCCATTGCACTTACTTTCTCCTAGGAGCAACCACCAGTGGCGGATGAGGACCCTCAGGGGCAAAGGATCTCTGCCTGTGAAAGGCTGCTGACAGCGTGAATCCTCTGTGAGCTGGAAACAGAGTTGTTGTCAGAGCACATCAGGGCTCCCCAGAATGGAACAAAAGCTTGATGCCTCATCACCACCTGACTGGTCAATGGAGCAAGCTAGGCTCTTTAGACAGTCACCCTGCACAACTCGTGACCCACACACACACAAAGTTCAGGATCCTGGCCAAACAACACATCCAGGAGGCCCTGCGGAGCTGCCACAGGTCAGTGCAACCTGCAAACTGGGTCATCTCGAGTTGTACAGGGCTGCTTCACACCCAGTGGATCTCCTCAGGAGAAGAGGGTTGTGACGGAAAAGTTTGTTTTTGCTGGGCAGGTTGGGTCACCAGGTGTTTTCCTTTTACCCTGCCAGCAAACGGTTAATGAACGGCAGCTTCTGATTGGCCGGGGTTCCAGGAGGGGGAGTTGAAAAGGAGAGGATTTTGAGCAGGCTTCCTCAACCTCGGCCCTCCAGATGTTTTGAGACTACAGTTTCCATCATCCCTGACCACTGGTCCTGCTAGCTAGGGATCATGGGAGTTGTAGGCCAAAAACATCTAGAGGGCCGAGGTTGAGGAAGCCTGATTTTGAGAGACAGTTTTTTATGTTGGGATAGAGGTTGGGAGAATAGGTTGGGAGATAGGGAGTGAGAGGAGAGAGAGTTGGTTCTGGGTAGAAACATCCACTCTGAGGAATATGTCAAAACTAGAAAAAGGAGTCTCTGAGCTTAGTGTGAAGGACAGGGTGTGGTGTCCTGTAAGAGTAATAGGCCAGGAATTAACTGGGAGGCTGAGGTGGAGACAGGAGAAGTAGAAGCTGGAAAGATACAGTCTACTTAGGTCTCATTCCGATCAGGAGGGGAGAGATTCTACAAAAAGAGAAGACCCCCAAACCAGTTAAGGGGGGTGTGGTGATCCCTTGGGTCTGTTACTTGGAGTACCTCCGGAGCAGGGTTGTCTAAGGGGTGTGTAACTGACAGAAAGTTCCATCTTGTTTAAGAACCAAAGTATTAAGCGGCAACAGCTGTGCAACAAATAAGAAGGAACTGAAATGAAATAACATTATAATCTGAAGTATCTCGTGTTTTACCCACTTCGTGTCATAAGCTTCCTTTGTTTAATAAAATCTTTATTGTTTATTTGATCAAATCCTGCCCAGGACTCCAAAGTATTAAGTCTTCCCTCACACAAGTCCCCCACAAGATAATCTGGGGTAGTTTGTAGGAATTCGTGGAATTGGTGTTCTGTGAGGTGGGTGCACTATATTTAAGTGAGGGTGGGCCCAACGGAAAAAGTGCCGTCGCAAGGGTCCTCACGGCTCTCTGTCACCTTCTACTGTGAGATGTGCACAAAGGATGGTGAGTGAACATCTTTATTCAGAAAAAACTCAAGCTGGCATCAGGCATGACAAAAGCTCACCCCTTCAAGGCCAGGACTCCACTTTTGCCTGCTTCCATTCACCAGGTACATAGATCTAGGTAGCTACCTGGTTATCCCAAATACCCCAGAGTAAGGGGTTATGAGCCCATGGGAGAGTCCCAGCTTTGCACACAAAGTACAGTGGTGCCCCGCAAGACGAATGCCTCGCAAGACGGAAAACCCGCTAGACGAAAGGGTTTTCCGTTTTGGAGGTGCTTCGCAAAACAAATTTCCTATGGGCTTGCTTCGCAAGACGAAAATGTCTTGCGAGTTCCTGCGAGGTTTTTCCCCCCCCCCTTTTTCCCAAGCCGCTAAGCCGCTTATCAGCTGATCCGCTAAGCCGCTTAACAGCTGATCGCTAAGCCGCTTATCAGCTGATCCGCTAAGCCGCTTATCAGCTGATCGCTAAGCCGCTTATCAGCTGATCCGCTAAGCCGCTTAACAGCTGATCCGTTAAGCCACTAAACTGCTTATCAGCTGATCGCTAAGCCGCTAATCAGCTGATCCGCTAAGCCCGCTAAGCCGCTAATAGCGCTAATCCGCTAATGGGCTTGCTTCGCAAGACGAAAAAACCGCAAGACGAAGAGACTCGCGGAACGGATTCTTTTCGTCTTGCGAGGCACCACTGTATTGGGCAAAGACCGTATGTCAGTGTCCTTACTTGACACTGCAGTTGGCAGCTTCTCAGGTCGTAGCCAGACGACCCATTTATTGAGCAGGCATCTTGATTTGTTCATAGGGAGGCTACAGGGTATTACTCCACACTTTCCTGTGCATTTTTCCTTATCGGAAAAAGTCAGATCATTTGGGGAAGTGGATTTGTTGTTACACAAGAACTCCAAATCAGCATTAATTGGGCAACCTGAATCTCATAGAATCATATGAGTTGCAGGGGACCCAGTTCTTCTTCTTCTTCTTTGGCGATCCCTCATAGCCGAGTAAGATTGTCTTCCATAAACACGGTTTTAACAGTGAGTCTGTAAGTGACTGTGGAGGCCAATTCTGGATCCACACGTCCTTCCACAGTGGGGACATTGGTTTCCAGGCGGGAGTTGATCACGGTGTGGATTTGCCAAGCATGCCTTCCTCTTAGCACGTTTCTCCAGTGTGGTGTAGTGGTTAAGAGCGGTAGTCTTGTAATCTGGGGAACCGGGTTCGCGTCTCCGCTCCTCCACATGCAGCTGCTGGGTGACCTTGGACTAGTCACACTTCTCTGAAGTCTCTCAGCCCCACTCACCTCACAGAGTGTTTGTTGTGGGGGAGGAAGGGAAAGGAGAATGTGAGCCGCTTTGAGAATCCTTCGGGTAGTGATAAAGCGGGATATCAAATCCAAACTCTTCTTCTTCTTCTTCCTCCCGTGCATCCTGAGTTTGAGTGTCTTCAAAGCCCACGACACCATTGGTAAAGGCTGTTCTCCAACTGAAACGCTCACAGGCCAGTGTTTCCCAGTTGTCAGTGTTTATACTACATTTTGCGTGTGTGATTTGCCAATGTGAGGTTGAATTCCCTCCCCCTAACAGTGACAGTCTAGAAGTGCACTGAACCCACCAATATTATTTGCAAGCATCTTAAAACTTAAAAGCACTAGTGTGACCTCAGCTGAGCATTTCTTGCATAAGCCTGGGCAAAGAGGCATATCTTAAACAAGGAAAAGTTTATTGAGAAGAACACTGTAGAGTTTCAGGGAGTCGGTCCCTATCCCGCCTTCAACTTTGTCCTCACATAACCCCAAACCTTCCAGAGCTGTGGGGATCTCAGATCCAAACTGTGCCCTCATTTCATTCTCCCCAATTTCTTCCCACAACAATTGAATAAAACCAGAGGACCACTGTTGCATTTCTATTGACAAAGTGCTTTAATTAAAACAAAATAATCTAGTTGCATGTGCTTCATACTATATAAAGTGGTATTCACAAGGTGGTTTTATGAAATCCATGGTCCAAACCTCTCCCCCCACAGCACAAGCCTTTGAGAGATCCATGGATAAAAAAAGGTGTGTTTTTTTTAATCCAGCTAAACATAAATTCTGAAGATAGCGCTGCTGATGATGGAAGACTTGGGATACCAAGTATTATTGCATGTGAATGACAGATCAAGATATTGCTAGCTCAGCTCAGCAAAAACAGCTGCTTTCTCACTAGGGGTTGTGGGGGAAATTCCACGCACATGCATCCATACACTCACGCATCCCTGGATGCTTATTAACTTTGTGCCCTGCAAGCTCAAAGCCTCAGGATACTTCCCTTTTCGCCTGATGGAAGCCTCCCAACAGAAGCTTTTCCAGAAAAGGACCCCTGCAGAGCAGATTCTCCAGAAATGTAGCACACAGCACTGATAGAACAAATGGGTACCAATTCTGTTCAGAATGGAAACTGCAATTTATTCTTACCAAGCAACAAATATATTGTCTGAAGCAGGTGAAACCCCGTGGATTAAGAGTGGAGAACTTGCAGCAGCCCTCCAGGAGCTGTTGGACTCCTGGTCCCATCAGCTCCTGGTCCCATCAGCTCCAGCCAGCATGGCCAACAGCCAGGGATGATGGGATTCGGAGTCGAGCCTGCATCGGAGGGCCACAGCTTAAGTCAGCCGCGATGTAAACACAGATCTAAGGGGGGAAAGCTTTAAGAACAGCTTAAAGCCAACTTGCATGTTCCGAAGTGTAGAGTGGTAAAGCGTTTCTGGACAGGACCAATTCAGTTTCAAGGGTGTGTGTGGCCATTGCAAATCTTAGTCATCCTCCTCCACCTGGTAAACTCACAACACATGTAGCATGCCAGAAGGCCACCTACTCATTTGCCCAGTGTGCTATTGGTCCATGTGTGTTCCTCATTCAAAGACGCAACTCCCCTCCAGCCTGAAATGGTACATTCCAGGAAAAGCACTGCCACTGGGTTCTACTTCGGATCTGAACTAGGCCCTAGGAGCAATTTTTTGGCACAACTTTTTTTTTGTCTGGTAGTGGGGAGAGGGACTTTTCTTCCTAGCCAATGATTTCATTTGCAAAAGCCGCACTAGGAGACATTTTGGGCTGGGTAAGAGATTATTAAGGTGACACGACAGCTATCTTCAAATATTTGGGAGGCTTATCACATAGATGATGGAGCAAAATTTATTTCCTCCAGAGAGCAGTACTCAAGTCAATGGGTTCAACCTACAATAATTTCAACTATGCATTAGGAAGACTTTCCTGATGAGGCAAGGCTGCCTTGGATGGTGGCAGTGGGCGGCCCTCATCGACTAAATGGCTTCCGGGGTTAACCTTCCAACGCTATGAAAATTCTCTGAACAGTTTTCTGTGCTCTGGCATAGAAACCGCAACGAGGACTTTCATCCCCCAAGGCCTGCTGGCCCCTAGGAAGGCAAGGGCTGGAAGCATCAAAAGACATCTCCTGCCCACCTCCAAAATAAGAGCCAGCCGTATGGGCTCCTTGGAGCAGAGGGAGGATGGTCGTAAGCAGCGCCTTGCGACAAAACTCTCCCCTCTTCAGGAGGCTGGGTATGGATGCAAAGAGCAGTGGTTTTCAACCAGTGTGCCTTGCTGCCCTGGGGCGCCTTGAATGATGGTCAGGGGTGCCATGGGCAACACTGCCCTCTGTCCCTCTTTCCTTCCCTCCCTCCTTTGATGCCCTCTCGCATCTCTGCCTCCCAAAGGCTTGCACAGCTGTTTGCTGCAGCAGCCCTGGCTACAAGCTTTCCAGGAGAATGCTGCCTCTGGGGCTGGCCAGGGGGTGCTTCCCCGGCCCCTGTGGGGCAGTGGGAGGAGGCACCTCTCTTTGGGGCGGGGGGGGGGCAACTCAAGAGACCATAGGAAGCAGCAGCGGCTGCCTGGAGGACTCCCAAGGAGAGGGGAGGAGGCTGAGGGAACACTCCACAAGAGGGGGTGCTTGAAAAAGGGTGAGGGGCTGCCAGCTCTGCAGGCAAGGGGGTGACACAACTGGGCTCCTGAGCCCCACAGGGGTGCCACAGAAAGAATGCAGTTGCAGGGCTGTCTTAAGCGGCACCAGGATCAAAGATCTGCCCAGCGCCCCTGCCCCCAGTTACCCAGTCCCAGGTGCGCAGGAGGGCGGAGTTGGCTGGCTGCCTCAGTGTCTCGCTGGGTCGGTCACCTCCCAACTCACGGCGCAGAGCCGCCCGCAGCAGAAGAGCCTGCCACAGTGCTCCAACCGACAGGCGGGCTCTTTCCCGTACTCAACTCTCGGGCCCTGGACTCTTGGCCTAGCGCCCCTGAGAGCCTGGCGCCCGGGTGCCTCGCACCCCTTAGAGCCTATGGGTAAGACGGCCCTCTGCAGTTGGTCAAGGGAGCCATGGACCCAAAAAGGTTGAAATCCTCTGGCATAGATTATTGGACACAGTAGAGAAATCTGTGCAATAAGACCCCGGAAAAGAACCAGACATAGGCCAATCACAGGCCTGATTAGTACACAGAATCTCAGAATTGTAGAGCTGTAAGGGACGGAAAGGGGTCCTCTAGTCCAACTCCCTGCAAAGCAGGAACCATAGCTCAAGAGTCCCTGACCGATGGCCATCCAACCTCTGCTTAAAAACCTCTACCATCTGCTGAGGGGGTTTGTCCCTCTGTCGAACAGCTCCTACTGTCAGGAAGTTGTAAAGAACACATGTAAAACAAACAGCAGTTCATCCACTTTTTAGCCAAAAACGTAGCATTTATATCTGCATTCTAAGATGTCAAAGCGCACCACATACATAACCTCTGCGATCCTTACAACAGCTCTGAAAAATAGACCTGTATTCTCTCCCTTCCATTCTACAAAAGGGGCATCGAGGCAGAGAAAGGGGTTTGTGTATGAGCACCTAATGAATTCACAGTAGAGGTAAGACTTGAACTGGGGCCCTCTCAGTTCACAGCTTTCAGAGACTACGTTATGCTGTCCTTCCTGTCAAGAGTACATTTCTATTATTGCTAAATCTCACACAGGTAACTCCAGTTGCAATCGGAGGTGTGTCACCCATCAGCCAACCCTGTGCCAAAACAAGGGCACTTTGTTGGGCTTTGTTTACGTTACGAAGTTTAATATTCATGGATTGGGACCTAGAGGGTCATTTAGTCCAACCCCCTGTGGTGCAATTCCTTCAGGATCGCCCTTAAAGCACAAGATGGTTGGCAACTCTACGCTGGCCCATTGCTCAGGTACAGCTTCCATAAGCCTGCGAAGGTGTGTCTACTTCAGGCACTAGGTCCTGGCTCAGACATGCACTTTTTACCACTGGTTAGTTGCAAATTCTTGCGTGGGCGTGACCCTCTGCAGATTTCGCATGACCTCACGCACGACACAAGCCAGTTTCACACTTTCAGTCGCCCACCGTCAAGAGATGCACATCCCTGTTTGTGAGAGACCGAACCCTTAGCCAGAGCAATGCAAGTCAGCTTTTGCAATCCTGAGATGCTCTTGCTTAGATCCCAAGAGTTCTTAAAATAACCCTCCCAAAAAACAGACTTGCCCTTTTTAAAAAGGTGACCCACCCTTTAGTTTCCGCCAGAGACTGAAACCATGAACAAGAATGGAATGAAATGTACATTTGGACTAAAGAGTGTACAGCAGTTGTTCCCAAAGTGGTTGGTTCCACCCCCCAGTGGGGTTACTAGTGGGGGGGGGGGAGAGATGCTAAGAGGCAAGGAGGTGTCTAGAGGTGTAAATGGCTGATAATAATTATTTTATTATTTTTACCACTGCTAGTATCACTGGATCAAGTTCATCAATTCTGATGAATCAATTAAACTAAATACTTTTAACTGGGTTATGGGTAAATGTGCAATTTTTACCGTTTTGAGTTATCTTCTTTAGCAGGTGGCACAAACTGCTATTCTGGACAATCCTTTTTACAGGGGAGGGGTCATTGGGGTTGAGTTTATGGAACCAAGGGAGAGGTGGCCCCCCCAAAAGTGGGGGAACCACTGGTGTACAGGGCTGGACACAGACCTAGACCTACTTAAGAGTCGACCCAATGAAGTACTGTACCATCGATTTCAGTGGGACTCTCCAAGTACAGTTAAACGTGGATCCAGCCCACAGGCTACAATCATCGTTGCAAATCTGTTTGTGCTCTTCAGAGCTTGTTTCCAAGCGCATCATAAGTAGGCTGCTTTCATGTGCTGGTTCATTTCAGAATCCTTCCCCCCCCCCCCAAAAAATATTATTATTATTATTTATATAAATTATTGCTGTTATTTTCCTGTGCATGTAATATTTGGCATATAGATAATAATAAAAGAATAACAGAAAAGGCTGGAGCTTAAAAAAATATCCACAATCCATCTAGTGCAATTTAGAAGTGAAAAGTTGTTAAAGGGTTAGCTAGCGAGAAAGAGGGGAGACATACAAAGTGGGTTTACTCAGGAGGAAGTTCCACGAAATTTTGGTGGGGCTTCCTCAGGGAGTGTTAAATATGCTCAGGATTTCAGCCCCAACAAGCAACAACACACTAGAAAAGAATCCTTTTTTGGGGGTGGTATGCAGGGGCTAAGTAGGAAAACTTCTGAATTATTATTTCTTTTCTCAAAAAAGCTCCACTGATGCCACTAAGGGCAGGACTACATATTACACATAAATACATGTTAATACCTGCTGGCCACTTACGTTAGTGCAAAGCAGCTCAAGGAGGGAGGAGATCATTTTGGAATGCATTAGTAAGGGGGGGGAGGGCGAACAGGATGCTTAACCCTTTCCTGACCCACTTCAACTAAGACCTGCCTTCAGAGGGGTTCCAGGAGCAACTAAGACCGTGCCTGGAACCCAACAGGAGGAAAACCAGCTCAGGGATGAAAACTAGAGGCAGAATGCAGTTGGCAGGGAGAGGGTTAAACACCCTTCCCCCTTCTTTGCTTCAAACTGCTCCCCCCACAGGTGATTTTTGCCATACGCCTTATGCAAAGGGATTATTTCCCAGCCATTTTAAACCCACATCAAAGGGAGGTGGGAAACGTCCGATGTCCATTTAAAGCCCAAGAGCTTCTCCTGCAAAACCTCCTGGGCACTTGGCCTCCATATCTGTAGAACTGGGAGAGGTTCTTGAAAATGGCATGTCTACAGTTGCAAGGGGTGGAGGGGAAGGAGAACAAAGGCATTTAGGATTTACGTAGGAGGGCCAAGATCTGCAGCAAGGCCCCACACGACTCGCTCTTGGGTCTATTTATGATTGGATGGGAGAGTAAGCTGGGCATTTTTAAAGCTGATGGAACTTTGCACCATTGCAAAGGCCAACACAGGGTTAACAGCCATCCTTTAAAAAAAATGGTTTATCAAAGGGAATTTGCTCTGTTGGCCTGCATAGATGGGCCACCAGCCCATTCAAACAGCTGAGCCAAAGAGTCTCCGAAAAGTGGTGCTGCCTGGGTCTACAGTGGCCCCTTCAGGGCATCTTAGGGGCCCGAGCCCAGCTGCCCCCACCTTGGCACTGTACAGGGAAGGTATCTGTGCGTTGACTTCCTCAGCCACAGGCAAACCCAAGCCAGTTTTGGGCACTCCTTACCTGGGCCAAGATGAAAACCTGGCCTCCTCTCCCCATCTCAAAGGCCCCATGGAACCAGGAAGAAGAGGGACTCCTGGAAGGGGCTTTAGCCAGACCAAGCTGCCACGGGCGACTTTGCTGCCTGAGCAGCAGGGAGAAAGGAGCAGCCTAGGCTGCAATCCAACAGGGTGTGCACAGAGGAGGTTGCGCCTGAATCCTGTAGGTCTGTGAGAGCCCAGCTTAAAAACATGGGGGAGAGCAAGAGGGAGAGGCCACAGAAATGGGCGGCTGGGTGGATGAGAAAGGGCAGGTAGGACTAAGACTAGGCCCTCCCAACGGGGGAAGAGGAAATCTGAATATTTTACTTAGAGCTCAGAAATGATCAAAAGAGAAAAAAGGGAGGAGACTTCCTCCTCTGGCCCTGACTTGCCACCGCAAAGCCAGAATTTGCTTGGAAGGTTAAAGCGGCGTTTTGGTGGCATGCAAAGAGGATGCCCCCAACAGAACCTCAAAATCGCCCGGCTGGAGAGGCAAGAAGGTCCACTGGGTCCAGGCTGGCCAAGAGGCAAAGGCTTTGGTGGCTGCCTTCTTTGTCCCCAGCAAGCAGCGCTCAAAAGGTCTCCCGCCGCTAAAGAGAGAGTCTCCGCTGAGTTCACCTCCAGGAAAGCTTGGAGGAAAGAAAAGACAGTTGGTCAAGGTGGGTTCTGTGTTCAAGTTTTGCTCCAGAAAGGAAGAGCCGCCTTTGCTCGTCGCAGCACAAGCAAACAAATCTTCTCCAAGACGTGGCTCTTCTGGGCCCCCGGCAGAGGCAGCAAAGTCCACCCAAGGGCAAAGGCTTCACATTGTGGCCGGGCCTTCGGAGATCTCTTCTAATCGTTGCTCAATCATTACACGCAGGACAGAATACCTGAAAAATAAGCAGTGTCTTACAGCTTAAAAGGAAAAGGGTGTGCACCCCAGACCTTTGTGGTGAGGAGAGAGCAGCCTTCTCCACTGGGGCGTCAGTGTGGTGTATCGGTTAGAGTGCTGGACTAGGACCTGGGAGATCAGGGTTCGAATCCCCCCTTGGTCACTGCCTCTCAGCCTAACCTACCTTGCAGGGATGTTGCGAGAATAACATGAAGAAGGAGGGAGAAGTGCAGCCTTGAGCTCCTTGGAGGAAATGTGGGATATAAATGTAATAATAAAAATAATAAAGAAAACTCTTTAGCGGCGGGCTGCAACAGCGCAGCTGGGTGGAGATTCTGGGGCTGATAGGAGTTGTATTCCAACTTGGTTGGAGGGCACCAGGTTGGCCAAGGCTGCTCTGCATCTTAAGCATCATTTCAAGCAATTCCCACGGTAACATCCCCAGATTGGGCCCTTCAAAATATATTCAGAAAGAACTGTGCTTTGAGGACTGGATTCCAGGGAAGGAAGAGCTTACTTGTGTTTTAGTTTCTTGACTTCACGATCTTCTTCCTCTTTGAGTTTCTGAATGAAGCTTTTCAGGACGGGCATTTCAAACTTGATATATTGAGCAACCTGCCCAGGAAGGGGGAGGGAGGCAAAAAGAAAACAGAAAGGTGATGGAACACGCCACCCCTGCGAGGCAGGCACAGAGAAGAGCTTGAGAAACACACATCTCCTGCCTTGAGGTTGGGACCGGCCCCACTCAGCTACCCACGACTGTGTATGCACAGACCTCAGCACCCTCTTCTGGTGCAAAGGGGAACAGGAGTGCTTTGGGTGAAGCCCAGAAACTTCCTACTTTAATTGTGTGCATTTCTTAAGGACAAACGGCAGTCAACGGTTCTCCTGTTTAACACCAGGGCGGGAGGAGAATCAGGATCAGGACTGAGATCCGTGAGGAGGGGAAGTTAACCCTTTTCCTTGTTCCTATTAAAAGAATCACTTTCTATCCGCTTGCAACAAACTTCTACACTTCTTGTCAGGTTGAATCCTGACAAGACAGAAGTACTGTTTTGGGGGAACAGGAGGCGGGCAGGTGTGGAGGACTCCCTGCTCCTGAATGGGGTAACTGTGCCCCTGAAGGACCAGTCATTTTGAACTCGCAGCTGTCCATGGAGACGCAGGTCAATTCTTTTGTCCAGGGCAGCTGTCTACCAGCTCCATCTGGTATGCAGGCTGAGACCCAATCTGCCCGCGGACTGTCTCGCCAGAGTGGTGCATGCTCTGGTTATCTCCCGCTTGGACTCCTTCAATGCGCTCTATGTGGGGCTACCTTTGAAGGTGACCCAGAAACTACAACTAATCCAGAATGCGGCAGCTAGACTGCTGACTGGGAGCAGCCACCAAGACCATATAACACCGGTCTTGAAAGACCTACATTGGCTCCCAGTATGTTTCCGAGCAAAATTCAAAGTGTTTGTGCTGACCTTTAAAGCTCTCAATGGCCTCGGTCCAGTATATGTGAAGGACATATACTCCACCCCCATCGTTCCGCCTGGACACTGAGGTCCAGTGCCAAGGGCCTTCTGGCAGTTCCCTCACTGTGACAACAACCAGACTTTTAGAAGACATCTGAAGGCAGCCCTGTTTAGGGAACTCAAACAGAGATTACAAACTCAAACTCATAAGGATATGTATAACATAATAATTCATTACAGAATTTGAGTTTGTAATCTCTATTTGAGTTTGTAATCCTTGTCAGAACATACTTTTGAAAGGATTAGCCTGGGAGTTCTAGCATGAGAGGGAGAAAAACCTGTCAGCTTCTACCAGGTCACCTCTTCCTCAGTTTTCCCCCAGCCTCAAACGCTGCCCCACAGGGAAGCTGCTCCACCAACCCCTCGATCATTTCACCTGCCTGTCTCCGAACTGAAATAGGATTGCACCGCAAAGCAGCAACTCACATCATAAGTGACTTCTTCCACCTGGTCCTTTTCCATCAAGAACACCTTGGAAACTTGTTCACAGGGTCCCTGCAGAATCCGAGCGATCAGTGGGTAATCTGTCACCTTTAACTTCTGCTTTTCTGCATGAAACAGGGAGTGTGGATAAGGCACTGAAGACAATGCAGGGACCCCTAAATCCACCCTGTTGTCCCAGACACAGAGGAGGGGGGAACAGCAGCAGCGGCAAGCTCAACCAAGCAAGAACTTTCTGAGACGCATCCAAGCATGGCGTGAGGGCCGTTTTGCAACCCAAGGGCCACATTGACCCATAGCCCATCCCTCTTGGGGCCTTATGTCAAGAGAGGTTGTGGCCAAAGTGTACAAATCGGTGGGCAAGTATTGCAGCTCTCAAGGCTACCTGTGAAAACGTTTTCCCACCAGCTACTTCACACCGTTTTAAATTATTTTTATCATCCATCTGCAGGAGCGTCATTGGCCGTTTCCTGAGTTGGTGAGGCTCGTTTAGCAACAACGAGAAACTGAGCCTTTAGTGTCATTGGCCCAGTCCTGTGGAACGCCCTGCCACTGCAGATTCAGCAGGCACCTTCTGTGCCAACTTTAAATGTCTATTCCACCAGGCCTATGCAGGCAAGTAAGAATACATCATTCCACAATGGTTAATTGATGCCTGTTTTTAACTTTTAAAATATTTTAATGGTTTTATTGTATGCTTTTAGGTTGTTGTTGTAAACCGCTTTGGTATTTTATGATATAGGTAAAGAGTAAAGGGACCCCTGACCGTTAGGTCCAGTTGTGGCCGACTCTGGGGTTGCGGCACTCATCTCGCTTTATTGGCCAAGGGAGCCGGCGTACAGCTTCCGGGTCATGTGGCCAGCATGACTAAGCCGCTTCTGGCAAACCAGAGCAGCGCACATAAACACTGTTTACCTTCCCGCCGGAGCGGTACCTATTTATCTACTTGCACTTTGACGTGCTTTCAGACTGCTAGGTTGGCAGGAGCAGGGACCAAGCAACGGGAGCTCACCCCGTCACGGGGATTCGAACCGCCGACCTTCTGATCGGCAAGCCCTAGGCTCTGTGGTTTAACCCACAGCGTCCCTTATTTTATGATATAGTGGTATACAAATAAATATTTTTTTAAAATCTATTTTAAAACATGTTTTAAATGCACAAATGGGGGGGGGGGGGCTTGAGGCAGGCGAAGTTAACAGCTGGGGTGGGCTTAACTCATTCCCCTTCCTGCCCCCCATGCACCGTGGCATCACAGTTAGGCTGGTGACCCATAGCTTAAATCCATAACTGCTTAGCTGAACCACAGCCCTATTGCAACCAGCATACAAGACACTATGGACAATATGGAGAGATACAAAATATGGATTATGAAATAACATGCAGTTGAAAATGTTGACAGTAAGATCCATGGAGGGGATGGTGGGAAGTCTGGAGATTCAGAAACATCTCTAAATATGGATATGTAATTGGTACTGCTATAACTTTATGCTTGTAAAATCAAATAAAAATTATTATTTTTTTAAAAGAAACCAGCGCACAATAACAGCCTGCTCACCTCCACTGGTGTGAACAATGTACAAGGCGAATTCCTCTGCTGAGTTCTCAATCTGAACACAGAGAAAAGAAAACACAGAAAAGATAAAACACTCTCTCACTCACTCACACACACACACACATACACAGAACAAGGTTTTCAGGTTGACCAAGATCTGGAAACCAAGGGTCTGGAAACCAAGCCTTATCAGGAACGGTGGATGGGGGTGGGCCAGGGCCGTCTTACCCATAGGTGCTAGGGGTGTAGGGCACCCGGTCGCCGGGCTCTCAGGAGTGCCAGGCCAAGAGTCCAAGGCCCGAGAATTGAGTCTGGCGAAGAGCCCACCCGTTGGTCAGAGCGCCGCAGTGGGCTCTTCTGCTGCTGGCAGCTATGCGCCTCAAGTTTGGGGGCGACCGAGCCAGCCAGCTCCACCTTTCTGCACACCTGGGGGGAGGGCACGCTGGACGGATCTTTGCACCCCGGCGCTGCATATGCTTAAGACAGCCCTAAGCTGGGAATGTTTAGCCTGGTAAATGGAAGACTGAGGAGATATCATGGCCATATTCAAATACATGAAGGGCTGTCATAGCAGAGACAGCTTGTTTTCTGCTGCTCCGAAAGGGAGGACCCAAACCAATGGATTCAAACAACAAGAAAGGAGATTCCAATTAAACATCAGGAAGAATTTTCTGACGGTATGAGATGTTCAACAGTGGAATGGACTATCTCAGAAGATGGTGGACTCTCCTTCATGGGAGATTGGATGGCCATCTGCCAGCGATTCTTTAGCTGTGATTCCTGCATTGCAGCGGGTTGGGAGTCCCTTCCACCTCTAAAATTCTATGATTCTATAAGGCAAGATGATGCCCAGGCTGATGTTGCTGGACTCCAGCTCCTGTCAGCCCTAGAGTTGGAGTCCAGCAACCTCTGCTGGTCTAACCACTTCTTCCTGTTTCAGGCTTGGTGGGCCTGAGGGTGCCTGCTAAGTCAACATGCAGCAGCCAGACTCTATGGCCTGAGGCTGCCCTTTGGGGCTGTTCATGTTATTTTATTCCACCCCCAGTGAAGCCTATCAGCCTCCAGACCCAGTTCAAGAGTATGAAAATGCAAACACAACACACTGGCTAATAGCTTTTAGTGAATATACAGTGGTACCTCGGGTTACAGATGCTTCAGGTTACAGACTCCGCTAACCCAGAAATATTACCTTGGGTTAAGAACTTTGCTTCAGGATGAGAAGAGAAATTGTGCGGCGGCAGCGGGAGACCCCATTAGCTAAAGTGATACCTCAGGTTAAGAATAGTTTCAGGTTAAGAACGGACCTCCGGAACGAATTAAGTTCTTAACCCGAGGTACCACTGTACAATGTCATTCAAAATATACGAATAAGCCACTTCAAAATGACGTCTATATCATACAACACATCTCACAAAATATACAAGTAACTACAAGTTGTTATATGTATTATATCTGGAATAGTTCAACTGTTTTGGAATAAAGTCTTCATCAGCTGGAAATGGGACATAAGACATTGCAGGCAATGAATGACAACAAAACTGAGCAACCTGCATGTAAGTTATACAATAGAACAAAATATATAAAGAGGTAAAGGTAAAGGTAAAGGGACCTCTGACCGTTAGGTCCAGTTGTGGACGACTCTGGGGTTGTGGCGCTCATCTCGCTTTATTGGCCAAGGAAGCCGGTGTACAACTTCCAGCTCATGTGGCCAGCATGACTAAGCCGCATCTGGCGAACCAGAGCAGCGCATGGAAATGCCGTTTACCTTCCCGCTGGAGCGGTACCTATTTATCTACTTGCACTTTGACGTGCTTTCGAACTGCTAGGTTGGCAGGAGCAGGGACTGAGGAACGGGAGCTCACCCTGTCGCGGGGATTCGAACCGCCGACCTTCTTATCGGCAAGTCCTAGGCTCTGTGGTTTAACCCACAGCGCCACCCACGTCCCTATATAAAGAGGTACATACCAAATAATTATCAATGAAATATTCATACTAATGGGGATCGTGCTGGTGGATCAGTGCCCACTGGATAGTGTAGCTGCTGATGCTTGCAACACAAATACATTTGTGTTTGACCCTGATACATATAACAACTTGCAGTTACTTGTATATTTTGTGAGATGTGTTGTATGATATATACATCATTTTGAAGTGGCTTATTCATATATTTTGAATGACCGATTATATAACTGATTATATATTTACTAACAGTTATTAGCCAGTGTGTTGCGTTTGCATTTTTGTAGATGGTTACATTTTGCAGCACAGGGGTTTGTGTTTGTCCAGTCCAAGAATAGGCAGCTGTGACAGCAGGCAGCTCATTGGTGCCATCACGAGAAGTAGACACAGATATACAACCTACAGATGCCTTTACCAACTTGGGGGCTCTCCATGGTACGACTCCCATCAGCGTCAGGCAGCACGACCATTTTGGAATACAACTCCCATCAGTCCCAACCAGCACTGCCGTATGAAGCTGAGTCACATGGGAGTTGTAGTCCAAAATAGATGAGGCTGGGCAAGGCTGGGGACAGCCACCCTCCTCCGCAAGCCCCACAGAAATGGACCAGAGTTGGACAGGGGCCCAGGAGGAGAGGATACCACTGGGAGACTTTCCCAGCTCAGACTTGGGCCAGTACAAAACGTTGCAGCAAAACTTGCCTTGAACTTGTTCAGCAGAAGCTTGAGCACTTGAGGCGTCGTCATGGTGCTGTTGATGCGGACATTCGTGATGGAGCCGTAGGCGGGTGTGAAAACCGATGTCTGCGGAGAGGAGCAGAAAGCCATCAGAAGGCTGGAGGACAGGGTGATCTAGACAAGCGGAAACCCTGGAGGCCCACAGGAGCACAGAGGAAGGTGTGAGCCAGGTATTGGGGGAGCTAACGCCATGCCAGATTAGAAACTATGGAAGACCTTATTGAGCTCCTTGTTTTGATTAATTTCTTGCAGTCGTTTGCTTTATTAAAAGGCTACTGCACTTGATATTATAGGGATTGCTAGTGTTTCTTGATGTTTAATGCTGCCGTGATTCTTGTGAACCGCTCAGAGCTCAACATTTGTTCCTGGAAAAGCAGAATGCAAAGATTAAATCAAAATCGAATCGAGAAAGAGGAGTTGGGGGAGATGATGGAAGGAAAAGAACAATTGCTGGCAAGAGGATTGACTACAGGCATCAAAGAACTTCAAAAATTATAATCAATTATTCCAAATTCATACTTCAAACATTATGATATATAAATCCTAGTTAAAATATTATAAAATTGATGAGTATTTTTTCTCTTCATTCTTTTTCTTGTTTCTTTCTTTTATCTTTTGTCTTTCTTCTTTTCTAGTCTGCATTCTGGAAAATTGTGTAGATAAATGTTTTAATGTATGGTTATGTATTGTTTCTATTTCTTTTTTTCTTTTTCTTTTGGTAACATTTAATAAAATTTTATATATATATATATTTAAAGAACTTCAAAAATTAACTGGGAAATGGTCATACATTCCAGAGCAAATATTATGGAGCTTTTGAATTCTCACATTGCCAGCATTGTGTAGTTTTATACACATTGTATTTTTCCGTGTATAACACGCCCCTGTGTATATTTAAGAAAATGGGGGGAGATTTTCCAGAGCTGTTGAGATTGGGGGGGGGGATTGCCCAGAGTAGATGAGATTTTGGGGGCCAAAATTCACTCACCCGCCAGACCAACGGTGGCTATCGCGCACGTCGCCGAACCAACCTATTGTCTGCCCGCTCGCTGACAGCAGCCACCCCAATCACACGCCCAATTACCACAGTAGCAGTCTATGGGCAGCAGCCCTTGCCATGGCCACCAGTCACGCCAAATCACCCCTGACAAGCTCCTGCTTGCGCCAGCAACCAATCCCCCATCCCAACAATGCGCTGACCATGTATAAGACGAGCACCAATTCTGGACATTGTTTTAGCAGAAAAGAAACCTCGTCTTATATACGGAAAAGTATGGTACATGGGCACCAAACTCTGCTAAGTGAAAGCCAGAATGTGGTGGAGGTTTAGATCGTCAGACTAGGACCTGGGAGAGATCAGAATTCGAACCCCCACTTGGTCCGAAGCTCACTGTGTGACCTTGGGCCAGTCATTGCCTCTCAGCCTAACCTACCTCACAAGGTTGTTGTGGGGATGACCGTATTTTTTGCTCCATAAGATACACTTTTTTCTTCCTAAAAAGTAAGGGGAAATGTCTGTACGTCTTATGGAGTGAATGTGTGATCCTGAGCAAATAGCCCAGGGTGATACAGCAGATCATGCTTTTTTTTTTTTGAAAGAGGAAGGGGTGCTGAAGGAAGCAGCTGATCGGTATGGATCGGAAGAGATAGGGATGCTAGTGGAGGCTGCCTGGGATGGAGGTAAAGCCACATGGAGCCTCAGGATTTTACATTGGGTCACCCCAGATTCACCATCATATCACATAGCATGTCCATGGCTACAGCCTGCACCAGAAATCATGCACCCACTGTTGCGTGGGTCCGCAATGCTGCAAAACACGCTACAAGCACGGATCCACATGGATTCTCAGGATTTTGCATTGGCTACCCAAACTGCACAGTCAGATCACATGTCTGTGGCCACAGCATGAACCACAAAAATCATACATCCACTGTTTTGTTCAGAATATTTTTCTTCTTCTTTTCCTCCTTTAAAAACTAGGCGTGTCTTATGGTCAGGTGCGTCTTATGGAGTGAGAAATATGGTAAGGTGGGGGGAGAACCACATATTCTCCCTTGAACTCCTTGGAACATAATGCCACAAATACATGATAAAGCAAATAATAGAGGCTAGCTTCCATATAAAACTAAACAAAAGATGCCTGCCTTAACAATTCACTGGGAGGCACCGAGAACTACATTCTGCACCTGACTCCATCCCTAGATCAAGATGCTCCGGCGCCTTAGGGAGACCCTCCTTGGGAGACTCACTTTGTGGTTGTAGAAATGCCCGTTGATGGAGAAGCGGTGCCTCCTGATCCTCCGCTGCTCACTCGGGGTGCGGAGAGTCCCCCTGCGGCGCATGCCCACATCGCTCCGCGTCCGCATCAGCTGTGGCGCTTCTTCTTGCTGGGCTTTGAGATCGTTGTCATCTGAAACGGAGGAGAAAGGTGTGTCAAAAGAAGCTGACCTCCTCCAAAGAAATTCCAAACACCTGTATCTGAAGTGATGGACATAATGCAGGTGAGCTGCGCACAGGTGAGCTGCAAGCAAGCTGCCGGCCAGCCCTGTGGAGCCTCCTTTTATTGACACAAATATGCAAACCAGGCAGATACATTTTGGGCTGTGACCTTTACACATCTTCCAGTCCCGAGATTGAGAGGTGGTACAAAGCTATTTTGGCACCTGTTTCCACCACGTCATTTTCCCCTTGCACAGTGTATGACGAAGGAGACAAAAGGTCTCAGAGACAAAGGTTACAGACAGGGCACTGCAGACTACTGAGACCACAAAAGGTCAGACAGAGGGCAAGATGTTCAGACAGCTGTGGCTTGTCTGTGGGGGGTGGTGTGTGCCCCGCACCCCAATGTCATGCGCGCAGGCAGGCTGAGGCTGCCTGCAGGTGGGGAGTGTCCTCCCTCCGGACCCAGCAATTATCCCTACATGTACCTTTCAAAGTTTTCAAAAAAAAGAAGCCAGACTCCATCGTCTGACACAGCCAGCAACACACATACAGGCCTACAGGGTCTGAACTGCAGGTAAAGGACCAGGAGGCAGCAATGCTGGAAGCTGCAAGAGGAGAGAGGGCTCTTATGGGAAACAGGCAAGCAGGATTTGAGTGTGACGGGCATCTGGTTGGCCACTGAAGAACAGGATGATGGGCCTGATCCAGCAGGCTCTTCTTATGTTCTTACATGATCTTCTCCTGGGAATTCCTCCTTCCCTCTCTGGCATGATAAGGACTCTGCAGGATCAGACCCAAGCCACATGTGCCCAACCAGGTGCTTCTGGGAAGCCCACAAACAAGATGTTCAGAATCAGGGGACAAGTAACTCAGGTCCCCTTGCCTTCTTTTTTCCAATAAGAGAAGCACATTAGCATGGGGCGTGCTACCAGCTCACAATTTTTACGGACTCTTCCTACTGCGGGTTACTCAGTTTGCAACAAGCAGAACTTGCATGATGCACACAAAGCAGCCTGGTGTTCTACTCATGTGTAAAGGCAATGTGAAAGCGTGCAAAGCTCCATCCTCCTTGCTGCCTTTCACAAGCTGGAGGGCAAACAACTGAAGCACAAAACCTCCTTTATGTGTGGAGCATCTCTTTACAACAGAGAATTGGGGAATATGAAGAAGTGTTTGCCCTCCAGCTCACAAAGGGTGAAACTCAGTGGGCTTGTCCCTCTCCATGTGTTCCTTTTACACATGAGTAAGACTCCCTGAGAAAGGGACGCGGGTGACACTGTGGGTTAAACCACAGAGCCTAGAGAAGGTCGGCGGTTCGAATCCCTGCAACGGGGTGAGCTCCCGTTGCTCAGTCCCTGCTCCTGCCAACCTAGCAGTCTGAAAGCATGTCAAAGTGCAAGTAGATAAATAGGTACTGGTCCAGCGGGAAGGTAAACGGCGTTTCCGTGTGCTGCTCTGGTTCGCCAGAAGCGGCTTAGTCATGCTGGCCACATGACCCGGAAGCTGTACACCGGCTCCCTCAGCCAATAAAGCGAAATGAACGCCGCAACCTCAGAGTTGGCCACAACTGGACCTAATGGTCAGGTACCCCTTTATCTTTAGGACTCCCAAAGAGGATATGGGAAGCTGGTGCTTTCGGTGAAGGCAGACGCTGGAGACATGGAATGCTTCTGTTAAGTTTTAAATGAAGGTGTCTGTGAGGCGTTAGGGTTATGGACGTTCAGCAGCAAGCAGAGAAAACAAAGGAAGGGTGAATACTGAAAATTGTTTCCTGGAATTGCTCTGAGATCCAGCTGCAATTCTGCCAGCACAGCCAATGTTCCTAGTTGCTACAGAAGCCAACATGTTCCCCTTCATTAGAGGTTTTCAAAGAATCGTAGAGTTGGAAGGGAGCCCCAGGGATCATCAAGCCCAACCCTGTGTGAGTTGGAGTGGTGCCACTATCCGGAGATAAAATCCATAGCCAGTGTTTTTACTGTGAGAAGAAGTCAACAATGTGCTATTCACAGACTCCTTTCCTAATCAGGGTGTCTTCGGCTACATTTGTAACGCGCTCCAACCTTCTAGGCCAAGGTCATTTGGATGTCAACTCCCTAACAATTGTGATCTAAAGTGCATTGCAATTTGGCCTCCTGCCCTGCAAACTCTAGACAGCATTTTAAAAAGCAGGGACATCACCTTGCCAACAAAGGTACGTATAGTTCAAGCTCTGGTTTTCCCAGTAGTGATGTATGGAAGTGAGAGCTGGACCATAAAGAAGGCTGATCGCCAAAGAATGGATGCTTTTGAATTATGGTGCTGGAGGAGACTCTTGAGAGGCCCATGGACTGCAAGATCAAACCAATCCATTCTGAAGGAAATCAGCCCTGAGTGCTCACTGGAAGGACAGATCCTGAAGCTGAGGCTCCAATACTTTGGCCACCTCATGAGAAGAGAAGACTCCCTGGAAAAGACCCTGGTGTTGGGAAAGATGGAGGGCACAAGGAGAAGGGGACGGCAGAGGACGAGATGGTGGGACAGTGTTCTCGAAGTGGCCAGCATGAGTTTGACCAAACTGTGGGAGGCAGTGGAAGACAGGAGTGCCTGGCGTGCTCTGGTCCATGGGGTCACGAAGAGTTGGACACGACTAAACAACTAAACAACAACAGCAACCTGCAAACTCTGAACATTAAGAACGTAAGAGCCTGGCTGCTGGATCGGGCCAGTGGAGCCCCCTGTGTTCTAGTATCCTGTTCTCACAGTGGCCCACCAGATGACTCGGGGGGGACGATCCACAGAGAGGATCCGAGCACAAGGGACATGTACGCCAGAAGCAAGGGACACGTACGCCAGTGCGCCAGAAGTAGTGTATATGTACGTGTACGAGTGTTCCTCCAGGTGAGCACATGCTATTTCCGGCGCTCTTCCGACCCGAAGTCGGTCCCCGTGGTGAGGGGGGGAAAATGGCTCCGAGAAAAAAAATGGAATCCCCACGCCAATCCATGGAACAGCCGTGGGCTGGTTCCAGGAGGCTCATGGGCTGGAACCGGCCCACGGGCTTAGGTTGCCAACCTCTGGTCTAACTGGCTGCATTTACCCTTTCGCCTGCTAGAAAAAGGGTGAGAGCTCTTGTTCAAGAGCTTCCTCTGAGCGGCTGCTCCTTGAGATGAGAATGTGATGTGGCACGGAAAGCAGACCCTTAAGCGTTCCTCTAAGATTCCTGGCGTGGACCCAGAACATAATGAAATCCCTCTTAATCCATTTTTAATGGGCTCCTTAAACTCACATTTCAACTCACCATGTGTCAACCCACCCAAGCCTGCTCCTGTTTCAGATCTGAAACAAGCTGGGTGGCATTAAACAACAAAACAAAAAAATAGAAAGACATCTTAAAGACATCTTAAGAAGAGGCTGCTGGATCAGACCAAAGGGGGTCCACCTACCGTATTTTTCGCTTCATAAGATGCACTTTTTTCTTCCTAAAAGTAATGGGAAATGTATGTGCGTCTTATGGAGAGAATGCGAGGTCCCTGGAGCCAAATTGCCCAGGGACAAAAAGCAGATCATGCTCTTTTTTTGAAAGAGGGAAGTGGGTGTTGAAACAAAGCCTCTGATCGTTTGCCGATCGGGAGAGAGAGAGAGATAAGGGACGCTAGAGATAAAGGAGGCTGCCTAGGAGGGGGGAGGTAAAAGCCCATGGATCCTCAGGATTCACTATCAGATCACATAGCATGTCCCTGGCTACAGCCTGCACTCAAAAAACCACGCACCCACTGTTGCATGGGGCCGCAATGGCACAAAAACGTGGTTACAAAGCACAGATCCACATGGATCCTCAGGATTTTTGCATTGGGTCACCCCAAATTCACCATCAGATCACATGTCTGTGGCCAAAGCATGAACCACAAAAATCATACATCCACTGTTTCGTTCAGAATATTTTTTTTTCTTGTTTTCCTCCTCTAAAAACTAGGTGTGTCTTATGGTCGGGTGCGTCTTATGGAGCGAAAAATACGGTAAGTCCAGGATACTGTCCTTACAGTGGCCAACCAGATGCCCCAATGGGAAAGCTGCAAGCAGGATTTGAGCACAAAGAGCTGCACTCTCCTGTCCCGTGGCTTCCAGCAACTGGTATTCTGTTGCCGTCTCCTCCATGAGTTTGCCTAATACTCTTTTAAAGCCATTTAGGTGGGTGACCTCACCGCCTCCTGTGGGAGGGAGTTCCACAGTTTAACAGTCCTCATGCAAGAGCTTCTCAGCAGATATGCTGACATGTGGAGGGTGTGGCCTGCAACCAAGAGACTGGCTCCTCCTGTCCTCATTTTAGGACACTACTCAGTTGAGAGAGAATGGTCAAGAGCACTACTGCCAGTCCTTCAAGGCATCCGAGTGCCAACTATGGAGGCAAAGAACAGCCTTCATGTGGCACATTATGAGTCCTGGACGGATCTCTTTGGGGGAGTGTCTCTCTTTCCCCATCAGCCTCCACCCCATTACCAGCAAGGAAATTCAAAGAGGCCGAGAAATGCTCTACAGCTCCCAGGCAGGCCCATGTGTGCCTCTGATGTGCTCAACCCCTTGGATGCTACACCTACCGTATTTTACGCTCCATAAGACACACTTTTTTCCTCCTAAAAAGTAAGGGGAAATGTGAGTGCATCTTATGGAGCAAATGGTGCTGCGCAGAGAGGGAGAGCTGCGCAGCGCTCCTTCAGCAACGCGCCTGTCCTGCGAAGCTAGAGGAGGAACAGAAGGGGCTCCTTCTGTTCCTCCACCCGCTTCGCTGAAGGGGTGCTGCGCAGCTCTCGCTCTCTGCGCAGCGCCCCTTCAGCGAAGCACCTCTCCTGGCTTCTGCCTTAGTGGCGCGCAGCCTCTTTGGGCAGAGGGAGCCTTCATCTTGCTGCCCTGAAGAGGCTTAGCGCGGCTATCCCAGAAGCCAGATCCCTCTTGCTGTTCTAGCTTCTGGGATTCAGAATATTTTTTTTCTTGTTTTCCTCCTCCCAAAACTAGGTGCGCCTTATGGTCTGGTGTGTCTTATGGAGCAAAAAATACGGTAACTTCCTGCTACAGCCTTAGCTGTGTTCTCTGGGAGGGCTGAGCAACACTCCTTTCATTTGGGCATCCCTTCTAAGCTGTTGCACAGAGGTTTAAACTTCCTCAAACTTGAGCATCAGAAGGTCACACTTAAAAAAAATAATAAATGGCCTGCTGATCTTTGACAGATAAAATTAAGCTTGGACTGGTGCTGGTTTTCATCCCTCAATTATGGATTGCTAGGCTGCACATCAGTTAATCGTGATGGTCTTACTCTGAATGAGCTCCTGAAAACTTAGCGGGTGTGTGCAGATTTTGCAGCAGAGAAAACTGTTAATCCTGACCATGCCCTGCTCTTGGCTATGGGGAAGGCAAAAAGAGGCAGGCCATTATTATTATTTTTTAAGTGTGACCCACAAGCATCTTCTCCTGCAACATGGAGCCCAAGGGGCTCACTTTTACTCTGGAGTGCTGAAGACCAGTGGCGAAGCTGCATGCTCCGGCACCGGGGGCATGGTGCGCCCCCCAGGGACGTGGAGTGCTACCCATGGGGGCATAGCACACCACCTGTGGGGGGTGTCGTGCTTCCTGGGGGCGTGGCACATTGCCCGCGGGGGCGTAGTACCCGGAGCAGTGGGGGGGGTAGCCCGTGTTCAGGGGGGCAGCCACAATGGTACCCCCTCCCCGATGGTGCCGGGGGCATTGCGCTCCCCCGCCCCCCCATTCCTCCGCCAGTGCTGAAGGCAACTGCTTGTGGAGGGCAGCTGGCCAGATAGACAAGATCGGTACCCTGGCAGCTTCCAACTGGCCCAGGGCTTCCAAACAGACACAGCAAAACATATTCAACCGCTGACTGTTGTGCATGGAAGAAGAGGGAGACCTCAGCTAGGGTGGTTTTTGTTTTTTGCTTTGCACAAAAGTTTCTGAGCAGCAATTTCCATCAGCTATTTTACCTTAAACCCACTAGTCTTCCAAGCAGCGAGTGGGATTAAAATCCTTACTGCAGAAATGTCTAACAGTGGCCTTGTGGCTACAGCAACATGGGGCATTGCCTCTCCCACATTTCCTTCCCGAAGACCCGGACTACTGAAGCATCCTGTGTGACTCAAAAGCTTGCACCTGCAACTCCAAATAAATTGGTTGCTTTGTGCTTCTTATCCCAGGGGAACCAATGCAGATGCTGAGACTTTGATTTATCTAAGCAGGGGTTGCCTGGCTTGCTTTGGTTTTTTAAGGGAAGGGAAAAGAAGAGGGGAGAGGCGAGAACCGCACAGTTCAGATTGCACAAAGCCTGTAAATGCCAAAACCCACGTGGTGGTTTTCTGTTTTGTTAAACAGGAAGGCCGATCTCGGATCAGAGAGCGAAGGGTGATGGGGAGAGCGGGAGAGAGCGCTTCTCCTGTAAATGTTTATTTCTCCATGGCAACTCTGCTTAACAATGACTCCTGTTATTCCCTTTCTAAAGAGAGGAGGGCTGTGTTGCCAAGGAAAAGGGGAACAAAGCTCATTCTTCCACACCACTCAGTGTGTGTGTGTGTGTGTGTGTGTGTGTGTGTGTTTCACGCTGGTCTCATGAACTCGGAGGCGCCTGGCTGCCCCTCAAGGCCAGCATCCTCCTGCTTTCCACGGGGGCCAACCAGACGCCTCTGGCAAAGTCCACAAGCAGGATTTGAGTGCAGCCACTCTCTCTGCCTCTGGCCATGGAGGAAGGTAAAAAGTAAAGAGTAAAGGACCCCTGGATGGTCAGGTCCAGTCAAAGGCAACAACGGGGTGCGGCACTCATCTCGCTTTCAGGCCGAGGGAGCCGGCGTTTGTCCACAGGCAGCTTTCCGGGTCATGTGACCAGCAGGACTAAACCGCTTCTAGTGCAACGGGACATCGTGATGGAAGCAAGAGTACACGGAAACACCGTTTACCTTCCCGCCACAGTGGTACCTATTTATCTACTTGCACTGATGTGCTTTTGAACTGCTAGGTTGGCAGGAGCTGGGACAGAGCAACAGGAGCTCACTCCGTCATGGGGAATCGAACCGCTGACCTTCTGATCGGCAAGCCCAAGAGGCTCAGTGGTTTAGACCACAGCGCCACCCGCGTCCCTCACATGCCAATCAGCCTTGACCTCCACAACTCTGTCACACGCACCCCCCCCTTTAGAGCTACCCAGGCCAGAGGTTGTGACTGCATCTGGAAGTGGCAAGTTTAACTCTGAACTGTATGGAGAAGTCATTCCTTTTAAGAACATAAAGAGAGTTTGGTGGATCAGCACCATCCACATCACAAGAGAACTCTGAAACAAATATTTAGACCCGAGATACAGATTGCTCTGATCCTTTTAGACACATAATTATGGCACTCCTAGCACAGGGTAAGCTCCCAGAAAAACACCTTTCAGAAACGGATTTACTACACTTCACAGTGAGTTATTGTCATAGATAAGGATTATACTCCATTATTGCATTATTTTCAGAAGATGGAGACCCCCAACTCCTTAGCACCAGTAAGGACCCCCAGCATCCTTCACTTCCCCTATCTTACCAATTCCCCCATCAATTCCGTCCCCATCCGAGGGCTCAGCTTCCGTGACCTGAATGTCTGGTAAGGTTGACGGCTTTATGACTGACCTAAGTAGGGAAGAGACAAAATAAGAGAATTCGGGATTTAGAAAATACCTTGAAAGACTTCCCCAAGTGTTCTAAAAACACAGATTGATGCAAGCAATTATTGTTCGTCTGCTGGTGTGAATAGTAAACACAGCACAAAATCAGAGTGGCAAGTTATGTGAGCGTGATGGTTTTGTTGTTGTTGCAAGATGCATTCTTTAGCTGCGATTCCTGCACTGCAGGGAGGGTTGGACTAGATGGCATCAGGGGTCCCTTTCAACTCAACAATTCTAGGATTCACCACAGAAGTAGCCAGCATGATCTTCTGTGTGCCCTCTGCACCCCACTTCAGACTCTAATAGACACATGGACACCAAAGAGGGCACACTTTGAAAACATGATGTCAGAATTGCCTCAAGTCGGATGTTAGGCAGGAAGCAGGGATAAAATTATGTGTGAGGCTTAAATATTTTTGAATGCTTTGCTTAGTAAAACAGCTCCCTGCATGCAGCAAAACAAGAAGAGGGAATTGCAAAATCTTTTGACCAAGGTGCACTTATTTTTTGCAGGCAGGGAAAATTCAAAACTGCAACCGTCCCTGGAGTCTGAAGCTCCAGCCTCCAGAATCCTACCACCACCTTCTGTGTAATGCGTAGAATGGATCTGTGCCATGTTAGCGATAGACTCTGGTTACAGCAGAAATTACTGAGCATTTCCCAAAGCATTAAAAACAAAAACAAAAACAGCAACCAAGAGGCTCTGTTGCCATCCTGACTATAATTTTCGCCATACAAAAACTCTTTATTTATCTGCAACTTGTGATCATGTAGATTACAGTGTTCCACAAGCAGAAATAATCAAGGTCACGGTGCCACTTGTATAGTCTGGGCTGCATATTTTGCAGTTCCCAAGTTGGTTTCTTCATGGGGATCCTAGATGCAGACAGACCAGCCTTGTACTTGGCTGTATCTTATTTTCTACCCAAGGAGAAGGGGCAGAGAGCAGTGTGAGCCCAGCAGGGGTAGGACTTGAACTCACGCCCCTAAAACCCAAGTCTATTTCTCCAGTGTTCAGGAAAATCAGTGGTATTTCGTCCCATTTAAAAAAAAAAAAGTTTATGATTTCCTCAGTTTGTTTCTGGCCCCAATCCACCCCCACCCTTGTTTCTACACATCAAGGTGCCACTTTCCTTGCCGATATTACACGAGTTCAAACCCTCCCTTAAGTCCCTGATCACAGGAAAAGTTAAAACAAAATGGTCACGGTGATAGAATTATAAAGTGGGCAGGGACCCATCTAATCCCACTCCCTGAAGGGCAGGTACCACAACTAAAGCATTCCTGGCACAGGGCCACCCATCTCTGCATAAAAGCCTCTAATGACAGAGAGTCCAGTGCCAAACACCTCTTACCATCAGAAAGATCTTCCTAATGTTTAGTCAGAATCTCCTTCTTTGTCATTTGAATCCACTGGTTCGGGGCTTTCCCCCTGGAGCGGCAGAAAACAAGCTTGCTCCACCTTCCATGTGGCAGCCCTTCAGATGTTTGAAGAGGGCCATCATATCTCCTCTCATTCTCCTCTTCTCCAGACTAAACATACTCAGCTCCTTCAACCGTTCCTCATAAGGCCTGGTTTCCAGACCCTTGCTCACCCTCCTCTGCACACGTTCTAGCTTGTCAACCTCCTTCTTATATTGTTGTGTCCAGAACTGGACAAAGGACTCTGACCAAGGCAGAAGAGAGCAGGACTATGACTTCCCTCGATGTGGAAACTCGCCTTCTGTTGATGCAGCCTCAAATACTATCAGCTTTCTTTAGCTGCTGCGTCACACTGGACTCATGTTAAGCTTGTGGTCTGCTAAGACCCCTAGATATTTTTCTCACACACACTCACACAAACATGCCCTGGATTGTGTACTGACCCGTGTGCTCCCAGGTTGCAGCCAGAATGCCAGGAGGATGACGAAGGCGGGGGGCGGATGCGCTGGTTGTCGTCTTGCATCTGCAAGCGGATGGGCCTGCGCAGCCCCCAGGAGATGTTCAGCAAGCCCTCCACGATGAACTCCCCTTCTTCCTAGAGGGCACATGAGAGAAGGGACTGAGGGATGGTCCAGAAGCTGGTCTGCTCCAAGGATGCTGCAGTAAACTTCCCCAAGCCCCAAGGATGCTGGTTCTACCTCCAGAGCTGGACCATGTTAACAAAATATACCCAAACCCTGCGCTATCTGAAAATGAAGAACAGCTTTTCAAAAGTTTGGCATCCATTTACTGAATACATTAAGGTAAAGGAACATGGGCTGGCAGCCCCCCTCTTCTCATGCGCTCCTATGGATAAACATTATTGGATAATGTACTCTTCAAGGTTGGGACACGGGTGGCGCTGTGGATTAAACCACAGAGCCAAGGACTTGCCGATCAGAAGGTCGGCGGTTCGAATCCCCTCAACGGGATGAGCACCCGTTGCTCGGTCCCTGCTATGCCAACCTAGCAGTTCGAAAGCATGTCAAAGTGCAAGTAGATAAATAGGTACCACTCGGGCGGGAAGGTAAATGGCATTTCCGTGTGCTGCTCTGGTTCTTAGTCATGCTGGGCACATGACCCGGAAGATGTACGCCGGCTCCCTTGGCCAATAAAGCGAGATGAGCGCAGCAACCCCAGAGTCGGCCACGACTGGACCTAATGGTCCCTTTACCCTTTACCTTTACTCTTGAAGGACAATTGTCTGGAATTATAACACTGCTTTCGGAATAGTACCATTCCCTCCTTTCTCCTCATATCCTTTCTTTATCCCCCCCCCTTGGTTTGCTCTTTTCTCTTTCTCTTGACCGTTGCTGCCATTGCTTTTTGTGTATTATAAAGTGAAAATAAAAGCAAGCACCGAAAGAAAGGATGCTGGTTTCAACTATATTTATTTTGCTTCCTAAGATTTACATACCACTTAATTGCTTTTCCCGCCAGCAGACCTGGTGCAAAAAGAGCTTTCGAGCTCTCCGCCTTGCTTGCATTTAACTTGCACACTTTAAGCCAGCTGGCCTTCAACCGCATGTGGTTGAAACTGTGCGAGTTAAACGTGCATAAGATGCAATCATACTGTATTCCTCTGGAAGGATCATTTTAGTTTTTAAAAGCAGGTTTCCAGCCCTCCTGAATGCATCATTAAAAGTGCATGGGCAGCTGAATTCTCAAGAGTTGGGAAAAGGGGGAGGCCAAAGGAAAAACCCAGAGTCTGGGGGTGTCAGAGTTCTGGGGCCTTGCACAGTCCAAAAATAGTAAAACTGGAATTAAAACTGAAGAGTAAACTCTGCACTGCAATAATTCAAAAAGCATGCACCTATGTGCCTTTTTGCATGCATTACACCGTTTGCAGGACCCAGCTCCTTTAGGCGAGGAGTTCTGGTGACTTGGGTGCAGAGTTTCATTTTTGGAATCATGCCCAGGCACACACCCGTGGTCACAACATTCTCCCCTAACTTGTCTCTGCGTAGAAAGGTCTTCTCACCTCTCGATGCCGGAGCTGCAAGTTCTGGCCTTCGTAGTAGAGATTGTAGGTCTTCAAGTGCAACAACAGTTCATTTCTGGAAGATGTGGAACAAGAGCTGTTAGAAGAGCAAATGGAAGAGTTGTCCAGCTCTCTTTGCCACATGTAGTGGCTTTGTCCAAAAGTTGCTGCTTTTTGCAGTAAAATATTTAAGGAAATTGGAGCTGACCCCTGACCCCAAACTTGCTCCACTTTCATGGCTCTCCTGAGAAGCCTCCAAGGAAAGCCAAGGTTCCACAGAACATGCTTCTCCAGCCACACATTTCATTGTCCCATCAGAAAACGGCATGCACTTTCTGAGAGTCCTTTCAGAGTCCTGAAAGTTGGGGATAATTCAGAATGAAATCCCCAGGTGTCAGAAAAGGTTATTTATGTATGCAGCAACTGTGACCCATGTTTTGTTAGCCCCCAAATGGAAAATGTTATGTACTGAAGTTCTCACCCTGGGCCAGCAGGGGGATACTGTAGATAGTTATGCAAATGAAGGATCGAAAAGTGATGTTCAGTGATTGGATAGTTTTGTATGCAAATGAAGGATCGAAAAGTGACGTTCAGTGATTGGATAGTTTTAGAACGTTGCAACAGTTACAATTGTTCTGTAGCTCTATATAAGCAGGCTGACTGAGCTCCTCAGCCCAGTTCTGTTCCAGCTTACAAAATAAAGAGCTGATTTGGAGAAATCGCTGTGTCGTCTGCTATGTCAACCCACAACTTAACAGAAAACATGCGAGGTCCCAACCAAAGAAGAATGGCAACTTAAGTTGACAGAATATGCACAACTTGCATGCCTAACATATAGAATAAGAGAACAAGAAGAACATATGTTTAAAGAAGACTGGAAAACATTTATTGAATATATGGAATATAATTGTATACAGCTGAAAATGCTGGCAGCATTAAGATAAATTCAACAGTAAATAAGTTTCGATGGATGCAATAATCATGGAATACTGATTGGTATAGTTTTTGTTAAATATGCAGGGATTTAAGATATGTAAAATGAACCACAGAAAGAGAAGAAGGGAAGTCATTGATCTATCAAGGATGCAAAATAAATATTTGAAATTGTAAAACAGAAAATTTAATGAGAGAGAGAGATTGATTGCATGCACTCAAAGTCCCTCTTCCTGTAGGGAGTTCTCTAGGCTAGAAATGAATGGCTGGTTGTAACTGCCCTCACTTCACCTCTGCCCACAGCTTCACAACATACAGGCAACTCACAGCTTATGCAGCAATTTGGTTCTGGCTGTCAGTGTGTAAACACAAAATCACGTGAAGCCAGGAGCCCCTGGAACTGCCCCCAACCCACAGGGAAAGGACTCTTTATCTTGCTCTGGGAAGGTCACAGGAGGACCAGAGCCAGTGTGGTGTAGTGGTTAAGAGCGGTGGACTCGTAATCTGGTGAACCGGGTTCGCGTCTCCGCTCCTCCACCTGCAGCTGCTGGGTGACCTTGGGCCAGTCACACTTCTCTGAAGTCTCTCAGCCTCACTCACCTCACAGAGTGTTTGTTGTTGGGGAGGAATGGAAAGGAGAATGTGAGCCGCTTTGAGACTCCTGAAGGGGAGTGAAAGGCGGGATATCAAATCCAAACTCTTCTTCTTCAGGGAGCCCACTAGGTGAGGCAACGCCTTCCTTACCGGCCTCCAGAACTGTCCCAGAGCCCTTGTGCCTCTTTCCCAGAGGCCGGTGAAGAAGACAGCCCCTTGCTTACTAGGCTTTGGAAAGGCGGTGCGAGGGCTCTCAGAGCATCCTTGAGTCCTCATGTCTCCTTCCCAAAGCCCGAAAAAGTGAGGGAGACTCTCTGGGTGTGCAGAGAACATAAATACATGGAGAGCAAGAATTGGTGGGTTTCCTCCATTCTCTATTTATTCACCCCGCCACTCCAATTGCATAAATATGATTAGCATAAGATGCAAGTTGCTGGTACTCAAGTCTCTCCTCTCTTCCTTGCACGTGCTTGCAGTTATACACAGACACCAACACACCAGACCCCAGGGATTGGTGCCAGCTGCAAAGAACAAAGGTCTGCCCGGAACACGCAGCCAGCCTCCGACTTACTTTGAAATGTACTTGTCGTGCCCACAAGGGACCGGGTAGTTCTCACTTATGTAGTCCATCCTTGGAAAGTGTCTTTCATCAGGAACAGAGGCCTGTGGCGAAAGGGGAGGCGGGAAACTGCTTTAAAGCACACAACAATTTACTTTCTGAGATAAATGAAAAGAACATGCTAATCGTTCGTTCAATTCAATGGCGATTTTGCAGACCTCTAATGGGTTTCAGATCCATGGATTGTAGTGGGGAGGGAGGGGAGTCCAAAAGGTGCAGAAATGTGACACCCCTGCTTGTTTTCCTGGAAGACCATTCTGAGAAACAGGAGGTGGAATGGACTGGCCAGCACCTCAGGCCTTACTGCAATTACTATGTTTATTTCTTTCCCGTCTTCTGTCCGGACAGACACTTGAGGTGGGTTACACAAATCAAAACAACACAAAGCATATATATATATATATATGTATATATATATATAAAAAAAACAATTAAAACATTCAGGAGCCATTATGGCTAGAAGCCACCAATAGCCCTCTCCTCCATGAATTACCTTTTCTTTGGCATAATGTATTCTGCCTACTTATAATAATAATAATTTATTATTTATACCCCGCCCATCTGGCTGAGCCTCCTCAGCCACTCCAATCAAGTATTAAGAACAATACAACATTAAATATTAAAAACTTCCCTAAACAAGGATGCCTTCAGATGTCTTTTAAAGAGAAGATAGCTGCTTATTTCCTTCACATCTGAAGGGAGGGCGTTCTACAGGGCGGGTGCCACTACCGAGAAGGCCCTCTGCCTGGTTCCCTGTAACTTGACTTCTCGCAATGAGGGAACCGCCAGAAGGCCCTCGGCGCTGGACCTCAGTGTCAGGGCTGAACAATGGGGTTGGAGACGCTCCTTCAGGTATACAGGACCGAGGCCGTTTAGGGCTTTAAAGGTCAGCACCAACACTTTGAATTGTGCTCAGAAACGTACTGGGAGCCAATGCAGATCTCTCAGGACTGGTGTTAGGTGGTCTCGGCGGCCACTCCCAGTCACCAGTCTGGCTGCTGCATTCTGGATTAATTGCAGTTTCCGGGTCACCTTCAAAGGTAGCCCCACGTAGAACACATTGCAGTAGTCCAAGCTATGCTATGCTATGTAATTTGGACTGAACGTGTACATTGCTAAGTGACACAAAGGGTTTTGTAGAGCACTGAAGCCCTCCAGCTGACCACACATTAGCCGTCCAGCTTCTGAAATTTTCACAGGCATCACACATATCTTTGAAGTCATAAGGACTAGATACTTAACAGGGAAAGACAAAGCTCTCCAGTGCTGAATCTGACTCCTGTGCCGAATGCCACTCTGAACCCCATCTTCTTTTCCCTTTCTCTCTGGGATTTCATCTTACGCCACCTCTGGGCATAATCTCTTGTTTTGGCTGCTGTAGCTTAACAGGTGTCCACAAATCTTTCTTTGTATCTGCCTGAAGACGCAAAGCAGGAAGCCCAGAAGTCTTAGCACTGCTGCATCCGCTGCTGCATCCGCCAAGCATTGTTCTTGGGTTGGGGGGAGCAAAACAGAAGCGCTAAGAATATCACCACCTCCCAGCAGAGCGGCTGACGAAATTCTGAATTTCCTGCCTCCTCTGAGCTGCTTTCCTAACCAGCCTGACAGCTGTCTGTTTCATGGCCTCTCCTTCTGGGGCTGTTCAGCAATGAAGCTCAAGACTTGCACAAAGCAAAGGATAAAATGATATCTCCACCCCCACCCTATTTCCAAACTACAGTGCCGTTGTCTCTTCAAGACTGGCAGCGGTGGCTGGGAGTGCCTTTCTTCAGCTCTGGCTGGTTTGCTGGACTGGATCGTTGCAACACGCTCTGTGTGGGGCTGACCTTGAAGACGATTCGGAAACTTCAGTCAGTCCAAAACACAGGAGCTGGCTGGCTGGGGTTCCACTTAGATCTCATATAACCCATTTTGAAACAGCTGCGCTGTTTCTGGACCCAATTAAGCTGCTCACATTAGTGTTTAACGGTGCTATTTTTCTAGAAAAAGAGGTGCCGGAACTCACCATGAACGCCTCCCTTGTTCTCTTAGAATGGCAATGGTGTCTGCTGAGAGGTGCCGGAACTGAGTTCCAGCTGGGAAAAAGCCCTGGTGTTTAAAAGCCCTAAATGTCTCAGGCTCCAAAGACCTGAGAGGCTGCCTCCAAGATCAGAACAGGGGGACCCCTGGGTAGTTCCTCCACCCTAGAAGGCTTGGCATGGTGGTGGCCCAGGCAAGAGGGCCTTCTCTGTGGTGGCCCCTTAGCTGTGAAACTCCCTCCCTGCAAAGGTGCATCTGGCATCTGCATTGTACGGCTTTCGGAGGATGGTTGTAAGTTGTTTTTAGTTGTTATTAATATTGTGCTTTAATGCTGTAAAGGTAAAGGTACCCCTGACTGTTATGTCCAGTCAGAGACGACTCTGGGGTTGTGTGCTCATCTCGCTCTGTAGGCTGAGGGTTGCTGGCGTTTGTCCGCAGACAGCTTCCGGGTCATGTGGCCAGCATGACTAAGCTGGCGAACCAGAGCAGCGCACGGAAACACCGTTTACCTTCCTGCTAGAGTGGCACCTATTTATTTACTTGCACTTTGACGTGCTTTCCAACTGCTAGGTTGGCAGGAGCAGGGACCAGGCAATGGGAGCTCACCCCGTCGCAGGGATTTGAACCGCCGACCTTCTGATTGGCAAGCCCTAGGCTCAGTGGTTTAGACCACAGCGCCACCCGCATTGTTACCCATGCTCAAACCTTAGGGTGAAGGGCAGGTAATAAACAAACAAACCATTTGCCCTCCCCAACACCTGAGGGCCACAAGCAAGCCAAGGGGGCACTTGGGCAGGCCACCTCTCCCACAGTGCTCCACCTGAGGCTTGCTGCCTTAAACAAATGCAGCCGGGGAGGGGCACAGCCAGCGCACACCCCTTGAGCAGCGCATGCAAGACACCCCCTGGAAGCACACAGCCAGGGCTGACTACCTCTCTGTCTGCTTTCTCAGCCAAGAGTCTTTGCCAAAGGCACTGCCCGGGTCATGCTGGGTGATGGGGACTCAGCAGGCAAGATGGAGAGACGTCCTAATCAGGCCAGGAACAGCAAAACCATCTCTAGCAGTGCACTGGCTCAGGTGTATGGGAATGGGGCAGGGGGAGGATTTGCCAGGCATCATCTTAAAAACTCCTGTCATGTCTTACTCGCCTTTTCTCTAAACTAGAAAGTCACAAATGCTGCATCTTAGATCTCCCACATCCTGCCTGGTTTAGCCCTGAGCTTAGATACACTTGGGGTTTCCTGTGTGCATTTGGGGTGGGTGGGTGCAGGGAGCAGAGGACAACAGCTCGGCTGGACTGAAAAGCAGAGAGTTTACTAGGAATCCAAAGACTCCCACCAGATGCTCTGCAGGATTTGTTCTTCTCCATCCTTGACACCTGGGACCAGAGTGGGGCTTCTACAGACCGCTGTCAAGTCATTCACCAAGTCAGGAAACCCCTGGGCAAGAGATGTTGGACACAGTATAATGTTGGAAGACTGGGAAAGGTTGTGGAAGAAAGGGGTTAAGTTTACTGCATGTACGGTATTAAAAGAAAACATTAGGAAAATGATGTATAGATGGTGCTTAACCCCGGTAAAATTAGCAAAGATTTACCACACAAATGATAATTTATGTTGGAAGTACAAAGAAAAAGAAGGCACCTTTTATCACATGTGGTGGAAGTGTCCCAAGGTTAAGGACTTCTGGGGAAAGATTTATAATGAGTTGAAAAAAATGTTGAAAAATACATTTGTTAAGAAACCAGAAGCCTTTTTACTTGGAATAATAGGACTGGAATTGCCCAAAAAAGATGTTACGATTATTTTTGTATGCCACTACAGCGGCAAGACTGCTATTAGCTAAAAATTTGAAATCTCAAGAAATACCAAATGTAGAAGAATGGCAGATGAAGATGTTGGACTTTTTGGAGCTGGCTGACCTGACTGGAAGAATCCGCGATCAGAAAGAGGAGGAACACCAAGAAGATTGGAAGAAATTTAAAGACTATCTAGCTAAATATTGTAATATAAGATCATTAGAAGTCCCTTGAAAGTATCAATTAGGCTTAGGATTAGAATAAGGAGTTGTAAAGAACTATGGATTTAGACTAATAAGAAAAGAGAAGAAGATAGTAAATTGAAGGATTTAATTTTATTAGAAAGACGATTTTGGAAAACTGTTACAATGAAATTCAGTTAGGGGGGATTTGAGGAAGTCAGATAACAATGAAAGATAAAATGGGTTCTAGATGTAATAAGTGTTTATATTTTTCTTTTTATTTTCTTTTAGTATTGTAATGTCTTTTCTTTTGTGTGTATGATATGTTATATTTGTCATAAAAGTGGGGAAACAATTTTAAAAAATTGGGGGGGGGTGGAGGAAACCCCAGCCCCCCATTCTGCACCCTGGAGAACAACGAGAGGTTCAGAGCTGGCAAAAGCAGCACTGAGGTCCTTGAGAAAGAACCTCCCCCCCCCCCAACCCTTAAAAGTACAGCTCACATGTCCTGCTCAAAAGGACCCCTCAAAGATAAGGCTCCAAGGCTTCTATGATTCGCAGAGACAATTTCCATCAGAAGCAGCTGAGTTCCTGCCTCTTTCCAGATGTCCTGGTGTGGGAGCTTAATTCTATTTGGCAACCCAAACTCTCAGCATCCACTGCACCGGTTAGGAGGAAGGAGCAGAGCCAGCTGTGCAAGGAAGCATCTCTCCCTCCAGACAGGAGATTTTGGAAGCAGCTGCACTAAAGAGAAGCAAGCAGGGGCAGAAGAAGGTGCTAGTTCAGACCACGGGCCCATTTCCAGTAGGAAAAGAGGAGCAGAGTGGTCCCAAATGGGTGTAGCTAAAGGAGGAGGAGGGCTGGAGCTACAAGGCAAACAGAACTTTCTTTTTAACTGGTATGTGTGTAGACACAAGAAGAGCCTGCAGGATCAGGCCAATGGGGGCCTATCTAGTATAGCAGGGCGCTCTCCCCTCCTGCAGTTTCCAGCAACTGGTATTCAGAAACATCGCTATCTCCAACTGCAGAGGCAGAGAGCAGCTGTCATGGCTAGTAGCCATCAACAGCCCTCTCTTCAATGAATTTGTCCATCTTCTTTCAAAGCCACCCAAGCTGAAGGTCACGACTACTTCTTGTGGGAGGGAGTTCCACGGTTCAACTACGCCCTGCGTGAAGTATGACTTCTTTGTATCTGTGCATGCCGGTTTCCCGCTATTGTAAGGCCTTAATTTCTAGTCAACTAGTTTACGTTTTTATCACTGCTTTCATTCTTGTGAGCCGCTCTGACCTTTTAAGGAGCATCGACGAAATCAAAATACCTGCAAGAGATGTTTTAAATTTTGAATTCTTTGCACGGCCTGCCCACCTTGAAATGACTCAGCCATGAAGCTGGGTGTCACCCAGCCCAGTGCCCACTGTTTACTCACCAGGGCTGATTCTGCATTCGCTTTGTGTGTGCATGCATTTAAAAATTTTTTGGAGGGCCACAGTTCCTCTCCCCCCCCCCAGTTATGGGGATAAAATGCCGCTGGGGAGACAACATATGCTGCCTCCTGCCTAAGCGTCTTTGAGGAAGCTTTAAAAAGCCACACAATTAATGTTGGGGCCTTTGTGTGCAGTGCAAACACTGGTGTGTTGTGAGGACGCAAAGCTTTGCAATAATCCAACCTAGAGTGACATTGGCCTTTGGACCAGCTGTTACGCCTGCCGTCCATTCCTCCTTCAGCAGGACCACTGGGCCTCCCCTCTCTCCCCGCCTCCTCAGCCACCCTCCTCCATCTCGGTCTGCTCTTGGAGGCAGCCCTTCCCATCTGGCCTTGCTGAAAGTCGCTCCATTTGTCAGCCTCTCTCCTGTTAATGGAGACACAGAACCATCCATCTGCCTCATGGCAGCGTAGCTCCCAGCTGCCCAGGGATGAGCGATGGAGGAAGGAATAGAGGAAAGAGAAGGGGAGGAAAGAGGCCAGCCACACCAGGTGTGGAACAACGTGCAGAAGCACAAAAATAAACTCCACAGCACACCGCGCTACCCTGCTTAAAAGAGGTTATTCTGCACACACCATCACCTTGTTCGGGCATGTGGTACCCAAGGTAAAGGGGCCCCTGACAGTTAAGTCCAGTCGCAAACGACTCTGGGGTTGCGGCGCTCATCTCGCTTTACAGGCCGAGGGAGCCGGCGTTTGTCTGCTCCACAGACAGTTTTTCCAGGTCATGTGGCCAGCATGACTAAGCCACTTCTGGCGCAACAGAACACCGACAGCAGAGCAGCGCACAGAAACGCCATTTACCTTCCTGCTGGAGTGGTACCTATTTATCTACTTGCACTTTTTGACGTACTTTCGAACTGCTAGGTTGGCAGGAGCTGGGACCGAGCAACGGGAGCTCACCCTATCACAGGGCTTCGAACCGCCGACCTTTTGATCGGCAAGCCCAAGGCTCAGTGGTTTAGACCATAGCGCCACCCACCTCCCTTCTGGTACCCATTTACTTCTTGCATTTTTTCAAGGTGGCGTACACGGTTTCCCCACTTGTCATGTAATCCCAACAACCCTGTGAGGTACATTAGGCTGAGAGAAGACAGTGACTGGTTCAAGGTCACCCAGTGAGCATCATGGTCGAGTGGGGAATCAAACCCTCGTCTCCCAGGTCCCTGGCTTCCATGGCCAGTCAGGGCTACCCATAGACTCTGAATGCACAAAGAGGTCCTCAACAGTGGAAACCTCTGCTTTCAGTGCTGGCCGTGGCTCAGTCTGAAGCAGGGTGTGTTTGCTTCCAACATGGGGACAGGAACCCTGAGAGATGGAGGTTCCTTCTCTTGGACATGGAAAAGGAGACCACTCTGTCAGACTAACACTGGGTGCTTGGTGTGGGGCTGTCGAAGGGAGGGGGCTGACCCCACACTTTCCTGTAAGCTTTTTCACATGATGGGAACCAGACAGCTGAACAGGGCTTTGGACAGTCCCATGGCTGAACTGAGGAAACCAGACCCACCAGCATTTCATAAATGAATCCAGGGATGTCCTGGTCGCCTCCCTCTTCCCACCCCAAGGCTCAGAGCCTTCCTCCCACCCTGACCCACTGCCAAAGGCACAACTCAGTTGTGTAATGATGAGCGCCAACTGGAACTTTTCCAGTGTTTTATTACTGCAGATCATGGCATCAGTACAGCTGGCATAAACTTGATTTAAAATAAACCCCTCAATGGACTTTCCTGACCCTGATAAGAGTCCTTATCATCCTGGAAAAGCTTCCTGATCTCTCAAGACTTTATGTAAATATCAGCACAGTAATCTGTTGTTAGCAAAATTTAATTCACATCTCCTCTAAAAAGAATGGGCTCCACATAGAAGACAGGAAACAAACAAAGATAAACCAGTTTGTCATTTCTCACTAGGATTATATTCTTTCAACTACAAACTAAGTCAGGTAAGCAGAATAACTAGCAGACAGGAACTTGTAAGAAATGAAAAATGAAACAGAGGAATCAAGGTGTTCTTACCGAATTACTCATCTAAAAGACCCCTTCCCTTCTCCATAACCTAACATTGGCCCCAGTACTTTCAGTTTCAATGGTTTGTCAGCTCTAACAGCTCCAATATGGACCCCTTTTCACTTTGTGCTCTCAAGGACCAGCCTGAGAGCTTTGCTCCAGGTATCCGCTCCTCTCTCCCCTTGTTGCTGTACTTTTAGCTGAGTCTGTGTCAAATGCCACACATTCTCTCTTTAGGCTTTTGACAAGGAACCTCCTTGTCCTCTTTAGATCAAGCTGTGTCTGTAGTGTGCGAGTTGCTGCCTGCTTCTACTGTAACTTTGCTCTCTGAAGCAGCATGTACACACACCGTCAGTTTCATGACAAATAATAAGCCAACCTTTTGGACAAGGGAGTGAGTGCTGGATATGCAGACACACACTTTTGTAACAGTCGCTTCTGCTCAACTCCTTTAGAAGCCAAGAGGTCATTTGATCCTTAGGTTAAAGATATACTACCAACATCTATTCATCCTGCAATAAGTTACTAGCTGCCCAAGAGGCAGCTCAGCAGCTGAAGTGTGGGCACAACGACAGAGTGAGCATTGATTGGCATCTTGAGTGTTCAGCCGCATGCACGACCCTGGGCTCCACCAACCAGGCACCTTTGGGACATTCTGAGCGGCAACTCTGATCAGATTCAGACAACACAACTGTAAGATGCTGGGGCTGATGGGAGCATGTTGATGCTGACTTAAGACGGATGGCAGTTGTAGGCTGTGTAATACACTATACCAGGCATAGGCAAACTCGGCCCTCCAGCATAGCTGTCAACTTACAGATTTGAAAATAAGGGACCAGCAGCCTCCAAAATAAGGGATCAGCAGCCAAAATAAGGGGTTTTCCAAGCACAGGTATGTTCAGCTTCTGAGCCCCTCCAAGCCAAAGGCAGAAAGCCCAGCCGGCAGCCAAACAAAGCCTCAAGCGGTGGTTCCCACAGCGCAGCAACCCGGCAAAGGGGATGCAGCAAGGAAAACCACCGTCACCTCTCCGCTGGGAAGTGCTAAGCAAAGGCAAGTCCCTAGGCAACGCGGCCGATTTGATCAGCACAAGGCATGTAAGCTCCACCCCCCCAGTCGTTCTTAGACTCCTTATTGGGTGAGCAACGCAGCCAAGCAACACAGTTGAAGCCTCCCTCCTCCCTGGCCGGCAGGGAGGGAGGGAGAGGAGCTGCTTCCTTTGAAACCCGGGAAATTTAAGGGACATCATCAATAAGGGACAGCAGCGGGACACAGAGCTGGGATAAGGGACTTTCCCGCCAAATAAGGGACGGTTGACAGCTATGGCCTCCAGATGTTTTGAGACTACAGTTCCCATCATCCCTGACCACTGGTCCTGTTAGCTAGGGATGATGGGAGTTGTAGTCCCAAAACATCTGGAGGGTGAGTTTGCCTATGCCTGCACTATACCTTTAAAGCACAATTGGAGCAAATCCTTTCCCTCAAACAATTCCGGGCACTGCAGTTGCAAAGTTACAGTTCCCAGCAATCCTTAACAAACTCCAGTGCCCAGAATTCTTTGATGGGGGAAATGTGCTTTGAATGTGCTTCAAAGGTACAGCATGTCTGCAACCCCAGCTTGAAACATCTGGTGGGCACCTGGCTGCAGGAAGCTGCAAGCCAGAGAATTGTAGCAGAGATGCATTTGCTGGCCAACTCGGAACTCCAGCAGGGAGACGTCTGAAAACCGACACACAGCATCAAATCTAGCAGCATTTTTACAAGGTTTTGTTTTGTTGCTAAGAGTAAAAACAAAAACCAATCCAGGACAGTGATCTAGCAGAGATCAGAAAACAGGGACAGCTGGAGGGGTTGCATGACTCCTGGCCTTAGGGAGAGAATTTCTGATCCTTGTGATTCCCAGAGAGTTACCTTTGCCTACAGAAAGAAATGCCAAGGGCAGACATACGAAGGCATGCCATGCGGTGGCACCTTTGAGGACTGGGCTGCCTCCCCCAGGGAGCTTGCAGGCCCATCCTCTGAAGTGACAGCTCCCATTTCAAAAAAGGAGACCCCAGCCTGCTTTCTCACAAGAGAAACAGGCTTCTTTTGGCATCAGTTTCCCAATTTATGGAATCAAGAGAACCTAAATGGCAGGATCTGATCAGCCACAATACATTTTGCTTCCATTTCACATACATAAACACTCTTGGGGGCCAAACTGGCACCCCCCACGAAAGCCATAATCCAAACTAAAAATAACTTTAAAACTATTTTCTTGATCCCAGCAAGGCCATCTGCTCTGCAAACAAGCAGCTGCTACCCAGGTGAAGCAGCAGCAAAATTGGCCCCTAATCCAAAGTCTGGCTGCCAGACCGTTCAGGAGAGCAGTGGTGCTCAGCTCCCCTGGGCAGCACCAGGGCAAAGGATCAAGAGGGAAGTGAAATGGCACTAAGCATCTGTTTGCTGAGACTAACTTTCAATCATTTAATTCTGTACTTTCAACAGATTTACCATCTTGGCTTACATACACACACACACACACACACACACACACACTCCCTTCCTGTATAAGATTTCTTATTTCTTACATTCAAAGCACACCTTTCTTTCCACCAAGAAGTCCAAGGTGGCACACATAGTTCTCCCCCTCCCCATTTTATTCTCCAACAACCCTGGCCCAAGATCACCCAGCAAGCTTCCTGGCTGAGTAGGAATTTGAACCCTGGTCTCACAGGTCCTAATCTGATACTCTAACACAGGGGTCAGCAAACTTTTTCAGCAGGGGGCCAGTCCACTGTCCCTCAGACCTTGTGGGGGGCTGGACTATATGGGGGGGGGGGATGAATGAATTCCTATGCCCTAACAAATAACCCAGAGATGCATTTTAAATAAAAGCACACATTCTACTCATGTAAAAATACCCTGATTCCTGAACCATTTGCGGGCCGGATTTAGAAGGTGATTGGGCCGGATCTGGCCCCCGGGCCTTAGTTTGCCTACCCATGCTCTAACACTACATGTCAGAAGATCCCTACATGGTGCCCAATCAATCCTGAGTAGAAGTATGTAAAGGTAAAGGTAAAGGGAGCCCTGACCATTAGGTCCAGTCGCGGACGACTCTGGGGTTGCGGCGCTAATCTCGCTTTACTGGCCAAGGGAGCCGGTGTACAGCTTCCAGGTCATGTGGCCAGCATGACTAAGCCATTTCTGGTGAACCAGAGCAGCACACGGAAACGCTGTTTACCTTCCCACCGGAGTGGTACCTATTTATCTACTTGCACTTTGACGTGCTTTCGAACTGCTAGGTTGGCAGGAGCTGGGACCGAGGAACGGGAGCTCACCCCGTTGCGGGGATTCGAACTGCTGACCTTCTGACCGGCAAGCCCTAGGCTCTGTGGTTTAAACCGCAGTGCCACCCACGTCCCAGAATAGAAGTGTGAATTGCACCCTATTCTGCATCTTGCATATGCTTCACACAAGGATCTGGTTCACACATGCATGCCTCTGTTTCTTGACACCTGATGGTAGCAGCTGAATGTGACAGAAGTTCTATTTGTGCTGCTACATCCGATCACAGAAAGGAAGCAGGTTCCTGGTTGATCTGGACTGGTATCCATCATCTTTGCTGGCCTGAGAACTGCAGCTTCTTTCAGATAAGCGAAGCCTTGAGGTGAGCCCACCCCCACATGCCTCCCCCAACCTTTTGCTGCTTGACTGGGAGGTCTGTGGCAATCTGCAGCAAGGGCTTAAATCCAGCCCAGATGCAACTCAGCAAGCCAGTCTCTCTAACACACTCTTAATGAAGCAACAGCATGTCAGCGCTGGAAGACCCCAGCAGCGGATCTTGCATAAAATTCAAGGCTTCCTTCTCAAAGAGCAAGCAAGAACATAAGAACAGTCCTTCTGCTGGATCCGGCCAATGGTCCATCTAGTCCAGCATCCCGTTCTCACAGTGGCCAACCAGATGTCCATGGGAAACCAGCAAGCAGGATGTGAGCAGAAGAGCCTTCTCTCTACCTGTGGCTTCCAGCAACCGCCTCCATCTCAGCTGGAGACAACTTTCTGCAGCTTAGGCAAATTATGCAGATCAGTCATGCACACATTTCCCCCTATTTTGCATGGTGACTTTTATTTAATTGCTTGAATTAAATCCAGAGGATCCCAGGGCAGCACACAGTAATAAAAATACGATGTAATTTCACGAAACCCCAATACTATTCTTCAAACAGGGATAGGAAACTTCCGATTCAACATTTTATGGAAAGCCACATTGCCAAGTGCCAATCAAGTCTTGCTTTGCTCAACAGGGGAAGTTCCTACTCTTGCAGCAGCCTTAGGCACTCGGGCATGCCGCTGACTTGGCTTAAAATTAATGGGAACTGAATATACTTTGGCTTGGCCAGATTTCCCCATGGCTCTCAAAAGTTGTTTTTAGCCAAATTTAAGCACACAACAACACACTGCCACCCTTCGAGGAAGGATACAGTTTCTGCCCTGGTGGCTTAATTCCCCCTGGGGCTCTTTGCTTAAAGTCAGAAGTGCTGCAGCCTCACAGTTCTGGAAATCGCCCCCTTTGGCTCTGCCTCTGGACTTTCCTCCGCAAGCAATGCCTTCCCTCTTGCCAGCTGCGGTTCCCTGCACCCTTCTGCCAAGAATCCCAAATCCTTGGCTTAGAAACCCACCCTGCACTCTCCCACTGATCTTTCTTCCTTCTGTTTCAATGAACCCATCCGTTAGGTCTCTATGGCTGCAGGCACCAGGGTCCACTTGGACCCCTCTCTCCTGTTTCCTCTCTTCTAACAGTTCCCTTGCTCGCCGTAGTTCTATAGCTCTCCACAGCCTTAAAAAGTGAATCCAGACTTTTGGCTGCATCAGGGCCGGCTGGCCAACCCATAAGGCAGACTGAAGTGGCTGCCTCAGGCTGCAGAACCCCACATGGGGTGGCACCCCCATTGCCACTGCTGGGGTCATACGACTGCGGCTTCCGGTGGGAGCTCACAAACTCTCACTGGAAGCCACTGCACCATCCAGGTGCACCTATGCAAATAAATTCCACCTGTCCAAGTGGAATTCATAGCCAACAAAACTAATTATTAGTCTGCCTGCTCAAATATGCATATATTGCAATTTCTGGGCACTTTAATAGCATGGAAGGCAAAGGCAAACCTTTTCTAATTTGTAAATAAATAGTTTCCTTGCCTGGTTGCCTGGGTCTAGTTTTCACTTGTGCTAGGCAAGTGGGCAAATCTACTACTCGGAACCCTCTGGCACACTAATAAGGAAATTAATCAGCTTGAGCATTTGGTTTTTGTATCTCCCCTTCCAAAAGTTAGGAAACGAGCCCAGCTTGGAACAAAAAATGCTTCTCTCTGCTTAATGCTGCATGTTCACTTAAGCCTCATTAAGGTTTTCCAGACACTGTTTAACTCTTCTGAAATCTTTTTTCCTAGATTTTCAGCATTTAGCAATAATTCATTTTGTAGAAGAATTTAGTTTAGCATCCATTCCTTGCTTATTTCATTACATTTCTATCCCACCTGCCATGGAATTCAAGAGCAGCAAAGCTATGAAAGGGTACAAAGCAGGTCCCCAGATGTGGATCAGAGTACATTGAACCCAAGTGTGTTTCCAGGGTTCATGAGTCCTCCTCTGGGGGTGGGGGGCTTGTTAAACAAAGCGGGGCTCTCCGGTCTGTTTAGGTTTGGCCTACTGGAGCTGCTGGGGAGTGAACCTGGGACCTTTTACATGCAAAGTTTGTGTTCTACCGCTGAATGGCATCTTCTCTGACCCAACTGCTTAGTAACAAGATGAAAATTGAGAAGGCCTGAGTCTTAATGGCAGAGCTATCAAGATTGTTAGGTTCCTTTTAGAACACAAAAAAGCTGAAGCTAGGAATGCATATGTTTAGTACTCCTAAAACAACCTGATCACTAGAAAAAGTCAGAGAATTAAATGTTGTTCATGCTGCCCACCAAAACTGAACACAGAAGAACTGTTGGTTTGTGCTGCCTGCAGAATCAGTTAAGAACCGAGAACAAACCACATATGAACTATCAGGGAAGAATGTGGTGCTCCACCCCTCTTTCACACAGTCTTGGTGGAGGAAGAAATGAAGAAGGGGCAGCCAGCAACTGATTCTTCTGCACTTGGAAGCCAGAGATTCCAGAGCTGGATATTATTATTTTGAATACTACCCTTCAGGGACAGAGCAGATTAAGAATATGCAGATGTGGTGCTCCAGAAGAGATCTTGCTGAACCTTAAACGTTATACTGGAGGTTATTAGCTAGAGCTGGACAAAATGGGAGAAAGACTTTGAGAGATTCTCAAAGGCAGGCAGAAGAGAAGCAAAGCAAAAGTTTGTAGATGGTAATGAAGTCCATCGCAAGAGAAGAATCTTTTGGCACTAACAAAAAAACTGGTAGACGTTTATTGAGACTGGGCCTACCTCATCAGATGCAATGGGACTTAAGTGCAGGGGGAGAGGGCCTGAACACACCCAAATTAACAATCCAGTGCATTTAGGAGGCATGTCTGGGGTACAACCTAAAAGAGTAACAGGCAAGCTCTCTTTCCACCCAGCTAAAGTCCAACCCCCCCCCAAAGCTAATGGTTAACAGGAATAGACAGACTCACCCCTATGCGTAGTGAAGCACTTTGCAAAACTCACAAGCCCCACTTTCTTCCTCTTTCAGCCGCCCCTCCCCCTCCCAACCCACTTCCTCATCCTCTGTGGAGCTGAGAATCTGAGTCCCAGTGGCAGATAACAAATTACCCGGGGAGGGGGGCGGGCAGAGATGGTACAGCCAGCCACAAAGGCAGCGACAGTCCATCACGGGGAGGGATGAATAGAGAGACACAAAGCGATGGGGAGGGAGGGAGGAGTCACCCACTTAGAGTAAGGGAATCCCCTCCCCAAATTCCCAGTCCCTGGGGTGGCCTTTCTTAATTAATTAATATCCTCTTCTTTCACCCCACTCAAGAGAGAACCCAGGAGTCCTGGCCTGTCCCACCCCTAGCCAGAAACAGCAGCACAAACTGTTTCCTCTTAACCACTAACTACACTCTCCTCCCAGAGAGTGTCAGAAAGTCGTCCTGGGCCCGATCCTGCCTGCAATGCATAAGCACCCAGCGCAATGAATGGGAGCCACAAAGGGGCCCGCTCCTCCCCTCAATTCCCATTCATTCATTCCTCCATCTGAACAGCTGCTTGCGCAGGAGACCCTCCTCTTCTCCGCGCCCCGCTCCGGGAAGGATGGGCTCCAGATCTCTAGGTCGCTTCTCCGTCTACCCCAGACGGGTTTACTCGGAAGCAAGGCGGTTGGGGATGAGCGGATAGATCAGGGATAAGCAGTGGGGAGCGGGGTTCCTGGGGGTTCTGCGGGGATCCACACACCCCCCCGCCAGTCCCGCCCAACTCCAAGAAGGGCGCAGGGAGAGCAGCCGCCTTCGCCCAGTTGGGTGCCCACGAATCTAAAGGGGCTTCTTCCGGAGTGGGGGTTCCTTACAAATTCGGCCGATTCTCCCCAGGCAGCATCCCCCGCCCGCCCGCCCCCAGGCACCTCGTGGGTCTGTTCTGTCCGGCCGTCGGAAGATGCGGAGAGTCTTTCGGCCCCCGGGGGCGGGGAATGTGCGTGCGTCTTTGTTGCGCCCCCTCCCTCCACCAGGCGAGGTCCGGCTGCAACTTACCGGGAGCGCCCCTCCCCGGGCCCCGATCCCGCGGCTGGGCGTCCTCGCAGGCAGCAGACGACGGCGGCCGCCGCCCGGATCCCCTCCTCGCAGCTGCCGGGGAGGAGTCCCCGCCCCCGCCGGCCTCTCTCTCGGGCGCCCCCTCCCCGCCGGAGCCCAGCCAATCGCCGGCTCATTGGAGGCTCCTCCCGCTGCTGGGGGGCTGGGGGGGTGAACCCGGCCAGACAATGCTATCGAGCGGAGCCTTGCCCGCCCCTCGCTGGGCTGGAGGGGTGCTAGGGGTCCCGGCCTCTGGGGGTCCCTCCAGGGTTGGCAGGGTTTTGCTAGCCTCGGACCTCCAAAAACCTGCTGCCCCCTTTGGAGCAAGAGAAGCCAGGGCAGCCAAATGGACCGTCACGTTGGTTAGGGACCCCCAGGGGTCTTCTAGTCCACCCCTCCCTGCGTTGCAGCTCCAGAATCCCCGAGCAAGGACTTATCTCTCCAGAGTGGTGCATGCTCTAGTTATCTCTCGCTTGGACTACTGCAATGCGCTCTACGTGGGGCTACCTTTGAAGGTGAGCAGGAAACTGCAATTAATCCAGAAGGCGGCAGCTAGACTGGTGACTGGGAGCGGCCACCGAGACCACATAACACGGGTCCTGAAAGACCTACATTGGCTCCCAGTACGTTTCCGAGCACAATTCAAAGTATTGGTGCTGACCTTTAAAGCCCTAAACAGCCTCAGTCCAGTATACCTGAAGGAGCGTCTCCACCCCCATCGTTCTACCCGGACACTGAGGTCCAGCACCGAGGGCATTCTGGCGGTTCCCTCACTGTGAGAAGCCAAATTACAGGGAACCAGGCAGAGGGCCTTCTCGATAGTGGCACCCACCCTGTTGAACACCCTCCCATCAGATGTCAAAGAGAAAAATAACTACCAAACTTTTAGAAGACATCTGAAGGCAGCCCTGTTTAGGGAAGATTTTAATGTTTAATAGGTTATTGTATTCTAGTGTTTTGTTGGAAGCCGCCCAGAATGGCTGGGGAAACCCAGCCAGATGGGCGGGGTATAAATAATAAATTATCATCATCATCATCATCTGCTTTGAAAACCCACAACGAAGGAGAGTCCGCCACATGGGGGGTTGGATGATCCTTTGGGTCCCTTCCAGACTCTCCGATTCTGTGATTCCGAGAAAGTCCATCCCAATGTTCAACAGAAAATTTTGCCTCATCTTGAGTCACAATTTCCTTTCTTGCCATTGGAATCCAATGGCCATTTGTCATTTGAGAAGACTGAGAGGGCCCGAACCAATGGATTCCAGTGAGAAGAAAGGAGATTTCCACTAAAGATTAGGAAAAACTTTCTGACACTAAGAGGCGTTCAACAGTGGAGGAGACTCCCTTCACTGGAGGTTTCTAAACAGACCTTGGATGGTCACCTGTCAGGGATTCTTTAGCTGTGGTTCCTGCATTGCAGGGGGTTGGAGGACCCTGAGTCACAGCTCTACAATTCTGATTGCCTCCTTTGTTACCTGCCCTCCTGTGCCCAGGTGACTATGGAGGAGCGCAGTTGCTCCACGGATGAACCATGGATTCACAACTTTAATTAAAAGGGGAGCGGGTTAACAAAACATCAGCCAGATCTATGAACCTGGGGGAATTCATGCATCTTAATCTGAAGCTGGACACAGACAGTGTGTGTGTGGGGGCTCTATTGTGCTGGTGGGGAAAGAGGAGTCCCACACCTGGGGAGCCACAAGGAAAATGCTGCTTTTCATAATCACAGCAGGAGCTACAGATGTTGGCAGAGCCTCTCCCACTAATGGACTTAAACATGCAAAACATCCTCTCCTATTGTTCTTTAGTGAACCCTTTTAAAATTACTGCTAGTCTTCCACAGAATGAACTTCAGGTTAAGAATTTGTCAAGAATGTATAACTTGCTGTTGAAATGGAACACTCAGGATGAAATGGTGAAATCAGCTATGATTAAATGGGCACAAGATGTCGGACATAATATAATGATGGCTGACTGGGAACAGTTATGGACCACAGGTATGAAATTTACGGCATGTAATGTCCTAAGAGAAAATTTAATGAAAATGATTTATAGGTGGTACATGACACCAGTCAAGCTTGCAAAAATTTATCATTTGCCCGACAATAAATGTTGGAAATGTAATGAGACTGAAGGCACAGTCTTTCACCTTTGGTGGACATGCCCAAGGATTAAGACATTCTGGGAGATGATTTATAACGAAATGAAAAAGGTATTTAAATATACCTTTCTGAAGAAACCAGAGGCCTTTCTCCTGGGCATGGTTGGCCAATTGGTGTCAAAGAAGGATAGAAATTTTTTTATGTATGCAACAACAGCAGCAAGAATACTCATTGCAAAGTATTGGAAGACACAAGATTTACCCACCCGGGAAGAATGGCAGATGAAGTTGATGGACTATATGGAATTGGCGGAAATGACTGGCAGAATCTGAGACCAGGGAGAAGAGTCGGTGGAAGAAGACTGGAAAAAGTTTAAAGACTATTTACAGAAATACTGTAAAATTAATGAAAGTTAGGAAAATGTTGGAATGAAGTTATATGGCTTTAGTAGAAATGTTATAAGGAATTAAGTATAAATAGATTAATAGAGTATTAAAGGGAAAAATAAGGTTAGAACGTGTTAAGATAATTATAGGATAGAAAACAGAGGAAGATGGAAAGGAATTGCTGAAACAATTAACAGAAGTGGAATACCAAAAGGGAGGTGTGAGGAGGTCATTGAAATAAGTAAATGAAAGATAAGATATTGAAACTGTTTGATGTGTTTTAAACTGTTTTTGTTTTGTTTTGTTAGTTTAATGTGTTAGTGTTTTGTATTGTATTGTATTGTTTATTTTTTTGTAGTGTTTAAATTGTTGGAAAAGTAATAAATATTATTTTTTTAAAAAAACAGAATGAACTTCAGGAAACCCAAGTTAGAAAAACTTCCCAAGGTTATCCACCAATAAAAGAGGTGCGTTGACATTAATTCTGCACACTTTTGAAGTTCCCGCATGGTGCCTCTGAGCTGAAATAATTCGCAGTATTCACAATCATTCATGTATGAGCTGATTGCCCTCCATATCAAGTATCTAATTGCAAGGAGGTAAAACCCTCTGTTTTATTTTCCTCCACAAAGGGCTGTTTTCTTATTGCCATTAGTTTGGCCTTCTTTTCTACGGTGTCACATTAAACATTCATTAGAACTCAATTTGTGCAAGTCGCATCCAGTATTGTTGCCCAAAATATTAACAAAAGAGCCACATATTTCCTCTGGGAATAGCTAAGTTATTGTGGCTCTTGAAAACGGATCCTAAGCATTCACACACACACACACACACACACACACACACACACACACACCAGCTAATTATTGCGTAAGTTGGGGCCTTGGTGGCAAAGAAGTGAAACGACTAACAGGAATGGATGAGAAACTGTTAAGTCAGCTGTCTTTATAAATTGTGAACTATTTCTAGAGAGCCAGCTCACGCAGGAGACAGCCCTGAGAGGGAAGCTGGTAATATTTCACACACGGCATGTGCCTGGACTAACAACAGGTTTGTTTTTTTGTGGGGAGTGGGGCTAACTCCCACTTGGAATGAGAAAGCCAAATGGAAAAGAGCATTATCAGACAGGCTTTGTTTCAGAAAAAGCTATTCGAGGCCTGTTTCAGCATCCTGCAAACACATCACTCTTGAAATACCAGTTTTTACTCCATCTTTATTGTCCTTTGAAATAGAACCAGGGCTGACCCAACTCATTAGGCACTGCAGGAAACTACTTGGGATAGAGACGTGGGGGCCGTGCCCCCCTATCTTCAGACTGCACCTTTCATCATCCCTGGTATGACAGGTGGAGGGGGAAGGGGGGGACAGGCTGCGGCTATGGGAACCAGGCAACAATTCATCCATCCCTTAATTTGACTAGATCAGCAACCCCAGGATTATTATTTGGGGGGGGGTAAAGCAAGAGGTAGAAGGTTCCCTGGAAAACCCTTAATCCAGGGGTCATCTAGTCCAACTTCCTGCAGTGCAGGAACCACAGCTAAAGAATATCTGGCAGTCACCACCTCATCAGGGCAGGGACTTGCCCTCTTGAACCCTGTAAAACATCACACACACACACTGGTGGTGCTATATAAAGAATAGCATTTGTCATTGTATATATTCAAAAATAGTGGTACAAGACCAAGGTGAGGTACTGTTTTACTCTGCAAGGCATTCAATATAGGATGATGAAGCTGGTTCAATTTCTGGATTTATATTTTTTTTTCTGATGAAAAGGTGATATTGTTTTTAACTGTTTTTTTTTCTCTTTTTTCTCTTTTGTTTTTTGTTCTTTTTTTCTTTTTTGGATTATGTATTGTATATTTTTTGAATTGTGTATTTCTTTTTTATGTTTTATGTTTAATCTTTTATGGAAACTTTAATAAATATTATTTTAAAATATATATATATATATATATATATATATATATATATATATATATATATTTTCTGGAGGCTTGCAGGGACGACAACCTCTGACTTTGCGTTTAATTATTTTGCTACACATTTTGTTCAGCACTTAATAACCTTAAGGCTAATGGCATCTTCATTCTGTAGGGGCCCTTGGTTGAAGTCCTAAGTGTATGGACTGCAAGAATCAACTGCATTAATCAAATTGATATGCACCATGCTGGGGGAAAACTGGAGTTAAAAAGCTCCAGGTTATTACTCAGAAGGGGACCGAAGGGTTACAGAGAGGCAAACGCAGTTTCCGGCTTTCCCTGATGTAGCTGTCCAAGGTTCTGCAGTCTACAGTACCTGTAAAAAGAAAAACCTGTTGAGTTTGCTAGCGTAGCACAGAGATAGAAAGAGCTCTCTGTCTCTGGGCTCTAACATCAACTACGTCTTATTAAACAAGCATTTGGAGTGAGCTGGCCATCTGTTCATCTTAATGTTGGTTCTTCTGTCTCATAAGAATGACCACGACAGTCCAGTTGCAAAGTTGCATCTAGGTCAACTTTTATTTATACTGAACAGCTTTTAAAAATACAGAATAAAATAGCATTTATCTACTATTATTCACAACATCTGGTCCAAATATTACATATTTCTTAAATATTTCAACGTTTAATAAAGCAACGTTAGAAAAAAATATCCCAACAAAACACAACAAAATTCATAAAAATCTCAATAAAAGAATTACACATCTCAGAGAAAAAACCCAACTTGGTTTGTAACATGAGATTGTGCAGTCAAAAGTCATTCACCAAAAAAAACCTCATGGGAAAAAGAATATTATTATTTATCCCCACTGTCTAAAAAACAGTCAAAAGAGTTTGTTACATCAAAAGTTGTTATTATGAACAGACCAAAGAGGAGAAAAAGAAGATGCACTAGAGTTTGGATTGACAGCAAGATGGTTCACTTGGAAAGATGTCAGGCAATACACAAGGGAATTCTCTGCTATCAAATATGTACTGATGACTAATCACAGCCACAAGCAAATTATAACCAGACAGGAATGTTTTTGATGCCACTCAAGGTGAATTCTCAATACTTAAAGCAGCCCAGCACTATAACGGTTATAGAGACTAATGGGCAGAAGCTAAATACTGGTGAGCACGTGGCCGCCTCACAGCACAGATGGGAAAGGATCTACCACTACAAAATGGGAAGCCCCAGCAGTCTGCTCTCCTCTGTCCAGGCAGGTTAAGAAACTGTTTTGAGTGAGAAACTCCAGATAAGCACCATGCACCATGCAAAAGAAAACCATACAAAATACAAATGGTGAGTGTATCTTGCTCCCAACGCCGCCTTCTTCTGGTGGTGAAAGGTTGGTTATTTTTTGGTTCAAGAAGGCCACTGGAGAAGGGGGGGGGGAGGCCATTTTGTGCTGGTCTGTCATGCATATTGAGATATGAGTTGCGTCGTCACTTTGGAATGCAGGCACACGTCCGATGGCACAGGACTGCTTCTCCACTTTATGGTGTAAAGAGAAAGGAGGCTGCTTCTGGCCACTGAGCAAAGGGGAAAGTGGGATGGGAGTCACCTCTGAGGCTCTGCCCCTTGCATCTAACAAAAGGGAAGGGAACGGGGGTCGAGAACCAGATGGCCTGTTTTGAATTTGGGCCTATCGAAACCCCAAGTGTGTACAAGCAGCCTTATCATACGCCTTCCCACAAACACCTTCACTAGGCTGGGTTATTCTTCTTTCTGGGAGGCAAAAGCAGCCAAATAGAGAGGAAGGGCCTTCAGCAGCTGCATCCTTGGAGCACCCTGATATATGTGGAAAACATACTTCAGCCAGTGAAGTAGGCTCAGGCTAGCCAATGGCTTTAAACCATCAGCTCCTGAACCATTAGGCTCTCCCCAATTCCTCCCATCGACTCCTACAGGAATCGTTTAGGAACCCTACCTGCAGAGTTCATGGCTGGGATTGGGCTGAAAGCAAGGAGGCACCAAGGTGAAAAACAGAGAGGGCGAGTGGCTCTAAGGATGCTCCTTGTCCTTAACCATAAGATGGGAAGAAGCCTGAAGTTATGCATGCCATCAGAATTTGGCACTTCATAGATGATAGAAGGCTAGAGCCTAACTGTGCCATCAGTGAGAGGTTGACATGTTTTGGTCTGATTGCTTAATTTTTGCATCTGATTAGCATCTCTTTCTAATTCTCAACCAGAGCCGGCCAGAGACATTTTGGTGTTTGAGGCAGAAAATCCAAAAGGCGTTCTCAACCTCCTGACTCCAAACATATACAAAATAATTAACGCAGCAAGGTTCTTCTTCACAAGCCTCATGGAAATGAACAGCAGCCGTGCAAGAGCACAGTTAACCCCCGTTCGCTTCAAGGAAGTAGGAGAACGTCCCTGTGGATTGTTCCCCCGGGGGCCAGGGTGTGGATGCCTCCCACAGTGTCACCCGCTGAACAGGAGTCAGAATCAAAAGCTACTCTGTCAGATGGCCATGCATCTGGTCTCATGGTTGGACCTGCTCTGGGCTCAACGTGTTCCACTGCTAGTACACAAGCAATGCTGTTACCGGTACCAATGTTTTCAAGAGAGAGGTGATCAATAACTTCTCTCTGTTTTTACTTAAAGGACATAAGCATGGGTAAATAAAGTATAAACAATCGCTAGCAATTCGTCAATGAAGAAATTCTATCACATGACATTGTCATGACAATCATATCACTCCCACCCAGGAAACCTGTGACAATTATTATCCTGGGTGGAAATGTTACTCGTTGGGTGTGGTTTTTTTAAGTCTATGGAAATAGAATACTGCAATATTCATGTACAAAGTTGCCATATTGAAAGTTAGTATTAAAGGATGTTAAGACAAATCGACTGTGTAAATTTAAAAACTCCTTCCCTGATGCATCTTATTCTGATTAATACTTTTTTTTCAATCACAGATAAAATTAACCATTAAATATAAATTCAAGAGGCATAATTTTATAAGACACATTCATAAATCTTAGCCAGAGTACTTAATTTTAAAAAAAATTAACATAGGTTTTTATTTTAAATACAAAAGCTCAGAAATTGTTTTGCTTTCAATATACGTTTCTAGATCTTTGACATGACAGTGATGGTTTAGTCATGAATATTTATTTCTTTTAACTGAAATTTGTCAGTGATTTCCCCCAACCTCTCTCATAAGGTGATCTGTCTGGGCAGAATTGTTTAATAGCAGAAAGACAGGAGGCTACAATAAGCACACAATTCAAAGCATCACTACCTTGTTCTGACTTCCTTCCAGCTAGGATACATGTAAGGAGCTAACCGTTCTTTGCTCTCACACAATACTGGGATCTACTCCAAACACAGCAGATATATGGTTGGAGCCCAATGTCTGGTAGCTGAAGTTCATACACCACTTTGAAAGGTTAACAAGAGGTACATCAAATACCTTCCCTTAATTGAAATTCACAGGCCTTGGAGGTTATCCAGAAAAATGAGTTTTCTGAATTCTCTCTTATGAATACAGTCCTAAGCCATTTTGATCCCAGAGTTGGACAAGGCGCAGATTATGGTTCTTCCCACTAATTAACACAGGGTGCCATCTGCCAGAAGGTCATATGTCCAACATCAGTGAAATTAATGGGAGCTGTGAAAGAACACTGCTTTTGCTTTAATGGTGCTTGACTCCCATCTCCTACTCTTAATGATACCCAAGACCTGTTATCTCACTACACTTTCCTATCTTGGACTCTCAAAATTCTCTCCAAAGTTAAAAGCATGCTTTCTTCTCAGGACAACAAAGTATTCTTGCCACAACTGCGAAAGCACCTGACCTTCTGGATGCTCTGCATCCAAGCTGTCAAAAATCTTTTCTAAAAGCAGCAGCAATTGCAATGCCCTCTTGTGGTTGCTTCTGCAAGAGAAAACCCGCCACGGCCTTCACTTTAACCACTTTGCCTTTCAAAGTGAACCTGTCTCGTCTCTCTCAGAATATATATATAAATGGGGGCGCAGAGTAAAGTGGACTGCACTTGTAAACACTGCAAGACTCTGGAAACATTTCATTCCATAGCTCTACATCCCAGGAGGGCAGTAGAACTCCATTTTAAAAACTCACGTCATTTGCACCTCAGAAGTGAGACAAGAAGGTTGGGTCACTTGAACGCCTCTTTTCCTGGCTTCTGTGTGATGTATGGACTAGCTCTTAGCTGCATGTCCCTCGAAGAGAAGTTTAGCAATAAACATAGTCAAGCGGCTACTGAAGAAGTTGGGTGCTTACCTTGCCGCAGTTGTCAGCAGAATATGAAAGCTACTCAAGATAGCTGTAGCCACACAGCTGGTGGCAGGGCACATGTAACAGCCCATATTTCTTATTTACTGCGCTGGGCCCAATCTATTGGAGATCTACTCCTTTACTGAAGCCAAAGGGGAAGTTGTGGAAGAGTGTTATTACAGTAGTGTATCACATTCAGTGACATCTTCAGTTCTGCTATAAACAAACAACTGGCACCTTAGCAAACAAAAATGACCCAAACAAGAATATACTAAATTCTGACAATGTTATGAATACACAACATTTGCCTCTCTGATGCAGCCTTCGACAACCTGGTGCCCTCTAGATTTTGGACTACAATTCCCATATGGCCAGGCTTGCTGGGGCGGAAGGGGATTGTAGCACAAAATATCTGGAGGGTGCCAAGTTGGCGAAGGCTGCTCTAATGTGTGCGGAAAACCTTGGCTTTGGCATTTTGCATTATTATAAGCCACCTATAGGGGGCGGTTCCTTTCCACCCACCTTTTCTTTGGTTGCTCATAAAATAAAGGTGGAAAGCAAACATGCTGCCCCTGTGCTTTTACTCAGAAGTAAGTCCCACTGCGCCCAATGGAGCTTAATCCTAGGTGAGTATGCACGGGATTGTGGCCTTAGTTTCTGAAGCTCATGCAACAGCCCCGATTTAACCTTTTTAAAAAATTTAAAAGCAGCTACTTTTTGGGCTGGTTTTCATGATACCTGGTTTGAATCCAAGACAGCAAACTGCTGCAAGGTCTCTGAGGAAAGATCAGAGAGGGGATATAACCCTGATGTGAAAAGCTATACAATGAAAATGTCACTGAAATGGTAGGAAACACCCACCATCTGCTGATTGCCTTCCCTTCCCCGCCATTCAATACTGATACATCAAAGCTCCTTACACCTTTCTCAAACCCTAATAGCCTCAGTAATCAACAAGAGTGGCTTTATGCCTCTCATGCTCAAGAAACTGACAACAAATGTACAGCACCTGCTTTGGGAACTAAAAAAGAAATAGAGATACAAAACAGGAGCACCTTAGATCACACCGACTTTGAGAGTACAGGCTTTGAGAGAAGACTTACCCTAATGCCTCTCTAACAAATCTTTCCACAGCTTCAAAAATGCCTTTTGGGCCACATCGGGGGGGTAGGGGGACGACAATAAGAAAGGAACAAAATGCTGATGTCTAAAAACTAATCTGCAACAGTAAGAACATTACACAGGAATAATCTTTTTTACAATTATAAATGCATGATGAGCATTAACAGCTATGTAGTGTCAGAGCCAAGACTAGTAGAAGAAAAAAATCAAGAGTCTGAATGGCACCCACAGTGGGCCCCCGATACCCGTTAAACCACCCAGTGGACAGTGATGCACACACGGTCTCTCTTGTTTTAAAAGCAGGTCCCATGTTAAGCTCAGAAAGGGAGGAAAACACAAAGGCAACATTAACTGAAGGATGTTTCTGGGACAGGCAGAACTGCATGAAGCAGGTCAGTACGAATCCAGAGACAACCAGATAGTTCCGTTCTCCATTGAGATGTAGTGAATTTGGCTGCTTAATAAATATCACTTTTAAAACACTGGCCTGCAGGGATGCAAGACAGTGAGCTGCTTAGGCAATCTGTCAGGTTCAGGGATGTGCAATTTGACGACAGCCAGAGGCAAAGCCCCAGTCAACCCTGTCCACAAAAGGTGCTCAGCTAGGACTCGTTAAGCACCCCAGAGCCATGTCACTTTCTTAGGAACAGAAGCTTGTGCAAAGGCACCACTTGTCGGTACATCCAATACACAATGCTGGGAAGCTTTGAAAGCACTGTCGAGTATGGAACACTTTGGTATAATTTGCCAGAATAATGCCAACAAATGACTGGGGGCTTATGAGAGTTAAATAAAAAAATGGAATGTATCAGCTATAAAATGGGAAAGACACAGCCTGCTTAAGCGCCGTGTTTACAATATTTACCAATTTTGTATCTGGATTAAACGTTGAACAGTAGTTGCCCCGCCAAAATCAGCAAAAGCAATTCTAACAGTACTTCTTAAAAACAAAACAAAAAGCACAACGTAATTATAGAGAGACGTTATAGATAGCTATCACTGTCCACAATTGGAAAGCTATTTTTTATAATCTGTTTCGGCTCTGGTTCCAGAATTCAAAATGCAGAAATACAAAAAACATAAAACAAAACAAGGTCAGCAAGGAACTGCAGAGGTGTCTGTCACTGCAGCTGGTCGACAGGGGCTGCAGCAGCAGGGGCTATACAGTGGCCTCCGAGTCCTCTTCCTCTGTGCTCTGGCAGCCACTGTTTTGCCTGAAGCCTTTCCATGTGTAGCCCATGAAGGTGGGGCTGATGGGTAAAAAGCGGAAGCATTTGTACTTCCTCACAAATTCCATGCCAAAAGGCAAGTCATAAGTTTCCATGCCATCGATGGATTTGCTGCCTTTGCACACTCCTTTCTTCCATTTCTGGATTCCTCTTTCTTCGGGGCTTCCTGGGTATCAAAAGGATAGGGAGAGAGTTGCATCAAGAGCTGAACATTGGAGACATAAGCCCCTCTCTAATAACACTGGGATTCATGGACACCCAATGAAACTGCATGCTGCAAGATTCAGGACAGAGCAAAGAAAGTCCTCCTTCATGCAACACAGAGTTAAACTATGGAACTTGTTCCCGCAGGTAAAGGTAAAGGACCCCTGGACGGTTAAGTCCAGTCAAAGGCGACTATGGGGTTGCGGCGCTCATCTTGCTTTCAGGCCGAGGGAGCCAGCGTTTGTCCACAGACAACTTTCTGGGCTGTGAGTAACCGCTTCTGGCACAACAGGACACCATGATGAAAGCCAGAGCGCATGGAAATGTCGTTTACCTTCCCATCACAGTGGTAACTATTTATCTACTTGCACTGGTGTGCTTTCGAACTGCTAGGTTGGCAAAAGCTGGGACAGAGCAACGGGAGCTCACTACCGTTGTGCGGATTCGAACCCCCGACCTTCCAATCAGCAAGCCCAAGAGGCTCAGGGGTTTAGACCATAGAGCCACCTGCGTCTCTCCTGCAGGAGACAGAGATGGCCACCAACCTAGATGGCTTTAAAAGATTAGACAAATTGATGGAGGAGAGGGTCATCAGTGACTGATAGCCATGATGGCTGTGCTCTTCCTCTCCAGTTGGAGGAACCAATGCTCCCCTGTTGCTAGAAACCAAAGGAGAGAAGGGTGCTTTTGTGCTCAGATCCTGCTTGTGGGCTCCCCATGCAGTGGTGTCCAAACTTTTTTCAAAGAGGGCCAGATTTGATGAAGTGAAGGACTGTGAGGGCCGACCTAAGGGCCGACCAAAGTTGTTGAACTTTTCTTAGGATTGAAATTGTTGAGGGTTTTTAAGGATTTTATGCCAGGAAATAAACTGCCACAGGGGCCGGATTAAACCAATTAGGCCCCCGAAATGGACTTTGGACATGCCTGCATTAGGGCATCTGGTTGGCCACTGTGAGAACAGGATGCTGGCCTAGAGGGGCCATTGGCCGGTTCCAGCAGGCTCTTATGATGTGCTTCTAAGCCCCTTTCACAGGAAAGCTCGCCCCACTCCATCAGCCTGAGCACTGAGTGGGATACCTGGAAAGTGATACTTGTGCAGTTGTGCACAGGGGCTCCAGCTGCCTCAGGGCAGTAGAAGGGGACCTACAAACCCATGAGCCACACAGAAATGAATGAGGATTCCCTAAGAGCACACAATTTGCACTGTTGGATTGTGCTCTGTGTCAACCTGTAGCTGTGCTGCGTATTTTCAGCCTCAAGCGTCACAGTGTCTTTAACAGGAAGGCAGGGGAGGGAAACAGTGGGGAAAGGCAGCCTGTTGCACTACTCACCTGGAATGGTGTTGTCTAAAATAAATGCTACACAACCCCCAACGAACATGGCTGTAGTGAGAAGAACATTTAACACTTGATCAATGCTGGCTATTCCTACAAGAACAGAAAGGGGAGGGAGAGACTTAGAGCAAGATCTGAAGAGCCGCCATATTCATACACACAATTTCAGGAGCCAAAGTCACACTGTCCACACAGCACAAACACCTGGTGATGTGGATTGCTTAGCAATGCTCATATATTTATAACAGTATGTTCCCCATTAATCTGCGGAAAGATCTATCTTGTAAAAGGGCCTAAAATGCAGATGGGTCCTCGCTCCCAGAAGTGGGCTTCTACAAACAGGCAGTAGTGCTGGTCAACCCATTTTTTATTCAGTTAACAGGGACTTGCAACCAGTTGGCTAATTAACTAATTTTTGGTTTCTTTTTAACTAAAATAAATGTGTCTTTATCAAGATCCTGGGCATTTCACTTGAGTGCAAAGTAATTTACCGTAGATACCATAAAGCTCTCTTATCAGATTCAAAAAGCTTGAAAAAGCTTCTTAGAATTGTGGAGGATCCATGTTTAAGAGATATTTTTATTAACCATGCGGAAAGGGACCAAAGTCTCTTTCACGGCTGCCCTATGAAGCCTTCAAGAACACTGAGTACGGCTGGCGAACCAAATCTTAGTCTGCAATTAAAGCTTTAAGTAATTATACCAGCTGACTGATTAACAATTGCAGCCACAGCTGACAGTACAGGTTGAAATGTTTACAAAATCCATTTCCACATGGGTTGTGTAAATGCATTTTTGTCCAGAACAAGATGTTTCAGCCTAAGCTTATTTTAATACATGTAGTAGAATAAGAAAAAGGAAATTTTTGTACCTGTGACAAGTGGATTTTGTCGGAGGTAACTTGGAAGGACCAGTCCAAAGAAGATAGAAAATCCAAGCACAAAAAGGTTCCGAGAAGAGTTTAAATCTATGAACTGCAGGTTAGACAGTCCGACTGCAGTAATCATCCCTGAACAAGAACAAACAGGACAGGATTTTAGCCTCTACAGTATGCAATGTGAAATACTACACAGACCACCGGTATTTCCCTTCCATTAAAAAGCAAAAACAACCTCCATTTTTGCAGAAGGTAAGAGACGTATGTTCACTTAAGGGTGCATAAATATACATTGATAGTTTGAAGACTTATGTTGGGCTGGGGTATTTTTTAGGGGGGATTGTTGGAGTTGTTGCTGTCGCTGTTACTTTTTTTATCTTTATGGTTCATGTGGAAATTGTTGGATTTGGTTGTGCATTTCTGATGTTTTGCTTATTGTTTATGACTACTTTTCTTATGTTTGTAATTGTGTAAAGATGGTCTTAACTTTGGAAAGGTGGCATACAAAAAAAGGGGATTGATTTATTATGTTTCATGCCTGGCCTTGGGAGTCTGCAGTGATGTGTATCAAGCCGATACATAAATAACATTACGTTTTAAGAATATAAGAAGAGCCTGCTAGAACAGGGCAATGGCCTTTATAGTCCAGCATCCTGTTCTCACAGTGGCCAACCAGCTGCCTGTGGGAAACCCGCAAACAGGACCTTAGCACAAGAGCCGTCCTCTCCCTTCCTACTGTTTCCAGCAAAGCTGCTCCACTTCCCAGTGGGGAGGAGTTGCGGTGGACCGCGTGGCCACCCATTCCCCACCGGCGGTGGGGGACTCTGTCCCCCGTTGCCTGGGGGATCCTGGCCACATCAGAGCCCGGCCAGCCAACCCGCTGGCCGGGGGGGCGTGGCCAGGGCCGTTTAAATTGGAGGAGCGAGCCAGAGGACTTCCTCTTTGGCTCACTTCCTCAATCACCCGCGCCCCCCTCCCTATTTTGCAAGTTAGACAATGGCCTTGCTATGGACTTCGGTTGGTCGCCTTGGTTGTCCGAGGGGCCTGGTAGGAATTTTTCCACCTGGCAAATTGGCACTGGCCATACCTTGTGTGGGGGAGGGGAGGTGTGGCCATCACCTGCCCCTCCATGCTTAAGGGTATTCCGTTAAATGAATCTGGGGGTGTTGATCTAGTCTGAAGCCCGGCTGGGGGGCTAAGGCCTTGACACGACCCCGACGGGAACACCAGAGGGAGCTTGAGTTGGTTCGCATCGACAGGGCTCCCCCTACCGGTGGCTTACCCTTACTGGGACTTCCTGCATAATGGGCAGGAGTCAGATATAGCCAGGTCCAATCAATGCCTAAGCCAGTACCGCTCACATTCTGTAATTTCAATAAAGTTGTGGCCAAAATTTGCCCAATAACGTAAACCTAATATCCGTGTCCTTGTGTGAGTTATTTCCAACGAGGGGCTGGCTGCGGGGTCTCGACACGCAACTGGTATTCAGAAGCACTGCTGCCTCCAATTGTGGAAGGAGACCACAGCCATCAGTTCTTTCTGTAAAACTGCACAGCATTACTCAGCAGCCTAACAAACAATGGGGGAGATGTGTGCCAGTTTAATAAGGTTTTGACCCTTTCGGCTCATGCAAACAGGTGGGTTGTACCCTGAAGCAGCATCACCAGACATCAAAGTGAGCATCTGGAAGGCACTTCTCCCAGGCAAGTCCATGAGGAAAGACAGGAGACTCGGCTGACAGCTGGAGAAGTGGCAGCTGACATGGCTGCGCACAGAGCTCATTGCTAACAGGCAAAAATATAAGGAGGGAAATTCAAATACCAAAGAGAGTGCAGAAGAGAGCGCCAAGCACTGGGTCAGGGAGGGATGCAAAGAGGGCGCTGAACTTGCCAACCATTCCTAGCAACAACATGAACGCTGCTCCGTACTGAATCACTCGCCGACTTCCAACCTATGAATCACACAACAAAAAGGGAGATAAATTACAACATTTCTGGCAGTTGCTCTTAGAATCATAGAGTTGGAAGGGACCCAAGAGTCATCTAGTCCAACCCCCTGTGATGCAGGAATCTCAGCTAAAGCATCCATGACAGATGGCTTTAAAACTTCCAAGGAAGGAGCGTCCACAACCGCCCGAGGGAGACTGTTCCACTGTCTTGTTCATGATGACAACTTGTGATTTCATCACAAAGTTGTAAAACTGACATGGGAAACTTTTAGCCCTCCAGATGCGGGTGAACTACAACACTCATCAGTCAGTGGCTGTGCTTGCTAGGGCTGACGGCTGCTGTAGTTCAGCAGCTCTGGAAAAAATATAGACTCTTTAGCTGATTTAAATGCAATATTCCATTTCCTCACTTGATGGCTCACTTGTTCGTGATGGCTCTCTGCTGAAGGACAAGAAGGATCCTTCTCAATGGGGAGGGTGTTTGGTGAGATCTGTGTATCAATATGCAGGTGGGCCTTTTTTAATTACTGGAGCATTGCACTGCCAGCCACAGAACAATCTCTCTCAGTCAATTCGGGGACCGCAGTGAAGGGGAAGGACTAGGGGTAGCTGCAACAACAGCTGCAGAGGAAACAGATTAGTGACTCAGTGGCACAGAGAATTAAAAGCCTCTGTTATTAGATGGATATCCCAACTAAACCTCACCATCTCCTGCTAGTTTGGTGAAAACTGCCTGACCTCGGCTTTTTCCTTGCTCCACAACCCCAGCAAGTTTAAAACTTTTTATTTTTCAAACACTCTACAGGCCGATTCCCTATGGCCACAGTTATCATGTGATCACTTGACAGGATGATACTGCAGGCCAGTATGTTATCATGTGTTCCCAGTATTTATCAATGGAAGCAAACTGATAAAGCCACTTGATACATTCCACATCAGCTGAATGTGAGACCTGGCAATACAGATTCGTGCTTTGGGGCATTTTAGTTCAAAAAGACTATTTTTGTAGAGTTACATAACACAGAGACATTTCCATTGCTTGGGGCTACACTCTTTGAAGAGCTCAACTGAACAAAAGCGATGCTTTGCACGAAACAAAGCTTCTCAGGAGAAGCACAAATCAATTCCTTGCGAAGTTTTTGCACTGACAGTTTAACACACAAGCAGCAGAGTCCATGTGACAATCAACATTCACTTGACTTGAGTCACACTCTGTGTGTGGGCAAAGGTCTCTTCCACCACACTTTCCCATTGCTTTATTTAGTGCTATCTATACAATGAAAAAGATTACGAACAAAGGCAAGCTGCACTGGCAGAACATACCTCTTTGAAAACATTTCCCATGCTATTTTCCTTAAACAGCCTTTATTTCTACTACAATCCCATAAACAGACATTTTGCCCTAAGGGGATGTATAAAGTGGCAGCACCTACACTTTGGAATTCCCTGCCTACTGATATCAAGCGGGTGCCTTCACTGTATTCTTTTCTTATGCCTGCTAAAAATGCTATTGTTTAGACAAGCCCAGATGCTCAGAAAGTTGATGGGAATTCTCATCAGTTTTAGTATTTTAACTTTTTGTATGTTTTAACTGTAAACCACTTTCAGTGTATGCATTTTATGAAGTAAACACGTAATACATAAAGTGCCTTTGTAACATTTGCTTGTACCATGTTCAGAAATTATTTAATCCATGACTGGAAATGACGAGATTAAGGTAAAACAGATGTGACAGGTCCCTAGATAACTGCAGACAGCCAATATTAGGCTATGGAAATGGGGCCAACCCACTACTGCACTTCCATGTACAGTGGTACCTCTAGTTACAAACTTAATTCGTTCCGGAGGTCCATTCTTAACCTGAAACTGTTCTTAACTAGAGGTGTGCTTTCGCTAATGGGGCCTCTTGCTGCCGCTGTGACGCCGGCACATGATTTCTGTTCTCATTATCCTGCGGCAAAGTTATCAACTCGAGGTAACTCTTCCAAGTTAGCAGAGTTTGTAACCTGAAGCGTATGTAACTTGAGGTACCACTGTATTTTTGTAAGAAACCTCGCCCTCCCTGCCTAAAAAAAATGCATCCAGTAGATGGCGATGTTCATATTCAGATTTCACAAGCAAATCACTGATGATAAAAAAAAAATATATTTAAGGGCCAAGCTACACATGACTCTAGAAATCTTGTGTCTTTAAGCACCTGTCCCCATCATGTATAAAACATGCTGGATGGAAGTACAACTTGCAGCACAAGATGTGGGGTGGAGGGAGGAGATGCTGAAACCACCACCTCCATTCCCCGCAAACCATTCCTCAAGGATATTAAACTGTATGCATAGACACAGCTTATTTATTTCATTTATAAAAGTATTTATGTACTACCTACTATGGTGAGTTTCAAGGCAATGTCTAACAAGACTATTAAAACAATGATGTCTTCATACAAATCAAACTGAAGTGCAGTTGATACACATAATTTAATAATATTACTGGAACTAAACATCAGAAACTATTTAGATTACATTAGATTTATTGAATTTATGCATTGCTTCGCACACAAAAGCAGTGTGATTTTTAATATACTAAAATGCAATATACAATAAGAATACAATTTTAACAAGTGTCACAATATCATCGGTGTTGGCACTTGTTAGATCCCAAAGGGGTTTCACATGTGACTTTTATAGCGTTTTAACTCACCACACCCCAGCATTCCACTTAATTAATAATAATAATAATTTTTATTTATACCCTGCCCTCCTCAGCCAAGGCCAGACTCAGAGCGGCTTACAAGCAATAATAAAAACAAGTTGAATGATTACAACTTAAAAACAAAATTAAAATACAACATTAAAATATTGAAACATTAAAATATTAAAATGTAGCCTCATCGCAGGAGGAGAAGGAAAGGAAAAAAGAAAGAGAGGGAGGGAATCAAATTGGCTCCAAGCCAAAGGCCAGGTGGAACAACTCTGTCTTACAGGCCCTGCGGAAAGAAATCAGATCCTGCAGGGCCCTGGTCTCATGAGGCAGAGCGTTCCACCAGGCCGGAGCCAGAGTTGAAAAGGCCCTGGCTTTTAAGTGGGAACAACCATCCCATTTCATATTTGCAAATGATAATGGAGAGTTGAGTCCAGCTTTTTCGTGCAGTGACACGTGATACATCTCATGTTCACTGATCTTTAAGTACTCTGACTGCAAGAGGGTGCATTTTTAAAATAATAATAACAACACCACAGCAATCAGACTGTGTTTTCTATGTACAACTTTAACTGAACTCTGCTCTTGAGCAAGTCCCTCTCTCTTCACTAGGCATGTGCAGGGGAAGCTCCCACCGTGATAAATCTCAAGCTTATTTGAACAGATATGTACCTTCGTAATCCCCAAGACTCCGATGTTGGGGCTAGAGGAAGTAGATCCATTCCCAGTGCCAAACACTCCATCTAAGACACAGGAAAGGCCTTCTATGAAAATGCCCCTGCAATTAGAAGAAAAATGTTGAGATTACGCTATATAGCATGTTAGAAAAGCATGAAAACCAGTCAAGGCCAGGCAAACACAAGTAGTTATTATCTGACTCTCAAGCAAGACTGGCAGCCACTGTAGTTAAGGGCTGGGTATTTTACAGTTAAAGACGTCATCAACTGGTCAAATATTCTTATGCATTTGTAACACAGAATACAGTGGAACCTCAGAAGCCAAACACCTTTGAACTCGAACATTTCGGATCCCAAATGATTGAAACCCGGAAGTGATTGTTCTGGTTTTCGAACGATTTTCGGAAGCCGAACGTCCGGCTCCTGCAGCCAATCAAAAGCTGCACTTTGGAAGCTGAACGCTTTGGAAGTCGAATGGACTTCCGGAATGGATTCTGTTCCACTTCCAAGGTACGACTGTACTACAAATAAAACATAGTGATTCCCCCCCCCCCCAACCTCATACAAGCAAAAGGAAAAAGCCACACCATCTCCTGGCCTGCAGTAGAAAGATCCAAGAAAACTCAAGCCCATTAGAGACATCCTCTTCCTGACCTTCTCATCTCTGCCTCTTCTGCAGTTCTTGCCAACTCTCACTTTCTGGATTCCTTGTGTCCTTTCCAGCTGCCTAACATGTTTTAAGGAAACTCACACTAACTTTTGTCTTTACATATGAAACTTCTGCTATTGTCTTTCACTAAGTCGCCCTGAGCCCGGTCTTGGCTGGGGAGGGCGGAGTATAAATAATATATTATTATTATTATTATTATTATTATTATTATTATTATTATTACTACTACTACTACTGCATAGGGGTCACAAATTGATATCTAGCTTCTCAGTATGATTCTTTTTCATTCTAGCATCTACTGAATGGTCTGTTTTTAATGTATGCATTATTATATTATACATTATTGTTCTGTACGAATTTGTCACTGCACTGATGTTGTATTTCTTACGTATTGTTGCATATTATTTTTGTTATGGAATTTTTATCAGGATTGTTGATCTTTGCTATGCATTGTGCTCCCACTGCTATTGTACAGTGCTTTGAGCATATTTTTTTATGGAAAGGCATCATATCAATAAACATGTTGATTCTACATTTTAAAAGTATTTAGACACCCTGAACTTTACAGTCATGATGGGGAGAGAGAAAGAGGTAGTCAGCTGGCCGGTCAGCTGACCACCTTGCCAATTCAAATATTTTGAAGCCAAGTCAAACTGGATGTTTGGCAGGGCAATGCAGGACACAAGGAATCCAGAACATGACTGAGAAGGATGCAGTGGAGTGATTTTCTCTCTGTGGCTGCTCAGCGCAAACACAACCATAGAACCATTTCTTGATTATTCAACACTTTCTGACTTGCGGATGAACGTGTAATTGTCCCTAGTGAAAACAGGTTAGAAGTAAGTCAATGTGATATGAAATCTGCCTGTGGGATTTGACCAATTAAGGTAGTTTGATCATCGACATCACTAATTGATGCTGCAATATCGAGTTATGAGTATCCACATGCAAACTCATCCTCATATATGCTACAGTTCTGAATTTTTGGGTCCCAAAAGTCTATAATATTGCAAAACCTGAAAGAAGTTAGGACTTTGAATCCAGGGAAATGGGGCACAGCAAAGGGTGAGAAGGAAGCAAAGTCTTTTCCAGGAGGCTTACCTGTTTATTGCATGGATTGGTGGTGGAGGAGCACAAGATAACCTCGCACAGGCATAATAATCGCCAATTGATTCAATGATGCTAGCAACCACGGCACTGAGCATTCCTATCACACCTGCAGCTGATATTGTAGGTAATCCCCATTGAACTGTGAAGACAAAAAAACCCATAATCGTTCTTACTGTATTTAAAGCAAAGTGACTTTTAAGGTGTAAAATGTTCTCTTAGCTCATAGGATGGCTAATTTCTGGGTTTTAGGGGTGGGCAATAGCATTTCTTTTCAAAACAGTGGTCATGCCACACAAACTGACACTTCATATGTAGTTAGCCAGTATAATGAATTGGTACCATCAGGAGGGCTTCCCACACGCATTTACATAGAATCAGAATTGTAGATTTAGGTGGAACCCCATGGGTCATGTGGTCCAACTCCCTGAAATGCGGGAGTCTCAACACACAGTCCGCCACCCAATTTGAAACCATACCGTACTCTGCTTAGCTTTTGCAATACTGAGCCTAGGGTTTGCTGATCAGAATGTAGGCGGTTCGAATCCCCGTGACGGGGTGAGCTCCCATTGTTCAGTCATAAGCTCCTGCCAACCTAGCGGTTCAAAAGCACCTCAAAGTGCAAGTAGATAAATAGGTAACCCTCCAGCGGGAAGGTAAACGACATTTCCGTGCACTGTTCTGGTTTTGCCAGAGGTGGCTTAGTCATGCTGGCCACATGAAAAACTGTCTGGAGACAAACGTCGGCTGCCTCGGCTAGTAAAGCGACATGAGTGCCGCAACCTCAGAGTCATTCGCGACTGGACTTAACTGTCAGGGGTACCTTTACCTTTACCTTAGCAGTTTTATTAGCATCACATACAGATAGGTTTACCTGCACATCACATTTTTAAAATCCAAAAATTAGATTAAAAATAATGTGGAATATTTATCTAATGCAACCTGTCTATTTTCCTCATGAGTGAAAGCATGGACAACCTTTACCAGAGGTTATTGGACCAGATTGCCTTGAGAACTGCATCTGCCGGTTGCCCACTCTCATCTTAGATTATACAGATTCCCCCCCCCCCCACTAAAGCGGAATCTGCCTTCAGAACTGACCTACCAAACATGGTGTGGCCAAAGAGAAAGGGGGTTATTTTGCTGACATAGCACTAAGGGAACCATCAGCTTAATTCAAACCACAGTTAAACCAAGAGGCATGAAACTGCCTTAGACCACCAGCCCAGATATGTCAGTATCATCTCTATTCTCACTGGCAGCAGATCTCCAAGACAGAGATCTTTCACAGCCTTGCTCCCTTTTCACTGGAGGAGATCTTGGGCAGCTGAACCACAGACCTGGCAGCAACTTGGGAGCCGAATCACAAACTCTCATTTCTGCAAGCACATGCCAGTGACCAGGTAACTTCTTCTGTACTCATGAAAGGTGCAGAAAAAAAATAAACTAATGTAAGTCTGGAGTAATTGTATCAAAGAGCAAAGCTTTGTGGGAAACTCTCCCTTAAGTGCTTGCTAAATACACTTACATGGATAAGGAACCTTGAACCATGGAGCTACCAAAAGCACTCCTTGCCTGGCATCAGTGCGTGCATAGAATCCGTATTTTGTACTAACAGGTGGAAACACATCTGTCACAGTGAAGATGAAGCACAGCAACCAGGATACCAGAATGGCTAGAATGATCTGCAGTGGGAACAGAAAGGGGCTTAAAGCACACCAGCAAGGAAACAATAATTGCCCACAGAGGATCTCCTTACCAACTCTGCATAATAATATTCAAACTGGTGGTGGGGAGTTGTTGCATCAAGGATTTTGTGAACACATTCCCTTTACAATTTTTAAAAGACCCTTCTAGTTCAAAATGGATCCTTTCATACAATTTCCCCAAACTGGGAATATCTCCAAATAAGCACTTAAAGGAGTGCCATTAATCCTTTTAAGACAAAACTAAGCATTGTGCACGCTGATAAACTCACAACAATTTACAAAAATAAAATGAGTGGATCCCAGAGGGCTAGCTGAAGAATAAATAAATTGATTTGGGGTGGGGTGGGGTGCTGTAGCACACTCTGTAGAGCTCTTTAGGAACTGGATTTAGCATTATCTGAAACTGCGGCCAAACTCACAAGCAGGGTATCAAGGTGATGGCCACCCCCTGTTCATTCTCAGCATCTGATTATCAGAGATACACGGCTGATGGACATGGAGGCTCCGTTCAGCTAAACTGCCATCAACAGACCCGATAGCTAAATCTGCTTAATTCTTTTAAAAACCATTTAAGTGGGTAACTTGAAGTGAATGCCAATAATTTTCACTGACTGAGCCTGAATTTCCATGCCTTGGAGAGTGAATGGTTTCGCTACCACTCTTTCCACATCCTTCATTGTAGTCCTGAATCCCCTTCACGTGAGACTCAGGTGGCTTGGGTGGTCTGGAGTGCCTTCCATCAGCTTTGGTTAGAGGCCCACCTGCACCCCTATCTGGATAGCCTATCTGGATAGCCTAGCGTCTGTTGTCTAGGCTCTGGTAACTGAAAGGTTAGATGACTGGAACACATTATACATGGGGCTGCCTCTGAAGATGGTTCAGAATTCAGTGTCCAGGTTGCTCACTGGGGCAAGATGGTTTCAGAACATAAAGTCAATCTGGCCTAACTCCCCTGGCAGCCAATTAGTTTCCAGGCCCAATGCAAAGTGCTGATGTTGACCTATAAACAGCTCAGGACCGCAGTACCAAGGACCACTTCTCTTCATATGAACTAAACCAGGCCCTGTGATCATCAGCCGAGGCCCTTCTTTGTGTGCCTCCTCTGTTCAAAGTCTAGAGGGTGGCAACATGAGAATGGGCCTTTTCTGCGGTGGCTCCCCATTTGTGGAATGCTCCCCCCAGGAAGGCTCATCTGGTGCCTTCATTACAAATCTGCAGGCACTAGGCAAAAACATTACTCTTCTCCCGGGTCTTTTGCTGATTAAAGAATTTATGGTCTTTTGAATAACTACTTGAAGATGCTGGGAATGGTCATGAGGAGATTTGGGGCAAGGTGCCATCAACATGCCAATGAAATTCAGCTCTTTTTCTCCATAAGACCTGAATCAGGAGAGGCCCCGTGGGCCCTGAACCAGTTCCTGGCTGCAGTGATGGGATAGATGAGAGAAACTAAACTGAGCTTGAAACCCAGCAAGGCGGGACACTGTGGGTGATTGTTTCCCATTTCTGAGAAATCAGCCAGTTGCCTGCCCTGGGTGGGGTTGCACTTGCCCTAAAGAAGCAGGTATGTGGTCTGGGGATGCTTCTGGATCCAGCTTTGTCGCTGGAAGCAGAGGTAACATCAGTTGCTTGAAGTCCCTTTTACTAGCTCCAACTCGCATGAGAAGCTGCAGCAATCCCTGGACCTGGTTAGCTGAATCACAACAGCTGCGACGTTGGTGACACTGAAGGTTGGATTACTGCAATGCGCTCTATATGGGGTTTTTCTTGAGCTTCGTCCAGAAACTGCAGTTAGCAACCACGCTGCTGCATTTAATGCTTACAGGAGTAGGATTCTGTCAGCATCTAACACCCGTGCTGAGAGTTCTACACTGGCTGCCAACTGGTTACTAGCCCAAGTTCAAGATGTTACTATTAGAATATAAAGCCTTTATCATATTGGGACCAGTTTACTTGAAGGATCACTTTGCCACATATGTACCCACTCAGCCACTTTTACAAGGGCCACATAATGTTCTCATCTTTTAGTGTCACAGTTCCGACACTCTGGAACTTCCTTTTTATTCCTGCTCTGTTTATGCAAGTCTACTGAGACATATAAAGTTGGCGTGCACTTTAAACTGTAAATTTAGTTTACAATGAATATTTTTATCTGTTGGTTTTCTTCTTTTTGCTTTTTAAAAACTAGATTTTACTGTTGACTTTTATTCACATTTGAAATGCAAACTTTATATTCTTTGTAAACTGCTTGGAGATTTTATGCACAGTTAAGCAGTATACAAATTTTGTAAAATAAATAAAATTACTCTAAAATAAACACCAGTAGACAGAACAATAAACACAGTGAAAGCTGAAGAGAGAACTTACAGGAAACATCTTAAAAAGCTGTAACCGGTATGCAGTCCATCCTTTTTTTGATTTATAGATGGGTAATGGGAACTTGACATTTCGGGCATACTGAGAAAACAATAGCACTAGGAAAATAGTCCTAGAGAAAGGAGAGGAAGGAGAAAAGTTAATGAATCAATTAACTCTTCACTGAGGTAATAGTTAGCCAACAGAAGCAACTGCAGTTTCTAGCAGTTGCTGCTGTGCTTACAATAACAGAGATGGAAGGAATGCAAGGATCATCTAGTCCAATCCCCTGCAATGAAGGAATTGCAACTAATAATAATAATAATAATAAATTTTTATTTGTATCAAGCCCTCCCTGGCTGAGACTGGGCTCAGAGCGGCTAACATCATAAAAACAACACAATAACCATAAAAACAGACATCAATAAATTAAAATACATCTTAAAATTAATTCAAGCAAGTTAAAATCCAGGCAGGTGGCAATTATCAGGGTGGAATTGAGAGTGGTTAATAATTGGCAGGGCCAACTGTTTCCACTGATCATACAAGGACCTGTGAGCGGGTTGGGGGCCTCCTTCGGGCTTGTTTAATACAAAGGAAAGTAAGTCAAACTGCATCCTGCCCAAAGGCCTGGCAGAATAGCTCCGTCTTGCAGGCCCTGCGGAAAGATGTCAAATCCCACAGGGCCCTGGTCTCTTGTGGGAGAGCGTTCCAGTAGGCCGGGGCCACGGCCGAAAAGGCCCTGGCTCTAGTCAAGGCCAGTCTAATTTCCCTGCGGCCCGGGATCTTCAAGGTGTTGTTGTTAGCTGACCGTAAGGTCCTCCATGGGGCATACCAGAAGAGGCGGTCCCGTAGGTACGAGGGTCCTAGGCCATATAGGGCTTTAACGGTTAAAACCAGTCCCTTAAACCTGACCCTGTACTCCACTGGGAGCCAGTGCAGCTGGTATAGCACTGGGTGAATGTGATCCCGTGGCAAGGACCCCATAAGGAGTCTCGCCGCCGCATTCTGCACCTGCTGGAGTTTCTGGGTTAGTTTCAAGGGCAGCCCCATGTAGAGAACTAAAGAATCCCTGACAAGTGGCCACCCAACCATTGCTTTAAATCCTCCAAGGAGTCCACCACCTTCTGAGAGAGTCTGTTCCACTGTCGAACAGCTCTTACTGTCATAAATCTATTCCTCGTGCTTAGTCAGAATCTCCTTCCTTGCCACTTGAATCCAATGGCTTGCGTCCTACTTTCTGGAGCAGGAGAAAACTAACTTGGTCCACCTTCCTTGGGATACATCTTTAGATTTTTGAAGATGACTATCATATCACCTCTCAGTTTTATTGTAGTATATTTAAAACCACAGTAAAACTGCATATTTAAAGTACAGTAACTACTGCAGAAATAGAATTGTATCATGGCAAAAGTTTTTATTTTTAGTCAGAGAAAGTAAGGAATTAGCCTTTTAAAATGAAAAAGTTACTTAATGTTGCCATTTTTTCCTTTCTTTCTTTCTTTAATGAGCTTTATAAGAATAAGCTTAATTTAATTTGTTCCGCTCACAAGCTTTAAGAACTGAAATCCCACAGTGAATTTGCCTTTCCGCCTGCAAAACTTATGCCCCCTAGAACAGATGAAGTTTTGTCTGGGAGAGAAGCAAACTTACTACCGTGGGAGGCCGGCTTAGGCTTTAGCATGTTTTGAAGTCTTGCCGAAATCCACATTTTAGGAAGTGAAGCAAAACCAAAACCAACAACAACAACCCTGCCCAGTGCTGAAAAGAAATCTAATCTTCGGTCTCCTCAAAGTTACGGGCCTGCAAAATGTCAGTAGGGTAGTTAGGAGATGAATGTTTTTTCTTTTAAGGTTAGGCAGCCAGGGTCTCTTTTTAAGCTCAGGGTCAAGATCTTCACTGTGTGGGGACCTGGAATTTCCCCTTATTTTTATTTTAAGTATTTATATATTGCTTAATAGGGGGACAGGAGGGGCTAGACTGATATCTCATCCTCTATGCTTGTTTCTATAATGTGTTTTAAGCTGCATTAACACTGCCTGTAAGCTGCCTTGAGCTCAAGAAAGGCTCAATAAATCAATTAAATAAATGCATTGCTCAGGGGCCATGCTTCCTCACTTGGCTGCCACAGGATGTGAAACAATGGCCAAAGTAAGCAAACTTAAGGTCTAAATTGTTAGCCTCTGAAATAAGCAGGCTTCCAATTACATAACCAAATCCTCAGAATGCACCTATCAACAAAATGTGTGTGCCATTATACATGTTCAGACTTCCTATGCTGGAAGAAGGCTGTCTTTATGTTAAGTGCCAAACACAGCTTCGAGAAATGCTAATCCGCTGAGAACACAGCTACAAATTCCTGAACAAACTTCCCTGAAATTCTAGGAGGGCAGGTTACATCCCAGTATATAAAAGAGTGAGGCCGAAATCACCTTTAACTCAAAAGGAAACAGACAAAGACCTTTGTTCTTCTCCTTCAGGCACAAAGGATCTGAACTCTGCAGTGGCATCATTTGATACCGTGACCTTCTGCTAAGCATGAATGAGTAAAAGAAAGAAAGCTTTCTTGTGCTGTTTTTTTTTAAACGTGAAAGCCTTAATGGTAGTTTTAAAATATGACTTCTTTATGGAACAGCATTTGATCTAGTGTCAAATTATTTATACAAAGTTGCTGGGGTGTTGTTGTTTTTTTTGGGGGGGTGCGCTTGTGTGAAGAGGGTTCACCAACATCCTAAGACCAGCTTCTACTCTTTCATACACTTTTTTACACCTGTTCACAACTAACTATTCCCTCAATCTGCTGCTGATTCTGTGAATTAAAAAACCCACACAACTTGAAATGACTTCTTTATTACGCGGTCCTAGCCAAGGACGCGGGCGGTGCTGTGGTCTAAACTGCAGAGCCTAGGGCTTGCCGATCAGAAGGTCGGCGGTTCAAATCCCCATGACGGGGTGAGCTCCCGTTGCTCGGTCCCTGCTCCTGCCCACCTAGCAGTTCGAAAGCACGTCAAAGTTAAAGTAGATAAATAGGCACCGCTCCGGCGGGAAGGTAAACGGCGTTTCGGTGCGCTGCTCTGGTTCGCCAGAAGTGGCTTAGTCATGCTGGCCACATGACCCGGAAGCTGTACGCCGGCTCCCTCGGCCAATAAAGCGAGATGAGCGCCGCAACCCCAGAGTCATCCGCGACTGGGCCTAACGGTCAGGGGTACCTTTACCTTTACCTAGCCATCAGAATCATGTAAGTAAATGTACTGAAACTGCAGGTCCGTTTTGCCACTGATGATTATGGCAAACAATACCCTCATACTGTCCTCAAGCTGAGAGGCGGGGGCTGGGATCACTGTTGCCAGAGCTACCAGGCTGTACCTCCTCATGCATCATTCCAATCCACACCTGCTATTAAGTGGGTCAGAGTCAGGCTGCAGAGACAGGGTGAATTCAGGGCTGCCTTGCTTCCTATAACAACATTGATTTAAGAGGTCTGTCTGTGCCCCAAGAGTCAATAATCTATTTCACTTGAACCTGGCCCTTGACCCAAGGCTTTAATGGTAGGGCTGCTTTGGGTTGCTGATAATCTTCCCTGCGGTCCCTGGTGATTGATGTCCCAATTTTATGGCTAAAAACAAACACTGAAATTCCAACAGTTTTGTATGTTTTTAAACTTGATTGTAAGTTGCCTGGAGACTGCCTTGTGGTCAGGTGATAACACATATACACAAAAACATTATCAACAATTCTGGTAATATTTGAGTGATCAACTTGGAATGAAGACAGTTTTCCTAATAGTCACATTTACTCTGATTTCTTGGAATTTATTGGTAGCATTTTAGACATGGCCACTGAACCTAGAACTTACAGGAGGGGTAGAATATGTATGAAGATTGCAAGAGGAGTTAAGAATGATGTTCTGCTTCTGAACATATGAATATGCCACAGTTCTGTGAGCAAAGTGTTAACACCAGGCGTCATAATCATTTTTTCTGTAATAGTAGTGGGATGCTGCTGAATTGGAAATGTACTGGGATCCAATGTAAATCCGGTCTTAAAGGATCTAAATTGGACCCCAGTACGTTTCTGAGCACAATTCAAATTTTGGTGTTGATCTTTAAACCCCTAAAAGGCTTTGGCCCTGTATACCTGAAGGAGTGCCTCCACCCCCATCATTCACTGAGATCCAGCTCCGAGGGCCTTCTGGCAGTTACCTCATTGCGAGAAGTGATGTTACAGAAAATGAGGCAGAGGGCCTTCTTGGTAGCTGTGCCCACCCTGGCCAAGCTTCATGGCTGAGTGGGGATTCAAACCCTGGTCTCCCAGTTCCCAGTCTGACACTACTACATTGTTAGCTGTTTTAGGCATCTGGAAAGCCAGCACATCACTGCTTAAGAAATACTTTAGAATATAACATCTTTAGAATATGACATCTTTCCGCAGGGCCTGCAAGACAGAGCTGTTCCACCAGGCCTTTGGCCAGGGCACAGCCTGACTCCCTCCCTCGGCAATCTCTGGCCCAATGGTTGCCAGTGGCTTGATTTGAATCAATTTTATAATGAATGATTTTAGAGTGTTGTGTTGTGCTGTGTTGTACTGTTTTATTGTTGTTAGCCGCCCTGAGCCCGGCTTCGGCTGGGGAGGGCGGGATATAAATAAAAATTATTATTATTATTACTATTATTACTTAGAAGGATTCTCATTTCATAGATTCATCTTCATTTGAAGATAATGGCCCTTAGTACCCCCTAGGAGAGGCAATGATCAGTAGTGACAGACACTGGCTGTTTCATACTGACTGACTGCACTTCATCAACTGTTGAGGGGCAAAGGATACTCACAGCATGGCTATGCCCCAGTGTTTGCCTGCTCTTTCTCCAGCGGCCTGGAAGCCAGAAAGCCCAATGAGAGCCACAGTTGGTGTAATCGTCAGAGGTCCAATGTATCTCAGGAGCGCTCCTGGCAGGCCCAGGAACCCAATCACCACTTCTATCAAAGATGACATAATAATAGCGCCTTGGATCTGAACACAGAGAAAAATAATAGTAATTTAGATTTTTAAAGAAATTCTATGCTTCTGAGGGGTTTTTTTTTTTTCAATGGGTGGATGAACTGCAAGTCAAATAATTCAGTGACTAGGCAGAACTGGGCAATGGCATGTGTTATTCAGCTAGGTGCTTAAGCAGACGTTTTCTGGGCTAAAGAATATCTGAAGGTCAGAGGTATGTTCTGTGGTACCAACAGAAGTCGGATCAATAGCAAAGCTCCCAACTTCATCCACTTCCTCTTACCGCTTAAGCACACTGCTTGCTTTCAATGCACAACGGGGGTCATTAGACCAGCCTGGCCGTTGTGTCCATAGCACATCACACTGTCATACAGGAAGACCTGGGTTCCAAGCTAACCTTTAAAGCTCTCAGATCGAACCGGCAAGGGCTGGTGGCGCCACGGAGGTGATGCTCTTAGCTCCTAGGGGCAGAGTGTATGATGCATTTGGTCACACGTGCTCTTTAGAAGCTGGCATAGAGCAGCGCTGTGGTCTCAGGAGACTGCCAGCCCCCCCTTGGCTGCAGGCCTCTTGGCAGGATGGAACTACGGTTTGAAGATGGGGAAGAGAGAGGGGATGTTTTTAAATTGAGGAATAACTGGCAGCCCAAAGCAATGGGATGGGAGAAAAGTTCCATGACACACATGTGAACTGGGAGTCTATTCTATTTTTTTCCCCTGTAGTGAGACAACTCTCCTGGATTCTTATGGATATTTGCATCAAAAGAATGATCATTAGAGGAGAAGGAGAAACCGAATAGCAAAACTACACATGGCTTTGGGGAAACTGGGCACTCCTTACAATTGTACCTGGCTTTCCAAAACAGAAACACAATAAATGCGGATTATCCTCATTGCAGAGCAGAGACAATCCAGTAATTTGTTAGAAGCTAATTGGTTATTTTGGCTATGACTGGTCAGATCACAAGATGCAGAATGCCAGACTCCCCTGACGTGGGAGCATGTCTCCATCAAGACCATAGTGCACCTCAAGCTGTTTTGGGGAGGGGGAGGGGGCTTCGCAGGCACAATTAACATACAGAAAAGATTAAAACCTGCATGTAACGAATGTGTAGAAAAAGTTACATGCAAAGAGAAGAACGAAAAAGGGTAACAATTTCAACAGTTCAAGGCAGCAGGGCATCTGGATGAAAAGAACCTACTGAAGTGAGGACATGGCACTGATTACATGGTGCAAGTTACCTCTCGTATCCTAGGGTACCAGATATGTTCCGTATGCAGCAGCTCTGTTGTTCCATTGGTAATCATTACAGCTTAGGAAGGCAAAAAGAAATATTTCACATTACGGCAAAATAAAGCACAACGATTCCATGCACCCCAGCATTAAATTCTGTATGAAACAAGAAGGTGCCCAAGTCCAGAATTACAACACAAAGAGGATAGTCTGCTTCAGGCATCCCCAACCTGTCCAACCTTTCTATGAAAATCTCCAAGAAAGACGACTGCAGAACTTTAGCAACTTGCTCTCTTGATACTGAACCATGATACCCCCAAATACCAGGTGTTGGGTAGTAAGACCAAGGCACAGTCATCACCTCCAGAATCTGCTTGTCAGTGATCAATTGGCATCTGAGTGGCCATGGCTAGAAAGGCTGGCACAGGCAACATTCATATGAGTTGCTCCTGAGGTTAGTACAGTGCTGAACCTCCTATTTCCTTCTACAGCTTTAATCCAACTGTTTGGCCATTCTAGTGAATGAACGGAATCTACCACCACCAATCTGCCCCACCCCCCAGTACTTCTTATGGACATCATTTTATATATTTTGCTTTTTAAAAACCACCCCATCGTTGTTTATTTGTTCCCTCACATAATTTGTAAATCATTCATTCTGTATTTAGGCTGTGTTCTAGATGAATTCATTCCTCAAGGGCTAATCTCTAATGCCAGTTTCAAGACTGTTGAAACTAGGAATGGACAAGTAACCAGAGTTGGCACAAAAGGAGGCAAAGGTCCACTTAAGAGCTGCAGAGGGGTGATTCAGAGTGCAGAAAAAGTGACTTTTGCATATTATTTCTCCAGATCTGTCGCCTGTTAATTGGGATGGCTAGACCGCAATAGCAGCTCCCGTCTGACGCCTCATGAAGGTTAGAAGTGGTCAAGGAAGAAAGAACAAAGATTCTTTTCATAAACAAAATGTTCTATATTTATGATTCCTAATTTCCATACAGTAGCTCTTCCCTGAGGCATGCAGAATGTAGCCATCCTGATCTATTAGAGCTGCAGTCAGGCTATTTGACCTAAAATCCTGCAATTAGGACACAAGAATATATGCTCAGTGTCACTGATGCCCAGCGGGGCCTGAGCTTCTACACAAAAACAGATTCTGTAACCAGAAAACCAAAGCAGCACAATTATTGTGCAAACAAAATTGAAAGCATATTATTTAGTACACTTGTTTTGAGATTATTATTTTAGAATTTGGAAGTGTTTGCCTTTTTATTGCCATCCATTTGGAAAAGAGGATTTGCAGGACTATGAAGGAACTACGACTTCAGCTGAGCAGCGTATGGACATGTGTCTCCTGAAGCTGCAAATCAGTAGCCAGGCAAGGCGAGTCAATCAGGGAAACAGAGGCAACACTCCCCACCCCAAAATATCATATTCACATTGAATATTTGTGAATTACCAAACTTGGTGAATATGCCAACCTCTCTTGCAGCTGCAGATACAGTTGAAAGTGTGCTTCTTGTTCCACTACATTTACTCAACACAAAAATCACTCTTGTAGAATAAGGACCCTGAATCTTGGTGAATGTATGTATTACACACTGTATTTTTGAGATTTTAAACTACTGGTGGTAAAAATGCCCCTCCCTTTGGCTCCTCCGCATGTCACAGGACCTCCTACCATACTGCCAAACTACTTCCTGCAATGTCAAGTAGAGTGAGTTCAAATCTCAGTTCAACCATGGACTTATAGAGCTGACCTCTCAGCCTTAATTGCTCACTGCAACATGGGAACAATAATGGCTTTTCATGAATGCTTGTTGTTTGGAAGATGAGGTAAGAACTCTTTGCAAGCTTTGGAACTAATGATAGGCCACCATCTCAAAAAAGATTCCACATAATCTTCTTAGATATCTGTTTAATCTTCTTAGATATCTGTTTAGGCTTTCCTGGGAACCCAGCATATATTTTATTTCCCAAAGGTGCTTCAAGGCAAAGTTGCCCTGAGTCATCTGGGCTTGGTCAATCTGTAGCAGAGTGCTTTCCTATTCTGCTCCCTTGCTGGGCCGTGCCACATTCAGCAAGGAAAAACAAAAACCTATGTAATCACTGGACCAGTTTCCAGTTTGGGACTTGTAGGGTCTCTCTAGCCATTCCAAAAATGGTTTCTGCTTTCAAATGCTCAGGAAAAGAACCTGCAGCCCCTTCAGAAAAGGCAAGCAATCAGCTAAGAATGTGGACACTGTTGCTACTCTCTTTCTTCATAGGACAGTTGTTTCTCATCAAGTGCAATATTAGCGTTGGCTGCACTGTAGTCTTAAGTAACAGATCTGGCCCTGGCCTCTAGTCATGTAAACATGCCAATTATTTCCAAAAGTACTTTGTGCTATTTTATACTTGTTTGCCCTGTTAAGACCTGTCAGAAAGAATATACGTAGGAGAATGAACACACACACACACACACACACACACACACACACACACACACACACACACACACACACCCCACCATCACAAAAAATTATCATGTTCTAGTTTCCTTAGACTTGCCAATGTAGTCAAGACACTGTGGCTCCAAATAATGCCATAAATATGTTGTATAAGCAAGGCAGGAATAATAAAAAAATGGGTTTTCAGAATAGAAATCAGGCTCATTCTTTAGTGTTTGCTTGAATAAACAATGGTTTACCATAACCATGGAACCAAAAACAATGGTTTAGCATTAGAAGGGACAAACTGAAACACACTACCTCCTCCTCTGGCATGGCCATGTGGAGTTTGGGTTCTACTACTCTTTTTTAGACAAACCACAGCTTGTTTGTGACATCTAGACCACGACAAACTGCAGTTATGCTCAACTATAGTTAGTAGAAAAAGCCAAGTTCAAACTGTACTTTTTGAGGCTAGCTTCTTTTCACAAACACACGCGGGGGGGGGGGGAGAGGATGGTGAGCGGATGAGGGTCACTGCACAGGAACCAGAGGAGCAGGACCCATCACCACAGCCAGAGGGGCCCCCCATCTCCACGAACATGTCAGACTCTGAGGCATAGAGAGCAGTGCCATGTATGCTCTAGTAATAATAATAATTATTGTTTATACCCTGCCCTCCCCAGCCAGAGCTGGGCTCAGGGCGGCTAACACCAGTAAAATTACAGTAAAAACATAATGGGGGGGGGGACCAATTTAAAATACAGGTTAAAATGCAATTTAAATTGCAGCCTCATTTTAAAAGTAGCCCATAGATCAAAACCATAAGGGGAGGGAAATATAAGGATCAGACTGAGTCCAAATCAAAGGCCAGGCGGAACAGCTCTGTCTTGGCCCTGAAGAGATGTCAAGTCCTGCAGGGCCCTAGTTTCTTGTGACAGAGCATTCCACTAAGTTGGGGCCAGTAATGAAAAGGCCCTGGCCCTAGTTGAGACCAATCTACCCACCTTGCGACTTGGGAACTCCAAAACGTTGTCATTTGTGGACCTTAAGGTCCTCCACGGGGCATACCAGGAGAGGCGGTCCTGTAGGTACATGGGTCTCTAGGAGGCTGAGGCAGGCTAGACCCTCCAGACCAGCTCACTAGAGCTGACCTAGGAGGAGGTGTGTCAGTGGGTTAGGCTCAGGACAGGTGAGGGTCACCTGCCTTATCAAGCCCAGATGCTGCGATCAAGATTCAAGGGATAAAAAAGAAGCAGAGCTGAGGTGCTGCTCAACTTCTCATGTTGAATGACCACAGCTTGGTTGTCCTAAGAGCTTCACAGGACTGAACCCCTTGGATCGGCTGCAGAGGCAGAGGCAGAGACCTCGCCTGACTGTTGAACTATGGACTTGGCTTTCAGTATTGAACATGGACAGTGTTTCCTGACCCGCTGGAACTACTAACATTTGCCCTTGGGACTGTATACACCAGCAGGACTGGTGGCTAGGGGTTCAGGACACATGAAGAGAGAAGAGCAGAGACAGATACGTCAACATATTTTCAGATTGCTTGGGAAGACCCACAGGAGGAGATTTAGGCAGCTGTGTAAAACAGGTCATACATACACCATTATACTTAAGTATATAAAAGAATACAGGCAACTCCCCAATTGTGTGCGTTTGGCATGCATATGACCATGCACTGGAAAGGAGTCAGGGTGGGGGCAGAACTCCCCCATGCAAATGGGGAGGGAGTTGCATGTTCATAAGAGGAGCCCTGCTGGATCATTCCATGCCAATTCCCATAGTAGCCAATTGAATTCAACATTAGTAACATAAGAAGAGCCTGCTGGATCAAGCCAATGCCCCATCTAGTCCAACATCCTGTTCTTACAGTGGCCAACCAGATGCCCATGGGAAACCAGCAAGCAGGATTTGGGCACAAGAGGATTCAAGCACAAGAGCAATCTCCCCTCTGGTGGTTTCCAGCAACTGGAAGCCCATATGCAGAGATGAAGGCAACATTCCTCTCCCACTATTGCATCTAGGCACTGAAGTCCCTGAAGATGCAGGATCCATACAGCCATCACTACTAGCAGCCCACACTTTTTTTTTTAGTTGTTTAATGAGTGTACTTGTTGTTGTTGCTGTTGTTGTTTAGTCGTGTCCAACTCTTCATGAACCCATGGACCAGAGCACACCAGGCACTCCTGTCTTCCACTGCCTCCCGCAGTTTGGTCAGACTCATGTTTGTAGCTTCAAGAACACTGTCCCACCATCTCGTCCTCTGTCGGCCCCTTCTCCTTGTGCCCTCCATCTTTCCCAACATCAGGGTCTTTTCCAGGGAGTCTTCTCTTCTCATGAGGTGGCCAAAGTATTGGAGCCTCAGCTTCAGAATCTGTCCTTCCAGTGAGCACTCAGGGCTGATTTCCTTAAGAATGGAGAGGTTTGATCTTCTTGTAGTCTATGGGACTCTCAAAAGTCTCCTCCAGCACCATAATTCAAAAGCATCAATTCTTCGGCGATCAGCCTTCTTTATGGTCCAGCTCTCACTTCCATACATCACTACTGGGAAAACCATAGCTTTGACTATACGGGCCTTTGTTGGCAAGGTGATGTGTACTAGTGTGAGACAAATTCTGGTACCTCTCTTGAGTGGCTGGGGAAACCCAGGCCAGATGGGAGGTGTGTGTGTGTGTGTGTGTAACAACAACAACAACTTGAACAGCAAAAACCTTACCAAAAGCTTTGGCTAAAACATGTTAGACAGTCTTCACATAGTAAGTAACCAGCTTGAAACCGACCTCTTCTCACTCACCTGCTAGAGTCAAGCCCAAACTGGCATGCTAGAGTAACATGGAAAGGTTATGTGAAGCCCAGTTTGGCGTGCAAATCCCTGGGGAGAGGCTATGGAATTTGCTGCATTTGTCTGGGTATTTTCAAAATTCAATATGGTTTCTACTCTTTAGACAATGTGATCTCCTAGATTAAATCTGCATTGAGACAACTTTCCTCTGTTTCATCTCCCACTCTGAACTACCTGAAAGATTAAGACGGAAATTGCTTTTTCTTACCTGTGTTGTTGCATCTCCATTTGTCCAAAGAGAGAATAGCTCTGGCAGGAGCCAAGAATGCAAAAGCACTGGCTTGGAACAGAGGTAACCTGAAAGAAAGAAAAAGAGAAAAAGGAGATACCTCAAACTTTTTGTGCAGTGTCTTAACTTCCACGCAGATTTTTCTCTAAGGAAAAGAAGAATCAGAAGAAGTCCTTCTTGAATGTGTTAGTATGCATTTGACCAGATTACACAAAATGTTGACTTAAATACCAATAAGATAAATGAGGGTGAGGAAGGAGTCCACATCCCAGCTTATCTGTGGACTATTTGGGAGGCTTTTGACAAGCCACAGCCAGTGTTATATTATCCCATCAGCAAAATGGCAATATTAGAGTGAGCTCTCTCATGAAAGAGAAAAGTAAGTAATATTTTTTAATACAATCCACTCCTGCGAGTTTTTTTTCCTAGAAAGTGGCATGAACAGTTTAATAAATAATTTCCCCATACTGTAGTCTTGTATTGATTATGCAGTAGAATTCAAAGTCCTAAATGCTCAGGCTTTGCATAGTTCAGAGGTCAGAGAAAACTGCACCAGATGGTCCAGCAGGGCTCCTTTACATGAGCTCCAAGATCCAGATAAAAGGCAGTCTCAATAATTGTTTCAAAATTGCTCATTGTGGTGCTGATCACATGAAGGTTGCATATTCAATCCCTGTAAGGGACAGCTGCATATCCCTGCATTGCAGGGGGGTTGGATTAATGATCCTTAGTATCCCTTCCAACTCTATGATTCTATTCATTTTTAATGTCCCTACCCACCCAAGTCCTTACAGTGTGAGATAAGTTAGAAATCTCTTCCCCATGCCCTAGGAAGAAACAGGTTCTAGACCTAGGAGCCAACTCCCAGGGGCCATAGGGGCTTTGGCCCCCGCAAAGTTGATGGGCATTCCCATTCAAAGGCTGTGTGTGCACTGCGTTATGTGATCAATTATGCGAGGCGGGCCTTACCTTATCTGGGCCCCCACAATATTTTATTCAAGTTGGCATGGAACCCCTGGTTCTAGAGCAGAATAATGGGGGGGGGGGGTTGGGGGGAGCTACAAGGGAGGAAGAGGAATAGCCAAAAGATTCCCATCCCGTTCTGCTGATAGAAGCCTTACCACCATCTGAGTGACACTGTTGATACAACCCAATGTATTTCTGGCCACACAGAGGTGCTGTGACAACATATTAAACTTTGTGAAGTGTAATATCTGTATTGTACAAGATATTTTGGCAGAATATCATTATTTATAAAGTGCACATAAACAACTCAAATTTGCACAGGCAATAAGCCGTGGCCTTTGCTTTTTAACAGCAACCCACACAACTATCCATATCAATCAAGTAAGGTGAATGCTGGAAGAAACACAAAGGAATATTCGCCTGATTTATAACATGAGCAAAAACTGAACACTCTTCTTTGTAACAGCAGAGAGGTACGCTGGGCAAATGACTCAATATCATGGGGATTTTGTTGGCTCTTGTGCTCTGCCCCTGGTAAAGTTGTTGCTCTTCTCCCTCACGTACACATTACCCTTTCAAAAGCCCTCTAATTAAGTGTAGGCAATTAAATACATTCTTCAAAAGTTAGATCACTGAGTGTTTAGAATTTAGTTCCAGAAAGGGTTTCTTTCTTCTCTGTGGGGTAAAAATAAGAATCAGCCCATGTCTAAACATACCTAAATCAAATTGCATTTAAGCCATGAGTTCACTTTTTATAGTGATTAAGGACTGATCTTTTTAGCATCTTACAGAATCTGTGACTTCTTATTCTGAGCAAATTTATTTAGGACATGTGAGACATATCAGACTTAACAAGTGCATTTCTTGCTTCTCAAATAGTTCAACCACAATAACCCTTTGTCAAAAGTCTGTCAGTTAGCATGCAGCAAATACTTTCAAGTATAACCGGGGTGGGGTGGAAGGAATTAGTGCTACTTTGTTACAGGTTTTGTTACAATCAAACAGTATATACGTTTTGTTAATTAACAAACATAAAACATTCTAAAAATGAGGTACACAGAGAATCCAAAAGGTTTAAGAGAAAATCTGGAGATACTGTGACAGACTATTTTAAAGGCTGGAGCGTACAAACAATCTTGTATCTATTCACTTATGTTCTACTAATGCACATTTAGAGTTCATCCAGGCGGCAAGAGCAATAATGAAGATGTTTAACAGTCTTTTAGATGAACCTATGCTGGTGTAAATAACTTGGATTCTTAAAATCAGAAGTAATAGCCAGAAACCATTAAAGTATTTTTGTACCAGTGGAATTTGAGCTTGCAAAATACAGAAAAGTTTGACTTAAAGAGAAAGGGGAAGATTAAAGGACTGTAGTCTGGTACAGAAGTACCATTCTCAAATTTCCTGTTCACGCTTAGGAAACCAGCTGTGTGGTGTAGATTCTTACACTCCCTCCATCTCACTTCCCCAGTCTGCTTTCATCACGATGCAGTGTGCCAGTAATAACCATGCCTAGCACTGATTTTTGTAGGGAGAAAACCAGAAGTGAGAGCTCTGTCTTCTAGTGCTCATTTTTAGAAAGATTTCTACATATGGTTGCCTTAGCCTTTGGGCTTCCTCTGCTCAGGGAATAACTACTTTTAAGGTTTGTCAGAATTATAGGGCAGGGCAGTTCACAGGGAGGAGCAAGATTTCCTTTCTGGGAACTATAGCATCATGTCTTGGAAGAAATAGCAGGAACATTCTGAGCAAGTCAGGAAAAAACAAAGGACAAAAAGTGTCTCTCCCCCCACCCCCTTAGATTGGTACAACTGATATCTTTCTGTGGATCACTTGACATGAAACTAGATCGTATCTACTTTAATTCAAGAAACTTGAAATTGTATTGCCCAGGGCTTGAGGTTTTTCTTTGGGAAGATTCTCTTCAATCATCTTTGTTTATTTAAACAGTCATAACTGAACTCTCCTACTGAGCTGCTGCTATCTTACCACCCAATATTCTATTTCATATGTAAATTATGCCAAATACCTTGTTTTTGAGGGAAAGACTCCAAGACTTGATATTACTTGGAAGAACAGGTGCCATGGAAGGAGATAACAAGAGCCTAATACAATGAATTGTTAATATTATTTTAAATTTTTGTTACATTTAGGATAAATATATAGAAAGAAGTACTGGAGCAGAATTCCCTGCTACCACAAGGGATATTTTTGAGGGGTGTGGGAGTTAAATATATATTTTTGGAAAGGCACAGAGAGCAAAACTACCCACAAAACAGTGCATGCTCTCCACAACCATACTTGTATCAACTAGTTTATCCCCTCAATGCTTACAGTGAGCTGGAATCACCCCCAGTTAGCAAGGCAGAGAAGTGAATTTTCGACTGAGAAGAGGTCAGTTGCTGTTGCTTTTGGTCCCCATTTTGGATAGCTAATGTGCCACAAATGCACACAGCTGGACGAGGGCCCTTTGCCCTGGTTCAGAGGCAAAGTCCATGTTTGCAAGCAGAAGGCTCCATGCTCTATCGTTAGTAGCATCTCTCAGGAAATGACCAGAAGGATGGCAAGGGCCTCTAGCGGAGTTTTTTAAGAGAAAACCAGTAGACCAACCATCTCACTTGGCATAAGGCAGGTTCACATGATTCAGATATTTGAAATATCAGTCATGCTTTTTTAAAAAAACGTTTCAATAGCTAATTATTGTTTTAATAAATTAACATGTATACTCAGGCAGGCTATTTATTTCTGACCTACTTTTTTATTTAAGCTGCACTAATTCTTGAATCACTGGCCAAAGTTGAACTAGTTGATTGGGATAGGGAGAGGTGTACCTCTAAACAGTTAACAGGCAGTCAAATATCATCCTCTTAACTTACCTGCACCCAAACGTTGTTTGCAGCAAAGTTGTGATTCCAACACAGAAGAATATGGTCCCAATCAGCTGGCTAGTAGCCCACTGGTCAAATCCAACACACATGGCATCTGCTAGCAAGAAGGGCACTGCTATAGTGCCACTGAAACACGTCAGGTAATGCTGCAAATACAGAGGGTTATTTTATTTACAAACATGATATATGATTGCCTTCAGTTTGTTTACACCATTACCATTAGCTAAAGAGCATGTTTTTCAAAGCGCAATATATTTCCAAATTGCTTCCGAACAGCCATCAATTAACACCTGCTTAAGGATAAGCAATTTCTAAAAGCAGGACTCAACTGTGAAGACATACGCCATCTGGCAAGACCAAAGCAGAAGTGGTGCTGCATTGCAGCACAAAGCAAAGTAGAAGCGAGAAGACCACAAACAATGCAATAGGTTGTTAAATGCCATCTGGAGAGCACAGCATCACCACTCCCTAAGGAATTAAGTCTCGATGCAGAACTTCACTTGGGATAGATTCCTGCCAAGGGTTAGGAAATGCCAGTGTAAAATAAAATCAGCAGGTATATATTATACTACCAAGAAACCTTACTGAAAAGTATTGTTTTCTGTAGTGTGGATATGGTAAATAAACAATGGGGAGGGGGCCATAGCTCAGTTGTAAAGTGCCTGCTCCGTATGCAGAAGGATCAGCCGCTGGCATCTCAGGTAGCATTGACAGGAACTGTCCAAGACCCTGGAGAGCTGCTGACAGTCTATGAAGACTAAGAGACTGATTTTGTATAATGACTTGGAGCAGAACCACTGCACAGAAACTATGGAAGTCTCAGACTCTCCAAGTGCCCCTATTTTCCAGGGATGTCCCTGATTTAGAGATGCCATCCCGGTTTCTGATTTGATCCCAGAACGTCCCACTTTTCCTTAGGATGTCCCTATTTTCATTGGAGAAATGTTGGAGGGCATGGAGTTATCCAACCCCCAAGCCGTCTGAAGGCAATCCTGTATAGGGAAGTTCTTTAAATGTTGAATGATTTATTACGTTTTTGTACATGTTGGAAGCTGCCCAGAGTGCTGGGGTAACCCAATAAGATGTCTGGGGTATAAATAGTAAAATTATCATTATGGAATGGGACGTTCCCTCCCTATTGTCATCAGAATAATGTTGGAGGGTATGAAGTCATTCTTTAAAAAATTAAGGATATAGAAGCATACAATTGAATGGGTCAGACAGAATCTTGGAGGTCATCCAGTTCAGTTCCCTGCCAAGTGCAGGATCTGGAACATAATTTGAAGATTTATATGTAAGATTGTAATGGGGATAATCAATGAATTGTTATCTCCATCCTTCATTTCTGCCTGATTGCGAGATTCTGGGAAACTTGGCTCTAAGGATAGCGGTGCTGTATAAGTTATAAATTGACAAACTCCCAAAGTCTTACTACATAATAAATAGCAAATGTTCCTATATATTCAAAGGGCATGGTCCTTCACTGCAAAAATGAAGCACTCAAAAGCACAGTTTAATAAAAAATTTACAAACATACTGGAAAGCATATTTTCTTTAGAAATGCCTTGATACCAAGAGCAGAACTCCTGGGCATGGGGGAAATTGAGTTTGTGGGCCAGCAGGCTTATCAGTTAGAAAGGACCTAGTGATCCTACTGATCAGTACAGGATCTACAATTCAGAAGTCAGTGACAGACAGCCATCCAGACTTTGCCTAAATGCCTCTAGTGCAGGAGAGTCCACCAGCTGCCAAAGCAGTCTGCATTACTGCCAAACAGTTCCTAAGGTTTAGTCGGAATCTGCTTGGAAGTCCTGCCCTGGAGCAACAGATAACACAGCTGTTCCACCTTACATGACAGTCCTTCAGATACTGTCATGTCCACAACTTTATCTTTCCTTCTTCAGGCTACTACACCTACCCTGGTCTTTCAACCTTTCCTCACAGGACCGGAAACAGAACTGCAGGCAAAGGATCCTTGGGTCTTTTCTCTTGAACTACACACACAGGGATCCCTTCAGCAGGACCAGATCGATGACAGTATAGTCCCTGCAGCACACAAATGAAATGGCACTTCTTTCCCAAGCTACAGGAGCAATGGGAAGTTCTGCTGCACAAGACCCAATGACTTGAATGGAAACTTTGCAAAAGCATTACTATGACCTTCCAAAGCTTCCATTTGTTTCAATAGGGCTTGTTCTGTTCTTTAGTCAGGTCTGTATCTCTCCTACTTGATGCTCTTAAATACATCTTAAGACCTGCTGCCTGAGGTAGCCACCTCATTTTGACCCCTAGTGGAGCCACCTCTGCTTCTAAAATACCTCATTTTGGCTACAAGGCTGTGCAGACTACAGTACCAAAATTCCCAGGAACACCCATTGGTAGAACAGCAGTACAAGATTATGGGTTGTATTTAGAATTCCCAAATTAATGCGCCAAGTGCACCTAGCAATGGGGCAAATCAATGTGGACCTTTGGGGTAAAGAACTGCCTATATAAGCAGTAGGACAAACATTTCCAGAGGCTCCAGAAATATTTTTGCCCTCTGCAGTGTACCAATATGCTACTGTTGCATTGAAGTACTGTGAAAGCAGAGCTGGCTTCTCACCTTCTGAGCTTCAGCAATTAAAATTCAGAGAACTAGGACCAAAGAGAAAACTGACTGTAAGCCAACATCAGTTCTTGAAATCTTTCATTCCTGTGTTGCTTGCCTGCATTAGTTAAAGCTTTTTTCCCTGCTGAATAATACTTAAAATATTAAATATAGCACAGTAGGAATAAGGAGAGCACCATATTTTTCTCACAATATGTACCTGTAATCCCAAGAATATGCAGAGGTACCAGGGAGGAACATCTTCAATTGTGTATATCATGTCCGTTCTTTGGGCGTCCAAGCTTCCGCTGCTATCTAGTGTCTCCGCCAGTGAACTCTGTTAAAAACAGATCAAGCAGTGGAAACAAATAATTAGTAATTAAGTATTATAGAAGAATGCACCAGTTCAATATGCAACATGGTTACGAGAGCACATTTGACAAGATCTGTGCCCTGTTTCAAAGCAGCATCAATACACACACTTAAAAAGCAAGATCTTTTAGCTTTCAAGTAATCTGTTGCACCTAGTATGCAAGAGATATGTACACACACACACACACCCTTTCATATAAGCAACCTCTTCCCTTTGCCTACAAGGAGGGCATTATACCCTTCTTGTAATATAACCATGGCACATTACGCCAAAAAGATTATGATGGCCAATTGGATTACACAAACAAATAGAGCATGAGGAACACCAAATCACATATCATCAGGAAAGGGGCGTTTAAGAATAAATATAGTAATAATGGCAAACCTTGCATAAGAGACCAAGATTTCACAATTCATGGTACAAATACTACTTACTACAATGGATGTATTCCTTTCAGTACACATAGCTGAATTTTCAGTGAGTTAGACTCAAATCAGGGTTGCATTAGAATTTAGGCAAGACACAACAGGATGAAAAGTTTGACCACACTTACTAGAGCAGGAGATAAAACAATGGTTCCCTTTATAGGCCCAATGTGAAAAAAATCCAGCATAAAAATAAAGTTTCTAGACTCCACAACATTTGAAAGCATCATGGTAAAAACTGCTCAAGGATCAAACATTAAGACACTGAGAAGAAGCCAAATATGCTGGTCTTTCTGTAATTGTAAGTATCAAGGCCATACATTGTCCAATATTTTTCAAGCATTCACTGAAGTCTTTCATATTTCATAGCAATAATTTGGAAAGCCAAGAGCGCTGAGTTGGCTCCCTTGTAATTCTGGCAACTACAATGTTTCTATGAATAGTAAGCAAAAATGTGAAAAATCAGCAACACTGATGATATCGTCAGGTTTACTCATGACACGTTTCTGATTCACCCCCTCATTGCTAGCTGCTCTTCTTATTCCAATGCAGGGTAAATAATTACAGTAGACAGCCACAACCTGTGCTGTAGAATCTTGGTCTTTTGCTGGTGGATCACTAATGTGAGCCACATGGGCAATGGCCCACAACCACAGAGAGCAGACAGAGGAGGACAGAGGAAGGAACAGATTTAGGCATTTATTTATTCGATTTATATCCTGCCCTTCCCCCAATTCAGCAAATAGACAAATACAGTGAAGCTAAACTATATACAGTGAAACTAAACACACAAACTAAAACATAGGCATCAGATTAGGAATAAAGGCATGGGTAGGCAAACTAAGGCCCGGGGGCCGGATCCAGCCCAATCGCCTCCTCAATCCGGCCCACAGACAGTCCGGGAATCAGCGTGTTTTTACATGAGCAGAATGTGTCCTTTTATTTAAAATGAATCTCTGGGTTATTTATGAGGCCTGCCTGGTGTTTTTTCATGAGCAGAATGTATGCTTTTATTTAAAATGCATCTCTGGGTTATTTGTGGGGCATAGGAATTTGCTCCTTTTCCCCCCCTTTTCAAAATATAGTCCGGCCCCCACAAGGTCTGAGGGACAGTGGACCGGCCGCCTGCTGAAAAAGTTTGCTGACCCCTGCATAAAAGGGTCTAAACGGTCTGAAGTGGTTGTTCAGCTTACATCAGTGGTTCCCAAAGAGGGTAGTAGCATCCCTTGGGGGCCAGTGGGATCACTGAGGGGCTACTAAGAGGCAGAAGGGTGCCAGAAGTGCAAACGACTATCAGACTGGCCACACTGGATCAAGTTCATCAGTTTTGTTGAATTAATTACAGTAAATACAGTAAACAGTTTAAATTGGATTTTGAATAAATGAACAACTGGTTGTTACTGTTTTGAATTTCACTGTGTTTTTCTCTTCCTTATTGGGTTGTGCAAACCGCCCTTCTAAATAATGCTTTTTATAGGGTATCAGGCACTGGAGATGAATTTATGGAACCAAGGGGGCGGTGGCCCAAAAAATGTTTGGGAACCACTGGCCTAGCTCTATCCACAGAAGTCATTTAAAATATTTGTTAAGAGATACTTTTTATTGGCCACACCCAAGAGGATGTTTTCAATTTACCAATCTCAGTGGAAAGAAGGGCTTGTATAACTACCATGCTGACTTGAATCCATATTTGGCTGATTATTTATATTTGGTTGTTGAACAGGAGACCCAAAACCAATCCTTTTTTTCTAAAAAAAAATGTTTAGGGGTACTCTCATTTTCCTACTCATATTGAAAAACTGCCCCTCAATAAGGCCAAACTTGGGTTCACAAAATGCTTAGGGTTATGCGAACCCCTGTGTCCAACCAGAAAAAAAGCACTGCCCAAAACCAAACCCATTTACTCGTCAATGTTCTGTTTAGTATGAGAGAGAATAATTGAAACTACAGCAGCAGATGAATTTTTATTTCCACTCCAGTGCCGATTTAATAACAAAACACATACTTCTGTAAAAGGCAATGGAGAGTTCCTTTGTTTTGTTTTGACGGGAACTTTAAGTTCTCCCTGTGGTTGTGATTTCAACCATGACAACTCAACCCTGAGCACAGCATGGCTGACATCAGCTGAACTGAATGAGATGCCAATGAAGGAAAACGGCTTGTTATGCAGGATAGTTACACCTAGTTGTACTAATGCCAGATTTCTCAAAGCTGCATGTGGCAGGGAGCAGGCAATCTTGTCAGATCTGTGGAACACTCCTCACAGAGCTCCTGCCTACAGGGAGGTTCTCCCATTCTCCCTCTCCTGGGACACAGTCACTGACAGCGAGACTGGTAGTAAGAGAGGAGGGTGCAGAAGGCCTATGTTCTTAACGTCTTTCAACTACCATGCCTTCTCACGGGACTCCTTTTGTGTGTAGAGAAGAAGAGAGGTGTGGTTGAAGGCAAACATCCATGAGTGGGACGTCATAGACCTGATGGAAGCTGTTCCAACTTGCCAAAGATCAAACAAACAAAGCAGAATTTGGGGTTGTGTGATGACAGAAGAGCCTCATTCCAAAAGGGATGTACATTTATTGTATTTGGAAACGGCTCTACAGTTAAACTTATGATAATACAGAATATATTTCAAGGCTACACCCTTCTAAGGGAGCAGTAGGAAGAAGACAGAAAGAAGCTTGGCTCATCCCAACACATGGCTCAAAAACACTTTCAAGAGAAGCTCTAGCTCAGTCTCCAGCAAACATGTCTTCAGTGCTGAATAATCAGGAAAACTAAAGGAAGAGGGGATCAAGACCATACACACCCCATAACTTAAAGCTTCCTCAGGAAGGATTTGAGAAGCAAGAATTCCAGGAGGCCTAGAGCACTATTTACCAATTCAGTGTAAAGGAGCACAGAACCTTTGCAGTCTGTCTTACAGCCCACCCAGGATGCACATTTCGGTTGAAACATGGCAGGAGGAAGAACTCAAGCCCCCTCCCCAAAAGAAAATCATTTCGGGAGTTCTGATTCTCATTCCGAGGACAATATCTTAGGTCCTAAGAAAAGGTAAGAAAATTAGCAAAAGTACATTTCCTACCACCCCCTCCAAGCTTCCCCCAGTGCTTCCCTAGAAGGTCTAGCACTCCCCATGAACAACATGGGATGAAGGAAGGCTACTGGGGGAGGGGAAGAAATCAAACAAAATCAGACGTGGCTCCTAAGGTAACACAGGGAAGGTTTTCTATCCCCATCTCTCTCTTGCAGTCCCCACACCTCATCCATATAATTCAGGCTGGTCCTCCAACATGCTCCCCACCTGCCCAAGGCTTTTCAGGGAGGAGGGCAAGATGTCAAACTTCCCTTCTGTGAACTTGCTTAAGATTTTAGGATCCTAACCTATGGCTGTATCAGGAGCTCTGCTGAAGATGGGAGCACAAAAGTGGCTTGGTTTGCACATAACTGTCCAAACTCTACCCAGTGGCTTAACTTTATTATGTTTGGTCTAAAGCCAGGGTTTGTTGTTGGCTCAGAAACCTTGGTGTGCTTTCATATAAGGTTTTGTGTTACATGCAAACCCATCGCCCTTCCTTCACCATGGTTTCTTTGCACCTCAGATGGTAACCAAGATACAAAGAGCAGATGAAAAAACAAAAACTTTTGAAAAGCAAGCCATGTTTGATCATCTGTGGGACAACTCATAGGTGCTTTGTGCTTTGTTAAACAAACTCTGTGCGTAACAGGCTAATGACATGCGTTTTCTAAACCATTTTCAAGAACATTTTCCACTTGTCTAAAACCAATGGAGATCCAAGTTAGCATGCTTGACGAAACCTTTTTTTTTTTTTACGTAAACAAAGTTTAAACATTAAAGTCAATGAAACTTAGAGTGATGTGTTAATTTTATCTGTTGTAGAAATATCTGAATTAGAAGCAAAGAGCATTAATTTAGCAAGCAGTTGTACAGAAGCAAAACAGTGTTAGTTATGCTACATAAAAACATTATGAAGACGGGTTTCTACAGCTTTTCTGTGACCCCCACATTTGCTGAGACCCGCCACGCCCCCACTCCCGGTTGCCAAAAGTAACTGAACTAAATTGTTGGAAACTGTTTTACTGGAAAACATGTAAATATTTTAAGGCATGACCGTTTAATAGTGTCAGTTTAGATATTAAGCGATTTTTAAAAACTAAGTATCAGATTCTAATGAGGCGTGCGTGTAAATATCAGTTCCGTAGAGACACTTGAAGAAAAAAAGAGTTACAGCTTTGATTTTTCAGTCTGACTAGCACTGTACCCATTGCTGTTGCCCAATCTTACTTGTAATACATAAGCCTGCTAATTAATTTTATGAAAACAATGCCTTTCTAAAACTGGATATTTCCTGCATGAAAAATGCAGGAGTTTCCTACTCTTCCTCACATCACAGGGAACAAGCAGGCTTGTGTAGGAAGAGCTGATGAGTGATAGGATGTGGGAGACCTTTGTTCAAAATAAGAATGATAACATAAATCTATCACAAAGGCAGCAGACCCAGCATTAAGGTAGCAGCTGCAGTATCAGCAGATGTGCTGCTTCTGTCCTACGAGTCAGACTGAAGACCAAGCAAATATATTACTTAACCGATATCAGATAGTCAAAATATGTGTCTTGGAATCCGGAGTCCAGTAACCCAGTTGTATAACTTTATCCTCTTAGTTACACATGCTGCAGTTGCCTAATCCCCTTATGATTGCCACCACCCACAATCCTGGAAGTCTAGGTGGTCCAACTTTGGCACCGTTCCCCTTGCATCTCCCTGGCTGCCAACATTAATCTCTGAAACAAAGGTGGCATTAAAAACAGAAACGCTCAGTCATTTTGCCTTCTTGAATAAGCTCAGTGTTTATAGCTGGACCCTGGAAAAAGGAGGTTTGTGCAACAAGACAACTGCAGCTATAGTTAAACTGATTATCAAAACATCTACTTCAGCCCACATAAATGAGGGAAATGATGTACGGTCCTAAAATCCACTGGTAAATTATGAAGGCCCAAAACATGAAAGTTTTCAAGTACAGTCTTTCCAAAAGATGCTTTCACTCTAAGAATTATCAGTGTTCCCTTAATCAAAGAAACCTGTCTTTAACACTTCATCTAAATTATGGAAGGATAGAAAATAAGGGAAATTAAATTAGTTAAAAGGTAATCAGTGATAATAACCAGCGCCTGCCAACCTAGCAGTTTGAAAGCACCCCCGGGTGCAAGTAGATAAATAGGGACCGCTTACTAGCGGGAAGGTAAACGGCGTTCCGTGTGCTGCGCTGGCTCGCCAGATGCAGCTTGTCACGCTGGCCACGTGACCCGGAAGTGTCTGCGGACAGCGCTGGCTCCCGGCCTCTAGAGTGAGATGAGCGCACAACCCTAGAGTCTGTCAAGACTGGCCCGTACGGGCAGGGGTACCTTTACCTTTACCTTAATCAGTGATAATGTCCCACCCCCATTTTTTCCATCCTGTATCTTTTCTCTAACTCAAACTGCAAATTTCAAAGCATTTATAAACTCTTTAAAAAGCAAAGGGGGTGGGAACGTGATGCTGAAACTCCCCCATCTAATACTGTCTTTATATAGAATAAAGAAAGCTGATTCTCAGCTTATTTTTTCCTTTTAAATGTAGTTCCAAAAGATTCTTTATGAATCCAGCAGGCCTTGAGGGAAACCAGATAATCTTACCTCTCATTTTAAATATTGCAACAAGGAATTGCACAGAGGGAAGTGTGTGATGGCAAAAAATCAATTTATTAAGGTTCGGGGGGGGGGGGGAGTTCTGTGAAATGAAACTTGCTTCCTTGTTTTTTATATTTCCCTGTCTTGCTGAAATATTTTCCAGTCTGCAAAAACCTGAATACGGCAAAGTAAATTTCTTTGGTAGACTACACAAGCTGCTTAATTAATTTTGTGAGCAGAATTTATGGGTTTTACTGTTATCTAAAGACATTGCCTTGAAGTCTTAACAAAAGACATGGATAATGTCAGGGAACCACAAGGACAAAGAACAAGCAAAATTAGTAGAAATGTCAAACTGAGGAGAACAAGAGAAGAGTGAAGAGCTTCCACAGGATTGTCAAGGTCTCTTCATAACTGCTTGTCAGGATACTGATTACTGAATCCAGGGTGTGTCCCTTGAGAAACCATACCTTCCACTGATAGATATTGTTAGTGAGATGGGAAAAGCACTGTCTGTAAATGTTTGGAAGACTGTGCCATACAACCAACCATCACATGGTAATAAGAATTATGCAATAAACAGGATTTCATGAATCAGATTTATTGTTCATCATGATCGACCTAGAATATGCAACAATGCTGCTCCAAACTTTATCTTTCATTCTGAGTTAGTGGTAGCGGTGAACTTTTTCCCAGCTATGCTGCCTGCCACAAGCCAGAGAAGATACATGAAGGTTATGAACAAACAGATAAATTTCTGTAACCTTAAAACACCATTACAGCCTCCACCTTGATTCTCCAGGCAATTTCCCATCATCTCCACACACTACCAGCACTCAAGCTCTCCTCCTGGCAGTCACTGAGTTACCTTCCCATGGCTTCCCTCCAAAAATACTCCAAGTGATCACCTGGAGATCACCTCAGCGTGTGTGAAGCATCCCGAGCTGAGCAAGTGAGTTACTTTGGCTGCACCAGAGCCAATCTTAGAATCTACTCCAGAAAGATACCTTTTCAGCAATTCCATTTTCAGTTGTATAGATTGCCATAAGCTCTGTATCTTCCGTATCTTGATCGCCACTTGATGTAGCTCCACCATTCATTACAACCTATGAAAAAGAAAAAGGAATTAATATATAAAAATAGTTGCTACAGATTTTCAAATAAATGTATCCTCTAGGGCAGTGTTTTTCAACCACTGTTCCGCGGCACACTAGTGTGCCGCGAGATGTTGCCTGGTGTGCCGTGGGAAAAATTGAAAAATTCGAAAGATTTTTTTTTAAAAAAATTCACATTTTCGCCCACTAGGCGGGCGCCAGACTGTGTCCTGGGTATGGGGGGGTGGGGTTTTTGACCCCACCCTCGGCCAGCAGGGGCGCCGATTGGCGCTCCTCAGGGGGACACCCTCCACTTTTCTGATGTCCGGGCTGTGATTGGTCCAGACTCCAGCCTGGACCTATCACAGTAGGACATCATCTTCCGACTTCCTTCCCACCCGAGCACAGTGTGCGCAGCAGCGGAGAGAAGAAGACGTCGCGACTCGAGTCACCAGGAGGACCGGAGAAGTTGTCATTTTATTTCTCTTCAGTCTCCACTGAATGCCTTGACTGGGTTAGGGACCCTTATAGCTCAGCATCAGTTGGTGGAAAGGACATGACTTTACAGGAGCAGGAGGAACTAACTGAACTGAGACAAAATCGTGGTTTCAAGCTAAGATTTGCTGATCTACCTTTGGACAGTTTTTGGTTGGATACTGCCAAGGAGTTCCCCTTCTGGCAAACAACGCTATTTTGACATTGCTCCCATTTTCCACTACATATCTGTGTGAGATGAGCTTTTCAAGCATGATTGCTATAAAAACTAAATACAGAGAGAGACTGAGAGCTGTTGACGAAGAGCTACGTGTGTGTCTTTCTTCGATTCCAGCCAGAATATCAGCTTTGTGTTCAGCCAAACAGGCCCAGGTTGCGCACTGAATAAAGTATTTTATAATTTTTCATATTTCTGTTTACTTACTATTTCATAATAAAGTAATTATAAAATACTTTCTTTGTGTTTATTTGATTCCTATTCAAGAGAATTACTTTATACATAGTCAATATAGGCACAGAGTTTTTAACATTTTCTAATGGTGGTGTGCCTCGTGATTTTTTTCGTGAAACAAGTGTGCCTTTGCCCAAAAAAGGTCGAAAGACACTGCTCTAGGGCAAGCGCAGGAATTATTATTCTCAATGAAGAGCGCAACATTTTCAACGTACTGAATTCATCGAGAGCCAACTCTCATCAGCTTGAGTCAGCTGATGTACAAGCAAAAAAAGTGCAGGTAAAAGCACTGTAACCACTTGCTGCTGCAGCATGCAGCTCTCTTCATGTCATGAAGTCACATGAGCCTCCTAGGAAGGGAGGCTGGCTGGAAGAGACAGAGAGAGCTGGCTGCTGGTGCTGCAGCAAGTGTGCCCAGCACTTTGACTTGTGCAATGTTTATTTTTCTTTGAAGGCCTTTGGCCATTTCATAAAGGAAAAGAAGATAAGCACTGTCCTATCCCCACCGGCCCAAAACCAGACAAAATATTATCTGAACTTCATTTTCACCTCACTGATTTTTAGGGCGTGTTTGGGTTTACTCCCCTCCCTTAACCGCGGATGGGGGAGCTATTGAAAGACTTGGCACAGTACTAGACAGAACAGGAATACTGCAGAATAAGCACAGGACCCGTCAACAGTATTTTATCAATTTAAAGAGATATACACATTATGCCACAACAGGAAACAAAATGTACACATTAGAAAGACATCAGCCCTTGTGACTTAATACAAACAGCATTGGTATGGAAACAGTGACTGTAACAGCAGACTAGAAACCCTCTGGTCCAGTCTTACACAGGGCAGAACAGAGGTGGAACAACCCCTCAATACACTATTCAAAGACTGGAAATGACAATTAGACTAACAAATAACCATGGTCAGCAAGTTCATGTTTCCATGTTGCAATGAACCAATGTCAAGCTATCATCAAATGATGAATTGCGTTACTTGAAAATGGTTTGGTAACCTGTGGCTAAATTGTCATAATCATCATCAGCATTTGCATGCAATAGTTCAAAGCCTATCTAGTCAACTGTACTCAAAGAGGTAAGAGTCTGATTGCTTGAGCAATCTAGTCAGTGTACACAACATTTGTACCTGCATTCTGAACAAAGTCATTCATACAGAGCCCTAAAATTAATTTCTAAACCATGGAACTATTTTTTCTTAGTCGCCTCTCCATACTAAAAATACATTCAGAGCTCTTTCTTTCTGAAGATTCAGATTAGCAAGATGGCTTTTACAACAAAGATGACTTTTACAACCAACTTCTACTCCAGAAATAAAGATCAGTAAAGCTTTCTGTGAAAGGCATATCACAAGTCACCACTGCTATTTTCAAAGTTGTGCTATTGTAAAATGCATTTTCCACACAATGGGAGTTTTTAACTGGACCTCATGGGGCACACTTTGGAGAATCAGTCCCTAGAAATACCTGGCTGAGAACGATGAGTGAAGCAGAAGCAGATATCATGGCCAAGCTTGTGATTACATTGTGCCACCACAGGGAAGCAAGGCAACTTTTTGGAGTATGCAACTTACTGGTAGTGTGAAGAAAGCAGAATGCTTGGATTCATCCTCATATTTGCCCTCTGTTGGACTTCCAGTTTCAACTGACTTAGACGTGGTGTTCTTGCCAATTCCCATTGTTTCCCACAATGCTCTAAAATTCACGTAGTCACTAAGTTATTAGTACGGGGACAGGGTTTTCAATTAAAAACTAGGGCACCTCAGGGAGTCAGAAGAGCATCACAGGAGTTCACAACGGAGCATGAGGTCCTGTAAGTAACATGTGCTTCTATGACACCTAGAAATAAAGAAATGAAACACCAGTAAAAAATTTGCAATACAGTTCCACAAGACATTTGCTGCAGTGTATAAACCTCACTGAGAATCCAGGTTTTATGACAAGTTAATTACATTGAGAATTTCAACCAATGTCCAAGGATGCCCTAAAGAAGACAGTCAGCCGCAGTCTTTCCCCCCTTCACAACATAACAGAAAAATCCCTCAAGCCTATTTGATTCTGGTGACAGGAATCTTGAAATAGATATTGAGCCCTTTTCAAGGCTGATGATGCCAACCTGCCCCAGTTCTTCCTTAAAACTCAAAATGAGGTTTTACCACTTACTCTTCATCCCCTGCCTACTGAAACTAACCCTGAGTTTCAAACTGCATATATTTGTTCCCTTCTAGCCATACTCCCACCTTCCACTGCACCCTTCATCAACCTGGTACCCTCCTGGTACCAACTCACATGAGCCCCAGCCAGCACAGTCATAGGATGTCAGGGCTGATGGCAGCTGTAATCCAAAACAGCTGGAGGGTACCAGACTGGGGAACGCTGCTCTATTGCCTCCCCACTGAGGAATTTCAGATGATAAACTGCAAAGGTCCCTGTCCCACCATCTGACACCATAGTCTGAAGCACCAAACCTACTGAGTGATGGTGCTATTTACATAAATAAACAAAGGCAAAACAACAACAAAAAACCTTGCCTACGCACTTGGTTGTAGGTAAACCTTTCAAAAAAGCACACACAAACACCCACATTATGACAACTTAAAGCTGGTCACAATTTAAAAAATGGATCTAATCAAAAGTACAGATGTGAACGCAGATCAAATTTCAGTCTGAAACTGGGGTTAATAAAATTAAAACAGTGTAAAGACTGCCTCTGATAAATGAACAAGGATGATTTAATTCACACACAAAATAACTACGCAAACTCAGATTTAAACAATCAAAATGTCCAAAGATGTTCCAAAAACAAACCAGTGCTCCATCCATCGGCAGTTATTATTCTTGGGTATGTACTTTAAGTTCACATACTCATTTTTAGGCTACTCCAAAACCCTTTTCTATAAAGGGACACGACTTGCAAAATGTCCAGAGATGTTTGCCTCTGTTGACAACTCACTTTACACAGTCTCTTACATCTTGTTTTTTGCATGAGTGATTTAACCAACTCCCTTTACTATCCGACTTCTGTGCAATAATGCTTCCACTTTAGACCCACTGAAGTTAAAACACTTAATATGTGTTTTAATATGAGGCTAACATTCATCTAAAATACTGAGAGCATGGGCTGTGTGTTAAAAGTCATAAAGCAATACAGGAGATACAGAACATACAAGTGGCTTTTTGGAAATTGAGATGCTACCATTCTATGAGCCAATGATAAGGCAGGTGGCACATGGAACAGATTTGGGGAAATCATCTTCCTATAGCATAAGGCTGTTTGGAAGTATATATTGCTGTGAAAGTAAAGGGAGCAAGAGAGAAATGAAAGACTGGGAAGACCAGGCTTTCAGTATGTTAGTTGCATGGGGAGCAAATGAACTGTTAAGAGAGTCCACTTTTAAAGGACCTGGGGACAATAACAGTGGCTCTCTCCTTTAGCTCACTTCTATATAAGTTGAGACACAAAGGGCACTTCAGTTCCTTCCTCTCCAGAGAAGCAAAACAGAGGCAGACTGGTGGCGGCTGCATGCACATTGGGTGGGCAAGTTAAAGAGCATTTTGCCTTTGCATGAACAGTTGAGGGACAGAGGAAGTGGAAAAACCCGGGGATAGATCAGGGGTCCTCAAAGTGGGCGGTACCGCCCCCTGGGGGGCAGTGAGATTACACAGTGGGGTGCTATGAGGCAAGGGGGTGCTAGAGGTGTAAATGACTATCAGACCTTGAAAAGCTGGTATCACTGGATCAATCCATTTTGCTGAATTAAAATAAATAGTTTTAATTGGATTTTGAATTAAATGTGCAACTAATCATTGCCGTTTTGAATTTTATTGTGTTATTTTCTTCCTTAGTGGTTAACATAAACTGTTATGTTCAATCAATCAATCAACCTTTATGGGCATACAGAGAAGACTGGAATATATGAATCGAAACATAAAATTGGCATCTGTTCACAGGAGGAAATGCTTTAAGTTTAAGATAAAACTATACAGGCCTAGTAAGGTTAAAAAGTACCACTCAGGTCTTATGACAACGTAGTTTCATGGCATGGGTAGGCAAACTAAGGGACAGGGGCCAGATCCGGCCCAATCGCCTTCTGAATCCGGCCTGCGGATGGTCTGGGAATCAGCATGTTTTTACATGAGTAGAATGTGTCCTTTTATTTAAAATGCATCTCTGGGTTATTTGTGGGGCCTGCTTGGTGTTTTTACATGAATAGAATGTGTGCTTTTATTTAAAATGCATCTCTGAGTTATTTGTGGGGCATAGGAATTCGTTCAAAAAATTTTTTTTCAAAATATAGTCCACCCTGCCCCCCTCCCACAAGGTCTGAGGGACAGTGGACTGGCCCCCTGCTGAAAAAGTTTGCTGACCCCTGTTTCATGGCGTTGCTCAGATATTCTGCTACTTCCTCCATATGATCATGCCGGCAGCTATTCAATAAAAAGGAAACCCTGTAGGAGTCAGAACAATTTACCTCTCCTTCAGCAGGGGGCTCAAACATTTGTGGCGGATTACTGCATAAAAGGGACAGTAGAACAAGACATGTGCAATGGTCTTGACCCATCCTACACTGCAAGGACAATACGTCTTTGAATATGGTATTTAGCATTATGCCGTCTGTTATACTAAATAATGTTTTTATAGGGTAGGGGGCACTGGGATGAGTTTATGGAAACGGGGGGGGGGGGGGGGTGGAGGCCCTAAAATGGTTGGGAACTTTTTTTTTATAAATGATATTTATTAAAGTTTCAAAGAAAAAAAAATTACATAAATTAAAAAAAGAAAAAAGGACAGAAATAAGAATAAAATAAAAATACAAAATACAGAAAAAAACTCTTAAAAAAACCAAAACACATCAATCTTTCCACCTTACATTCATTTCCTTGCTTCCCTGACCTCCTCGCACCTCCCTTTTTTGTATTCCAATTCAGTTAGTTAATTCAGCAATTTCTTTCCCTCTTTGTTTTTATCTTAATCCTTTAACTTAATATATTATAACTTTGGATTCTCACCTGTTAATAATCCATTTTTACATACACCTTTATAACATTGCTGCTTAAACCACTTAACTTCATTCTGACATCATTCTAACATTCATTAATTTTACAATATTTCTGTAAATAGTCTTTAAATTTCTTCCAACCTTCTTCCAAAAAAAATAAAATGCTTGGGAACCACTAGGCTACAAGCAGTGTTTGGGGCCACATGAGATGATTGGATTGAGCTCCTGGGATACCAATTATTCCTTCCTCAGTCTAAATTCCTCCTCAAACAAAAGGGGGAATAATCAACCATATTATCGTGTGTTACAACAACTTCACTCTCAGGTTTCTGCCATTCCTTTAAGTCCCATGACTCATTTCCCTCCAAAGAATGGCAGGTAGCCAACAAGCACGTTCTGCTCCAGCTCTGAAATTCTTTCAGTGGACACCTGCAGTTTAAAAGCAGCTAACAAAAGTGGTGCTCGACTCCAAGAAAAGGCACATGATAAATCATGAAGCCGGAAACAGCAATAATACAAAATGCTTTCATAAAAAAGGCACAATAAAGAGGAATTATTGTAAAAGGCAATCAAGAGTATTACACTGATCTTCCTTCGTGTTAGCTTAAAAAATTAGCCTGTAGCATTTTTAGCCACATTCCTGAGGCAAAAGGCAATGAATGGCCTTTGAGAAATCACCATGAGAAACAAATCCCTCTATAATCTCACAAAAAATTCCTAACAAAATAAGGACTGTTTCCTTTCTTCTCTCAAAAGCTTGCCTAGAAAGAATGATTACAGGCACATTTTAAAACTAGAAATAGGCAAGGAGGGCAAGGGAGAGGGTGGTGGAAAAATGATCCTAGAAGGCACAGAATGGCCTGCAAACCAAGTCAATGCAGTCCACCAGAAACTCAGTAAACCCACCCCACCCTGTCTCAGTAGCCTACCAAGGCTGTCTGTCAAATACCTGTCAGACACACTCTGCTGCAGAAAGACCTGGATTCAGGCTGGTGGGCTGTGAAGGCCTGCAGGAAGGAAACATCATGCTTGCTAGAATCTAATTCAACCCATGCATTCAAGATAGCTGCCTCCAGCTTCTGCTTTCCATTTTCACAACAGCGGAAGGCCCAGCTAGTTATGTAAACTAGAAATGCTTCATAATTATATTTCTGCTTTCTGACCTGACCTGAAGGGTGGAAAAAACATGCTTGCACAGCACTCTGCAACAAATTATTGGAGACAAGAAACTTTTCTTTTAAGGTGGGGAAATAAGGTGGAAATAAGTGAAAATCAGATTGGCTAAGAGACTGGCATCAATATCAAAAAGATTGGCCAGCAGGCCAGGAACATTTTGAAAAAAAATTCACAGACTGTCCTGATTAGCAAAACAATAATGCTTTTAAGCATTTTGAACAAGTGAAGCAGATAATTACTGTATTTGGGCAGAGTTTTGATTAGCCAGAATAGTTAGTCGGCAGACCAATGTTTGGCAGAGCCTCAGTTTTGCACAAAAGACAATTCCCAATTCATTACAGGACAGCAGCTTCTGAGTCTCTATTTGGCACCTGTCAGACCAGTGATACCAAATAAGCCTTCGTTCTCTTCCAGTGGAAAAAAGGGCTGCAGAAAGATGGATGCAAGAAATTTGGATGTACCATTGATAAGATACAAAGATTGCTGGCCTTTCCACAGTAGTCGTATCAACTGGGAAATTCCACTTGGACAGGCTGAAGTCATAATCATCCATGAAGCTGAGATAAAGAAAGCATTTCTAGCAACACAACTTACCAATGAAACTGGGTGAATAGCTGGTTCACACATTTCCCTCATAACAAGGGAGCGCAAATATTCAAACTCAATATAGAAAGAATGGAACTAACATAGGGGTGGATGTGGAGGTCAGGATAGGGGGGAAAGGCTGTGAATCCCTCTAATTAATTTATAAAGCTTGTTCGTGGCTTATCCGTAAAAAAAAGAAGTTACGTACATACAAGAAACAATAGATAGCACATCTAATAGCACTTTGATGTGCTGAGAGTGATTTCCCAGCTGGCACTTAGCAAAGAAGAAGTGTTACAGGCCTCCACTTCCTCCTCACCACACTCTCTCTCTCTTTTTTTTATAAGATATTTATTAAGATTTTCAAGATGTTACAAAAAAATAAAAATAGAAAAAGAAAAAAGAAAAATACAAAATAAAAATAATTAAAAACAACTCAATCTTTCCATTGCTTATTTTTCATTAGCTTGTTTCCCGGACCTCCTCACGCCTCCCTTTTTTGTATTCCAATTCAATTTGTTAGTTCAGCAAATCCTTCCCCTCTTTGTTTATCCTAATCTTTGATCTTAAAATATTATAACATTAGATCTTTGCCTACTAATAATCCATTTTTCATATTCCCTTATAGTATTGCAGCTAAAAACCACTTAGTTTCTATCCAACATCATTCTAACATTCATTAATTTTACAGTATTTCTGTAAATAGTCTTTAAATTTCTTCCAATCTTCTTCCACCGACTCTTCTCCCTGGTCTCGGATTCTGCCAGTCATTTCCGCCAGTTCCATATAGTTAATCACCTTCATCTGCCATTCTTCCAGAGTGGGTAGATCTTGTGTCTTCCAATACTTTGCAATGAGTATTCCTGCTGCTGTTGTGGCATACATAAAAAAAGTTCTATCCTTCTTTGGCACCAGTTGGCCGACTATGCCCAGGAGAAAGGCCTCTGGTTTCTTCAGGAAGGTATATTTAAATACCCTTTTCATTTCATTATAAATCATCTCCCAGAAAGCCTTAATCCTTGGGCACGTCCACCAATGGTCAAAGAATGTACCTTCGGTTTCTTTACATTTCCAACATTTATTATCGGGCAAATGATAGATTTTTGCAAGCTTGACTGGGGTCATGTACCACCTGTATATCATTTTCATAATATTCTCTCTTAAGGCATTACATGCCGTTAACTTCATACCTGTGGTCCATAACTGTTCCCAGTCAGCCATCATTATGTTATGTCCAACATCTTGTGCCCATTTAATCATAGCAGATTTCACCATTTCATCCTGAGTATTCCATTTCAACAGCAAGTTATACATCTTTGACAAAATCTTAGTTTTGGGTTCTAACAGTTCTGTTTCTAATTTTGATTTTTCCACCTGGAAGCCAATTTTCTTGTCCAAATTATATGCCTCCATTATCTGATAATAATGAAGCCAGTCTCGCACTTTGTTTTTTCATTTCTCAAAACTCTGCAGTTTCAATCTATCTCCATCTTGTTCCAAAATTTCCCAATATTTCGGCCATTTGGCCTCCATATTGAGCTTTTTCTGTGCTTTTGCTTCCATCGGTGACAGCCACCTTGGGGTTTTGTTTTCCAATAAATCCTTATATCTTATCCAGACATTAAACAATGCTTTCCTGACAATATGATTCTTAAATGCTTTATGTGCTTTGACCTTATCATACCACAGATATGCATGCCATCCAAATACATTGTTAAAACCTTCTAAATCCAAAATGTCTGTGTTTTCAAGAAGCAGCCACTCTTTCAACCAGCAAAAAGTTGCTGATTCATAATAAAGTTTAAAGTCTGGCAGGGCAAATCCACCTCTTTCCTTTGCATCTGTTAGTATTTTAAATTTTATTCTAGGCTTCTTGCCCTGCCAGACAAATCTAGAAATATCTCTCTGCCACTTCTTGAAACAGTCCATTTTGTCCACAATTTGCAATGTTTGAAACAAAAACAACATTCTAGGCAGTACATTCATTTTTATCGCAGCAATGCGACCCAGCAATGAAAGCTTCAAGTTTGACCAAATTTCTAAATCTTTTTTCACTTCGGCCCAGCATTTTTCATAGTTGTCTTTAAATAAATTCCCGTTTTTTGCTGTCATGTTAATCCCCAGGTATTTCACTTTCTTAACCACTGTTAAGCCTGTCTCATTCTGAAACCTCTCTCTCTCAATCGGTGTTAAATTTTTCTCTAAAACCTTAGTTTTTAACTTATTCAGTTTAAATCCTGCAACCTGACCAAATTCTTGAATCAGTTCTAAAACCCTTTTGGTACTAGATTCTGGCTCCTGTAACGTCAATACTAAGTCATCTGCAAATGCTCTCAATTTGTACTGTTTGGTTCCGACCCTCCTCACCACACTCTCATTCTCACTCTCACTCTCTGCTCTTCCCCTTTGGGCTTTGACAAGAAGCACCTGGGAATCACTAAATACTAGCAAGCACCATGAAACCTCAAACAGCCAGCCTGTGCAGAAGACAGATGACGAGAAGCTCAAGTCTCTCACAGAGGGCAATGTAGGATATTGTGGAGGTACTGTGGGATGATGGAAACTTACAATATTCAATAACCATCAACAGTAGTCCAACAGAAAGATTCAGGACATTCCTGGTCAAGACCAAGTCATTCAGGGGTGGGGGACTGTTGTTTTTTAAACTCACCATCACCATCTATTTTCATTATATGCACAGCACACTGCATCTATACCACAATTCATGTACAGTGGTATCTTGGTTCTCGAACTTAATCCGTTCTGGGAGTCTATTCGACTCCCACAACCGCTTGAAAAGCAAGGCACAGCTTCTGATTGGCTGCACTCAAGCGGAAGCCACATCAGACGTTCGGCTTCCAAAAAACATTCGCAAACTGGAACACTTACTTCCAGGTTTGAAGCATTCGGGAGCCAATTTGTTCGACAACTAAGCTGTTCCTGAACCAAGGTACCATTGTGTATATATATGTATATGCAGTGGTACCTCGGTTTATGAACTGAATCCGTTCTGGAAGTCCGTTCTTACACCGAAACCGTTCTTAAACCGAGGCGTGCTTTCCCTTATGAGGCCTCCCACCGCCAGTGCCCTTCCACCATGCAGATTCCATTCTTAGACCGAAGTACAGTTCACAAACTGGGACACTACTTCCAGTTTTGCAGAGTTCATAAACCGAATAGTTCGTAAACAGGGCTGTTCTTAAACTGTTGTACCACTGTACACACACGTACACACACGGATACACACACACACACACAAACAAAAGTGCAGAGAGTGTTTAGTTCATCTTTCCTGAACTGATGCCTTCCATATGTTTTGGATTATAATAGCCACCATCCCTGACCACTGGCCATACTGGCTACAACCAGTGTTGGAAACTCAGATATATAAGCTAATTGCCAAATGCCACCTTAAACTTAGGTTATGGTCACCACAATGGAATGTCTAGGCGCCCCCCCCCCATTGATGATGATGATGATTTTCATTTCTATACTACTTTATATTTTAAAGAAAAAACTCAAAGTGGTTTACAACACGTTAAAACATCAAATACAACAACCCAGAATAAAACAAATTCAAGCTTCAAGGAAATCAAGGGGTCAGCATGGAACTCTCGAGTAGCAATTTCTACCAACTTTGTGCACCAACCCAAAAAAAGCCTTTCTGTGTGTTCCTATCAGCCATGCCCCAGATGGGGGCAGGACACATACATTTAAAAGGGCCTCTTCTGATTACTTTAAAGTCCACGTATGATCAGAAGATGGTCAGCCGAAAATGTTATGGTTCTAGGTTTGTGCTGTTAGGTAGAGGTGGCACTCAGGGTCAAATACCTTGCACTGGGGGATGTATCTGCTTTGTCTCCATCGAATCCCAATGTTCACTTTGACTGCGGTGGTGACTGTTGCTAGTGCAGCACCATGCTGTACACGGAGCAAGCTCTCTCTCTCTCAAGCTCTCTCTCTCTCTCTCACACACACACACACACACAGCGCTGGCATTCACAATACCAACAGTTTAAGCATATCCAACCATGCTTTCTGAAAATAGCTGTGCTTGAGCAATGCCCTGCCTTCAGTTTGTGACAGAAAAAATGTCCATTCAGAATGAAAATGCATATTTTAAATTTAAATCCCTGCTCTAATTGTTACATCATCTCCTGAAAAGTGAAAGGAATTGTTCTTGCTTGATGTTCATACATACTGCCACTGTTTTGTCTGGATCACAAAAAATAACGAAGCGGCTGTGGGGGTTTTAAGCAGCTGTTTTCTCCTGAACAAAGCACTTCAATTAGCCTCTCAAGCCAAGCAATAAAGATACAAAATACATAATGATTTATGTGACTGGTTATTTCTCAAGAAAACTAATATGTAGACATTCCTTTCTATAGGTAGAGAGGACTGTGGCATAGAAAGACTATTTTTACAAAGTTTTATCTATTTCTCTTTGCACCCACCAAATCTCCAAAACTGAAGGCTTTATTCTAAACTACATTTTCCTCATCAGAAACAGACATTCCACTTTAGTGTGTTCAAAGCATTTCACATACATTATCTTGTAAACTTTGATTCATATTATTGCCCCCAAGATGCAGATTAGATAGCTAATGCTAGATATCGACAAGCTGGAAGATGTGCAGAGGATGACAACCAAGATGGTCAACAGTCTGGGAGCCAAGTCTTACAAGGAATGGTTGAGGGAGTTGGGAATGTTTAGCCTGGAAGAGAGGAGACTGAGAGGAGATATGATAGCCCTCTTCAGATATCTAAAGGGTTGCCACACAGAAGATGGGGCAACCTCTGGAGGGTAGGGCTCAAACTAATAGTTTCAAGCTATAGGAAAGAAGATACCGACTAAACATCAGGAAGAACTGTCTGACAGTAAGAGCTGTTTGACAGTGAAACAGACTCTCTCAGAAGGGGTGGACTCCCTTCATTGGAGGATTTTAAGCAATTGTTGGGTGGCCATCTGTCATGGGTGCTTTAGTTGAGGGTTGGACTAGATGACCCTTGGGGTCCCTTCCAACTTTACAATTCTATGATTCTATGACAGTGTAGTTTTTGCCTAAGGCCATTTAGTCAGTTCATGGCCATGTCACGTTTCAAATCAAGCCAGACACTATGCAACCCCACCCCTATTGACAATACACTTAAAACATTAACAATACACTTAAAATAGTTTTAAGATTTAGTCTGGATTCATTTATCTCAGGACACAGAAATACACTGACACTTCTAACTTCTTGATAATTTGGATTTTCATAACTTGTAGAGGGGAGAAACTTCCAAGTTATGAAAATTCAAATTTTCAAGTGGCAATATTTTCAAGACCAAAACTTCAGCATATAACCCATATAAATTCTCTAGCTGAACTTCTCTTACATTAGCTACAACTTTCAGCCGGTTAATGACTATCTTACCTCAAGACACCAGGGCAGATAGCAAAGTCTCTGTGGAACAGTTTTGCCTGTTTCCTACCAGCAGCTGCCAGCTGTAGTGATCATACTAGCACCACAAGCATCATGCAGAAGGATTTATATTCCATATATTGTATAACTGTACTTTATCCTATCAGAGTAAGCGCTTATACATTACACAACTGTTAAAAAATACCAAGACACACCACATGGTCACACGGTGTTACTACATGCCTCTGACATAACTAGAAACCTTGAGTAAATATTACAGTAGCAATCCCTTTAAACAGTACTTGGCTTCTGCAAACCAAGCTTAAAAAGGAAAATGCAGACTGCATCTGTAATCATCAGTTGTTCTACATACTGTGAAATATGTATGCAAAGCCCCTTGAAGGTGTGAAACCAAGTCCTTTAAAATCTGGATGCCCAGTTCTGAAAAACTATTGTCACCCTGACAAATTATTCTGGTTCACCCACTTCTATTATCAGTTACAGATATGTAGAGCAATCCATGAAGTTTACTGTTGAAAATATAGGTCATGAGAAAAAAATTAGTCATCAAGTTCCATAAGACATCGTTCTAACAATCTATCATGATATTGCAAAAAACATGTGGCGCAATTTGGCCACAACAAAAGCATAAGCACCGACTTTTGCAATTATGCCTCATCTGCCATAAGCTGGGATGCAATTTTCTGCCACAGTGGCAAAAGTTTGCTCAAGTTACAAGCTGTGCTAAAGAATCTGCTCCAAAATGCTATTAGAGAAAGGTAAAGTCACAGATGTGGGGAAACCTTTGCATGCACCCAACTGTTTCCCCACTCATTTCAGGAAATTCTCCATCATCATCATCATCATCATTATTATTATTATTATTATTATTATTATTATTATACCACCCTTCACCATAACATCTCAGGGCAGTTCACAGAATAAAATAGAGCATAAAAACAAGTAAATAAGTAAAACAAAACAGCAAAACAATAATCCGCCTTCCCACAGACACATTTAAAAGGCTGTAGAATATTTATCAGCAAGCAACTTAATAACTAATCTCATTTAGTAACATCAAGTATAATAACTATATATTTATGTAAAATATATAAATATAAAATAAAGTTATGACATAAGATTACTGTAGACAACTGGAAAATTGTGTGCAGTTCTGGTTGCCTCACCTAAAAAAGGGTATTGTATTGTTGGGAAAGGTTAACCACAAAGATCAAAGTTTGGGACTTTTTAGTTTAGAGAAAAGGTGACTAAGAGGTGACATCATAAAAGCTTAAAAAATTATGCTGCATGACATGGAGAAAGTAAATAGAGAAAAGCTGTTTTTCCCTCTCTCATAACACTAGAATTCATGGACCTCCAATGTAGCTGAATATTGGAAGATTCAATACCGTTAAAAGAAAATACTTCTTCATACAACGCACCTTTATAATATGGCACTTACTCCCACAAGAGGCAGGGGATGCCTTTAAAAGAGGATCCATGGAGAACAAGGCTATCAATGGCTACTAATTTTCTGGGTGGATCAGACAAAGGCATTCTCTCCAATATTATCATACAAGTCAATGAGTTTGTATTTGGTCTTCTCAGTAAGGTAAAGGGACCCCTGATCATTAGGTCCAGTCACGGACGACTCTGGGGTTGTGGCACTCATCTCGCTTTACTGGCCGAGGGAGCCGGCGTACAGCTTCTGGGTCATGTGGCCAGCATGACTAAGCTGCTTCTGGCGAACCACAGCAGCGCACGGAAATCACCGTTTACCTTCCCGCCGGAGTGGTACCTATTTATCTACTTGCACTGTGTGCTTTCGAACTGCTAGGTTGGCAGGAGAAGGGACTGAGCAACAGGAGCTCCCCCCATCACGGGGATTCAAACCGCTGACCTTCCAATCGTCAAGCCCTAGGCTCTGTGGTTAACCCACAGCACCACCCGCGTCCCTGGTCTTCTCAGTAGTGGTGGTTAAATATGGAGAAGCAATGTATGAAGATAAATACTCTATGTGCAGAAGAAAAAGTAGCACATCAGATAATTCTGCTAGCCTTTCCATAATCCCTACTCGCCACTATGGGTGTGTTCTGCCGCCACAGTCGGGGGCAGAATGTTTCTGAAGTCCAGTTACTGGAAACTGCAGGAGTGGTCTTCCCATGGGCATCTGGTTGGCCACTGTGAGAACAGGATGCTGGACTAGATGGGCCATTGGCCGAATCCATCAGGCTCTTGTTATGTTCTTAAGAGTATGGGGAAATACCAGGTTTTAGCTTTACTAAGTGACCTTGGGGAACCTAGTATCTTTCAGTGCAATCAGCTTGGTGTGAGGAAGATTGATACAAGCAGGCAGGCAGGCAAACATGGGGCTGAGCCTCTCAACTCCTTGAAGGGACAAGATCTAAGTATTAGCTTTGCTTGAGATTCATAAATATAACAAATGGACAAAACACATGACTGTGCTGTGTGCCTGAGGGGTCTTTTAAAAAGGCTGATAGTGTAGCCTCTTTGCTTGTACAATTCCATTTGGTTATAATTTCATAAATAATCATTTATGGCATATAGTTCGGAAGCACTAATATGGTTTGTAGACAATTCATAATTCAGGCTATTGTGGTAATAGAAAAAGACAGCACAGAATACAGTTTTCCCCTCACAAAACACCCACAACCTTAACTTGCAATTGCTCTCTAAAAAAAATAAATGCTCAAACCCGGACATTTCGATGCAAAAAAATACAAATCAAGAGCGCCATCTAGCTTCCACTTGTAGTGCCCATTAAGCTACTGGAAGGCAGGCAGGCAAATACACAGGCACACACACACAACACACACACAAAGTGGCCATCAGAATTGAGAAGCAAACACACTTCCATCACTCACAGAAAGATCTGTTCTCTTACTATTTTATTTTATTTAACATATACTTCCTTGCATTGAAAGATCACAGGGCAGTTCACAAGATAAATATCTCACTAACTATTTGCATTTAATATTTTTAAAAAATAAATATAATTATTTAAAAACCAGAAGTGTCTTTCTGGCACAAATATACTTTGTAAATATTAGTGCAAATACCCCACAGAAACACTCCCAAATTCATTCTCACAAAGGACATGTGAGGAAGCAAGCATCTCTCCTCTTCTGACAAGTTTTCCAACACACACTACTGTATATATAACACCTTTCAATCATTTCATGTGTTTGGGGTATGAAAGATATAGAGGTGAAAGAAATTAGGGTTTTTTTAACAAAAACTGATTTGAGGATTTCACCTCTCACCAAAGGTGGGGCAGTTCCACAAAAAGTACAGGACAAAACTTACAGTTATATTGTTTCTGCAAAGAGAAAAAACTTTTTTTTATAAAACTTCTTTTAGTGTGTTAGTTTACACAACTCTTACAGGATAAACTCACTGAGAAGACAGATAGTAATATGAAATCCAGAACACAAGGAGAAAGAATACACAACAAAAAAAGTATTAACATTTTAAAGAAACTATATAAAAATGCAATCCTCAAACTACTGTCCTCTACTTCAGTGATGTTAGCCACCTGAGAATCATAGCTATACTCTTAAAAAGGATGTGGGAGATTTTAGTCTTATTGTACACATATTTTAGTTCTTGAACAAAGTCCAGTGTTCATAATTCATTTGGATGGGTAAAATACACCAAGATAATTAGAGCTCATGTCTCCCCATATCAATGTTTCCAGATGAATTTAATTCACTGTGGATTCCATATTCTCCTTGAGTGTGCAATTATACAGGACCTACACCATAATTAATGCAAATTACAAGCCATGCAGATTTAATTGCTGATTTCAGAAGAATGGCATCCTTGTAAAGGATTTTCTTTCTAATGTTAGGAAAGATATGAATATGCAAATAATCAGCATTTCAGAACTTGCTCCTTCTGCCCCCAAACACCCAAAAATAATATCCACTCACCACAAATTTGGGACTATATAAACATGATTTGCATTGGATTTAGTACAGCACTGCAAGTGATATATCGGCGCACAAGAAGTGCTCACATCAGCTCATTGCCATGTACTTGCAGGGCATCTGGAGAACCTGGCCAGAGTATGGGAAAGCAACTAATGGCAAGGCAGCTCTATTGGAAGGGAATACATTTTGCCTTCCATGTTTCTTTTTTTATACCTTTGTTACATTTATATCCTACCTTTCCTCTAAGGACCTCAAAGTAGCACGCTTGGTTCCTCCCTCTCCATTTCACCCTCTCCGTTTCATCCTCATAGCAGCCATACAAGGCAGCTGATGCTGAGAGATAGTATCTCTGGACCAGTCAAGTTTTAAGGCTGAGGGAGTATTTGAAGTCAGGGCTCCCCAGTCCAAGTCCAACGCTCCAACCACTACACAATACCACTAGTTATTTCCTTAATAATTAAAAATACTGATATACTGATCACAATCCTCAGGTAAGACATTTGATAAATCACCAAGACCTCTCATTAATCTTAAAACAAGACCCCACCATATACATCATTTCAGTATGCAAAGACAGAGGTGATATTTCCTAACTTGCAAGTGCATTTTTTAAATATAGAATTGTAGAGTTGGAAGGCACCCCAAGGGTCATCTAGCTCAACCCCCTGCAATGCAGGAATTGTTTCCTTATTTATTCATTTCCAACATTTTCTTCTTCTTTGGGCTAAGCAGCAGTGTTCTACACATATGCACACGTACCGACATCCAATTTCACTGGTTTCTTCTAACACTTGACTCAGTGTTTGTTTAGCCTTAAGCAGTCCCTTTACAACGCCTCCAGCAACTATGTTCAATGGTTTGGCTTCAGATGAAAAGCCACAATGCCAGAGCCCACAGCTCTAAAATGTGGATTTCCATCCTGGTCTTTCACAACAGGGCTTGTCGATAACCACTCAGCTGACCTTACCCAGGGCAGGCAAAGTGTTTCTACAAGATCATATAGGAAAACTTTCCTCATGCCTTCCTCCACCCTTATAGACATCAATTAAACATAAAAGACTGGGAGCCCTTCTTGTCTAGCATTTTGCTTTCTGTGGTGGCCAGCCAGGTCCAATGGGCTCCAATGGGAAGCCCACAAGGAGGACATAAGCACAGTAGCCTTCTCTCACTGCTGTTGCCCTGGTGGTAGGATACAGCCATTATGACCGGTAGCTATTGATAGTCTTACCTTCTATGAATTTGTCTAATCCCTTTTAAAGTGAACTAAGGTGACCGCCATCATTAAGACAAATATGTTTGGGCAAGTGGGCAAGTAAACATTTTGTGTAGGCAAATAACTTTTGTGGAATCATTTGCCAGGTTCTTCTGAACAACAACTCCACAGGACTATCCGTCAAGAACAAGTTTACTGCTCTTCAGTGGTATAGCTAACCTGAATAGCAACTCCTTTCACATTGGCCTGGCATAGACAGCAGTAATTCCAAACCCATCCCTTCTTGCCGTTATGCACTGGCTTCACCACAAATCTGTGCATTAGGCCAGAATTACATGTTGCATCTGAACACGGGGGCTGTGTTTTAATGTCAGTTAATAAACCAGGAAAATGAACCAGGGAAGGAGAACTCAGCTTCAACGTTTATTTATGATTTCATAAACTATGGCTTGGGAAGGCTCAAACAATAATCCAAACTGGACCATGGATGGTGCATGTTTTAATTTCTTCTACAGAGTGAATGTCTGGATTTGTTCACTAAAGTTGCATTTTTTTAAAAAAAAACAACAACGTCAGGGTGATACAGGGTGGAAAATATTCCATTGTTATATTTTTCATGGAAAGTTTTCATAAAAAAGAATGAAAAAGAAGCTATCTTAATATTTTTGGATGCTGAGAAGGTGTTCGACAATGTCCCTTGGGTATTTATGAAGAGAATTATGGAAATTATGGACTTTGGGATAGCATTTATCAAAGGGATTGAAGGGTATATGGAACAAAGGGTGAAAATGTTAATCAATGGAACAATGACAGAGAGATGCAGTATTGTTTTAAAGATATTTTCAATATGTTTTCATTGCTTTGTTGCTTTATCCCTTGTTGTTTGCTACCCGGAGCTCCTCTGGGTATATAAAAGTATTAAACGAACAAGGAAACATCTGTTCCAATTTATATAGCACTCTGCACACCCGAAAGTGTTTCATGTGAATTATATTGCTTCAATCCTTACAATAACCCTGTAATGTAGGTTAAATTTATATGCCCTATTATAGATGGGGAGGGGCTGAGGCTGAAAGAGCATGGCCTGTCAAATGCTGCCTGTGAGCTCACAACTGTGAGATTCAAGCAAGTCTCCTGACCATTCTTGTAGTTCTCCACTTAAACTAATTGCCCCTCAGGAAAGGGATGTCTGAAATTCGCCCAGACACCCCATTGTTTCTGTTCAATTATACAGGCTCATAAGATTCTTCATAGCCTGGAGACATTACTTCGTCATACAAGAAATGAGTAATTTGGAATGTGATCTGTGAAACTGTCATTTACAATACTAGCTTTTCATGAAAAATGCAACTGATGAAGTTGTTTGTTCTACAGGAAAGCTTATGCCATAACCGGGACATCTCGTAAAACGGGAATGTGTCTCTCCCTACCCCGCCCTGCCCCACCCTCACTTTCACTGCCAGCAAAAGCCAGGGTGCTCTGCCCTGGGGCAGAGAAGATGAGCGGCAATGCCATATGATGGAACATCACCCTCCCACTGGGGGGGGGCCTGTTCTGGCTGCAGAAGCAGTGGGGCAAGCAGGGTGCTGCCTCTTGTGCTTTCGCTGCCTGGTGCTCTAACCTCCTTTTAAAGACACCTTTAAAAGGTGATTAGACCCAACTCCGCAAGTGGCAGAAAAAGACTATATTCATTTATCTTCTCACACAGAAAGCCATGAATAAATTCCAAATTCCTGCATTTCCCCACCTCAGAAGGAGGATGGAGAATTCCCAATATTCATTTTAGAAGATGAAACGAAAGAATGGGTGTACATAGAATTAGATATACAGTGGTGCCCCGCAAGACGAATGCCTCGCAAGACGGAAAAACCGCTAGACGAAAGGGTTTTCCGTTTTGAAGTTGCTTCGCAGGACGAATTCCCCTATGGGCTTGCTTCGCAAGACGAAAATACCTTGCGAGTCTTGAGATTTTTTTCGCTTTTCCCCCTTTATCTAATCTGCTAAGCCTTTAATAGCCTTTAATAGCCTTTTAGCAGCTAATCCCTAAGCCTTTAAGCCTTTAATAGCCGCTAAACCGCTAATAGCGCTATTAGCGCTAATCCGTCAATGGGCTTGCTTCGCAAGACGAAAAAACCGCTAGACGAAGACTCTCGCGGAACGGATTAATTTCGTCTTGCGAGGCACCACTGTAATCAGAAACACCCTCACCTCATTGTACCCATTTCTAAACCCTCACAACACAAAACAGATCCACACAGACCATGCTTAAAGCATGGAAAGAAAAAATAGGAATACTGTCCCAGCCCTGTCCCCCTCTAATCGCCCAGTTTACCACCTACTGTTCCACCATGCATCCCAAAGCTTTCAAATAAAGCTTTGGCAAGCCAAAGGTCTACACCACCTACAAAATGGCAACCCCATACTGATACAAGAAATACAAGACAAAGTAGGGAACACCCAAATACCCTGACTGACCCAACAACTACATGCCTTCTTAAACAACCCAGCAACAAAGGCAACTGCCACTAGGCCCTTGTCTAACTTTGAAAAACTCCTACTATCAACAGAGGGACACAGCAAAGGGACGGTATCAGCAATATACAAAGCACTACTCCAAGACACTACACTCCTTACTGCAATGGGAATACGACACAATATACAAAATAAACTCAACCCAATGGTCAAAACTATGGACTAAATTGCCCTTCAAATCCCTCAGCCAAGAAGAGGGAACTCATTTTGAAACAAATTTACAGGTGGTACCTAATACCACAGAAACTGGCAATGATACACCCAGGAACTTCATCTAGTTGTTGGAGAGGCTGCACCACCATAGGTACATACCTCCATATGTGGTGCAATTGCCTCCAAATTCAATCCCTTTGGATAGCAGTCTTATAATAAATCTGCAACTCCAGAACTGGCTCTACAAAATATCTTCCAAGACAACAATGCACACTCCCATGATAAATAACTCATAAGCCACTTACTCTCAGAAGTTAGGAGTGTCATAACCAAACACTGGAGGGACCTATCATAAGTGAACATGGGCCACTGGTACCAAACTGTATGGGAAACCGTCATATTCGAAAAGCTAACTAACAAACTGAAATTAGCATGGGGCAAAACAAAGAATGCTTTCACCCGGTGTGGTTCCCCTTTATTGCATATATAGGCCAACAGGATAAAGACCAACCTCCCCTAACAGCATGTGAATTGATATGGCTGGTTTAACCCAGCAACACACCCACCACACTGCAACCAACCAAATGTCCTGGGCCCTCTAGCCTCTCCCTTCACCAGCAAAAATAAGATACGTACTCACGTGATGCTGACACCAAAGCTCTGCTCATATACTATGCCAAAGAATGAAAGTTTACTCTGTGTCCCCCACTCTATTTCCTCCCCTCTCTCTCCCCACTTCACTCCCCCCATGCCATATTGCCTATAACAATAATGTCTCACATAACAGACCTGTATGAAGGACTAAACTATTATTAAACAGAGACGTGTTATGTACCTTTGTTACTCAAGAAAAACCAGTTAATAAAAACATATTCTTAAAAAGGAGATATAGGAGAACAGATGCTTAAATGACACCTCTGTGTTGCTGGGGAGCAGCAATGAATGAAGCCCTGCTTGTGGGTTTTCTCAATGGCTATGAATGATCCCTGTAAGAAGCAAGATGCTGGACAAGATGGGAGTTTTGGCCTGAATCAGAAGAGCTCCGCTTACGCCCATTGCAATATAGAGTGACACAGCAAAACTGCTGGCATGTCATTTCTGTGTGCAGAGGTCAAGCTGAAAGGGAAGTTACTTTGATGAAGGGTGGAGAAAGGAAGCAAGTGCTTCAGGACAGAGCAGAGAGGATAAGGGTTACCATGGATGCCTGGGGATATAGCAACCCTTCAAGAACTGCTCAAGAACGTGCTGGAAAGGACATACCCACCAGCAGTCAATAGCAGACTACCTCTTACAAGTCTATCAGGACTGCTCCTTACGTTAGGCATTAGCAATTCTGGGTTTCTTGTTAAGTGAATGTGGGCACGGAGCTATGTATATATGGCAATAATAATTAATTGTATTATTTATATCCCGCCCATCTGGCTGGGTTTCCCAGCTATGTGCTCATCACATACCAGGGGTCAGCAAACTTTTTCAGCAGGGGGCCAGTCCACTGTCCCTCAGACCTTGTGGGGGGCCAGACTATATTTTTTTGGGGGGGGATGAATGAATTCCTATGCCCCACAAATAACCCAGAGATGCATTTTAAATAAAAGCACACATTCTACTCATGTAAAAACACGCTGATTCCCGGACTGTCTGCGGACCGGATTTAGAAGGCGATTGGGCCAGATCCGGGCCCCGGGCCTTAGTTTGCCTACCCATGACATAATCACATGTTCTTTTCTATGTGCACATCTTAAATATTTGTGAAGCAGGCTTCAGGGCTCCACTAGACATTCAGTAGCAAACAGAAATAAAAAGGAGGGGGCAGGGTGCTTTTCTGGGGGAGAAATGGCAGTCAGTGGCTGTTTAACCCAAATCTGCAAGGTTGGGCTTTCAGGTTGACTAGAGGAAAGGGCAGGGCAGGGGAAGGGCGTCCTCCTTCCTGCCCTTCCCTGCAAACCTGCCTCACCAATGGTCCCTTCGTTGCACCTTAAAAACAAAACACTGGATTGGGAATTCTTCATTTGCAACCACATGTCAAGTTTTAGCTTCAGGGTAATGCTGAACCTTATGCACTAGTACAAAAGGAGAGGGAAAAGAGAATCAGAATGTTTTGAGAGAATCCATTACAGGTTATGTCTTATTTGTGGATATTCCAGACTAACTCTGATAACTCTGAAGGAGGAGGAATGGCACCCAGGGGAGTATATTTCAGGTAGTGAATTGCAGGGTACTTTGAGTATTCGCAGCTTAAAGACTTCCCATGCAGAGTCTCAAATCACACAAAGAGCTGGTTTTCTAGGCTCCAATCATGTGCTGAACTGTACCATAGCTCCAATTCCCTGTGACTGTGGGAGTGCAGTCCTGCTCAGCTCCTGTGCATGATCAGAGTCTACAGAGCTAATCGGAACCAGAAGAGTGGACATTTTTACAGCAAACAAGGTCATCTGTTTCATGCTGCAGGAAAAGATGAGATAGCTGGCTCTGTTGCCAAGATAAAAGGTTTGATCTCATCAAGAGAGATAATGCAAAGCCAGAAAACAGCACATTCCACAGAGCATGAGATAAATATGCCCTACTCCAGATATAAATCATACCATTGATAATAACTACTTAGTTTGTTTGTACTGTATGGCACATTCACAAAGAATGGTGCTTTCCAAAGTATTTCAGGATGGGTCTCTACCCCAAGAGGCATACAATGTATAATTTAACACAATGGAGTCAACTGAGGAAGGAGAAGGCAATGTCCAAATCGGAGCAATTTCCTGGCAAGGGAGATAGCATTTTATGGACAATTATAACTCCCCCCCCCCCCCGCCCCAGAGTGGTGTTGTACCAGGTGACCATATGGCCGCCCAACTCACCTACCTAAGTCTCTGTTACGCATACCAAGCCACCCCCTTCACCCATAATCAAATCAGACCTGACATTTAATAGCAACACCATCAGACCAGGAGGATGGGGTTGGCTAACCAGTATCCTTAGATTCTGAAATACGGCAGACAGAGAGCAAGGGCTGTGATATAACTAGCCCTCCTCGTTGTCTCTGCATAACTTTGCCCAGCTTCAAACCACCCCCTGCCCAGTACCACAGAGATGGCAGCCTCATTCCCCTCCTCCGTCTCTGACCCAGACACATACAGTGCTACCTCTGGTTAAGAACTTAATTCGTTCCGGAGGTCCATTCTTAACCTCAAACTGTTCTTAACCTGAAGCACCACTTTAGCTAATGGGACCTCCTGCTGCCGCTGCGTGATTTCTGTTCTCATCCTGAAGCAAAGTTCTTAACCCGAGGTACTATTTCTGGGTTTGCGGAGGTGCCACTGTACTGCTATTAACCCACCTCTAATCATAATAGTAGAATGTAGAGAAATAAATAAAAGAGATCAATCCAATCATTCCAGTCAGAAACCACTCCATCTCTCACCTGGGGCACTCACTCAGGGGGGCAATTTGCTTCAGTTATTTGCACTTAAGCCTACTCATATGGGAAGCGGGTGGTGCTATGGTCTAAACCACAGAGCCTAGGGCTTGCCGATCAGAAGGTCAGCAGTTCAAATCCCTGTGACGGCGTGAGCTCCTGTTGCTCAGTCCCTGCTCCTGCCAACCTAGCAGTTTGAAAGCACGTCAAAAGTGCAAGTAGATTAATAGGTACCGCTCCGGCGGGAAGGTAAACAGCATTTCCGTGTGCTGCTCTGGTTCACTAGAAGTGGCTTAGTCATGCTGGCCACATGACCTGGAAGCTGTCTGCGGACAAACGCGGGCTCCCTCGGCAGGAAAGCGAGATGAGCGCCGCAACCCCAGAGTCGTCCATGACTGGACTTAATGGTCAGGGGTACCTTTACCTTTACCTAAGCCTACTCATAATTACTATAGCAGGAAGTTCTAGGAAAAAACTGCTTGCTACAACTATGGATTGGATAAGAATGCTCCAAGTTGAATGCGGACATTGTTAATGCAATCACTGTGTTTGGAACAAAAGGATTATGAACAACTTTTGAATCCCACAGGTTAATGGCACCTCTTACCACATGTATGAACAGATATGAGAAACTGCTAAGGAAATTGAGAAAAAGGAGAAAAATTTAAAGCAGGGCAGGGCAAAACCTAACATTCAAGCAAGTTCAAGAGACTCCGGATTTGCAAGTGCCTATCAGAAACATTTAAAAGAACAAAACAAAAATCAGATTTCATTATTGATTTTGTTATGGTTCTAATAAAGCAATCTGCTGTGCAAGATAATTGTGAGCCTTGCCACAATCCTAGCAATTAGCTGACCAATTATATTAATCCTAACAGCAGGCATAACACTTCTGTCCCCCTTCCCATTCATGTTCTGCCATGTTCAAGGTACAGTGTCAAAAAGAAGTGCTATTTCACTACTGCAGGGCCAACATAACTGTAAGTGAACTTGCTGGCACACTAGAAAATGGTTTTCAAGAATAGCCTTCACTCCACAACTAAATCCATCTTCCCCAACCAGGTGCCCTCCCATCAGTTTTTGCCAGCAAGCATAGCTGTATGGTGATGGAGTGCTAGGCATTGTAGTCTAAAATATCTAGAAGGTAGCAGGTTGGGGAAAGCTGAACTAAATCAACACAAAATTATTTTATTGGACCAAGTTTGCAGAAATGCAAGTCGCAATTTGTGACCAACTAATTATTATAATGAGCTATAACTTCCTTTTACCAATAAAACAAATGATAAGGAAAAAAACAACAACCAGAGACCCATGTTTGGGACTTAGAGTACCAACTCTGACAATACATACATTTTTTTACCCAAACAAATGAGTGTTGTTGTTTTTTTACACTTGATCACTATAAAATATGTACTACTACCATACTGAATATTCTTCACCAAAGTTAGTATAAGAATCATGTCTCATGAGTTGCTTGGTAACACAGTTGTTAGCTCCCCAAAACAGAATACACAGCAGGCAAGGCAATCTGGTTCACAGGTTCAAAGTTTATAAATGTGGAGGTATCAAGCTTCAGGCGACATGGATCTCTTTTAGCAGGCAAGATGTAATTACTATTTTTCAATTATATTAAAATTGGGGATGTCAGAACTTAATTACAAATTCACTAATCAGTTACTTCCACATATGTATTTTGTTCTAACAGCAAAATTAGGGTAAACAGCTATGAATCTTTTTAATAAAATTTGTTACTGACATGAGGATTTAGAAAAAAGGATAATAAATGATTAATAAATTTAAGCTTTGATCCTGTACCAGTTTGCCTGGAAGTACCGTAAGCCCCACTGAAATGAATGTGGATTCTTCTGACTACACTGCTAATGTTTTAGTAAACACGTCAAGTTTGTTCTAAGAATTTCAGTGATGTACTCTGTCAGTGAATTAGAGTGGCCCAATTCTTAACTAATACTGAACCAAACCACCACTACACATGAATGTGCAAGCATGCAGGTGCTCAAGAGGTAAACTGGTAGCCACTTCCTTTCCCCCGATCCTCTTGATAGCCACACTACCAGGAGCTAAGTCATGCTTGCATTACATCCCAACCCAGGCTCCAGAGAAACCAGGCTCACTCCAGAGAAACCATGAGCTGCAGCCAAGGTTGCCCTTGGCTTACTGCTTCTGCTTTGCTTGCAGTGAGACAACTCATGACCCCGACCCATGCACCCAGGGGGTGGGTCAGAATCCAGACATAATGCATAGCCAACCTCTGGCTTAGCTTAAGGTAGTGCAGGAGGAGCAGGAGAGGGAGTGGAGCAGCACTAGCTTTCCTCCAAGTAGTCACACACTAATGCATTCATGCCCAGCCATGGTTTGGCTTAGCGTGGCATGCAAACTACCTCAGTGAATCCTCTTATGTATAAAACACACCCTGTTTACTTGCACAGCGGCTCTTCTTCACATCACACTGTTAAGAGAAGGTTGCCTGGGGTGGTGGAGCATCCTACAAGGTAGCACTCTATTTGTGGAGTGCCCTTCCTCTATAAGTACATTCAGTGCTGACACCACGTCATTTTTGACAACAAGTAAAGACATATCTGTTCCCTTAGGCTTTTTAGGTGTTCAATGACTGGTTGTTTTAGTCTTCGCTGTTAAGCAGTTTGCAGTTATTTCGTTTGCCATTGTTTCTAACAATGTTTTGTTGGTTTCACTAACCTTTTTTGAATCACTATTTTATGTTGAACCCCACCCTGGTACTGTACTGATGAAGAAGGCTGGGTTATGAAAGCATTGAAAGAAATAAATTTGTCTGATGCTTCCCACAGTTACAGGGAGAAGTTAGTTATCCCCCTCTTTGAGGAGACCCACCATCTGTAGTGCCTCCAACAGTGATTTTCTGTCCATTCAACAAATTACTAACTGTCACAACAGTGTTCAGAAAAAAACCAATTCCAACTATAATTAGTACAACAGATGCATTGTTCCAAGCCTTAAAAAGTTATTGAATGATCGGTGAAAGTCAGAGTGATTCAATATAAAAAAGCAAACAGGCAAAGAGCTATCTTCTAAAAATAAAATTATGGTGCCGACATTGTATATGATCATAACATTTACACCTAAAGCTAAATATACGTTTACTAATAGAGGGGGCTACAAATGAAGGACCTTTAACACAAGTTTCAAGCACCACATTGGGAGCCAGGCCAGCAGTTGTCTACACCAAGCTTAGCTGAAGCTTAAAGGTAAAGGGGCCAGTCTTGACAGACTCTAGGGTTGTGCGCTCATCTCACTCTATAGGCCGGGAGCCAGCGCTGTCCGCAGACACTTCCGGGTCACGTGGCCAGCGTGACAAGCTGCATCTGGCGAGCCAGCGCAGCACACGGAACGCCGTTTAACTTCCCGCTGGTAAGCGGTCCCTATTTATCTACTTGCACCCGGAGGTGCTTTCGAACTGCTAGGTTGGCAGGCGTTGGGACCGAACGACGGGAGCGCACCTCACCACGGGGATTCGAACCGCCAACCATGCGATCGGCAAGTCCTAGGCGCTGAGGTTTTACCCACAGCGCCACCCGCGTCCCTGTCAGCTGAAGCTTAACCAACAGAAATATGGTGCAAAAAGCCATTACATAGCTGTAGCAAGTAGTTTAGAACCATGAGAGACAATGTTGGCAGAAAGCGCCCACTACCCAAAACCCATCTGACAGACCCACATAGCTGGGTTTCCACCAAATCTGAATGCCTTCTGAAGCTTCTTGTCCTTTCCACACTCAATGCCCTTTCCATATCTCACATAGCCTTTCCTGAACCATCCAAGCTTCTCCATTGCCATGACACTCCCCAACTCAATTTTGTTCACTCCCCAACTCAATTTTGTTCCAATACCTGACTAGTCCCCATCATGATAATCTATTGTAGATTAGAAGCCTCTGAGCAGGAATAATTGTCACTTAGGCACTTTATACAACACCTGGCACATTAAATCAGCATTCAGAAGCAGTAATGGTACTGATGAGGCCACAATCTGCATGAACAATTAAAAACATGTCCCATAATCCTATGAGAACCAACTAACATGCTGAAACAGAAAGAGTTACCTGCATATAAAGAGCTTAAGAACATTTTTGGCAGATCCCACAAAAACCCTTACTAAGCATCCTCCACAAAGTCTGATCCAGTGGGCTCTTGTACAGCTTTTGTTCAACTTTAGCTATAGCTGTAGTAATATCTCATTTTTTCCCCCTAGACCAAATATGGCTTCACCTATCTATAAGCCATTGGCTTTGTGCTTTACCATCTTTCTTGAAACAGCAGCCGTAACATAGATGTATCCAGTCTGAAAACTTTTCCTACAGTCCTGATTCTGTAGCATGGAGGTTTGACAAGGAACACAATACATTTTTGAACGCAGGTCAGAGGCACTGAGCCATTAAAGAATGATTATGCAAGCTGGTCCTTGGATGAAGGATAACAGCTTGCTTACCAAAAAAAACCAACAACACACACATGCTATTTTCTTATTATACAACTTGGACAGAGGCCTAATGTCTTTTTGCTAAAATATGCTTGTCATGAAATACTTAACAGGGCAAATGAAGGAATTTCAGCTTCAGTAAGTTCAGACAGAGGGGGCAACCATCATTAGACAAAGTAGGGCAGCAGATTTTGGGTATCACTGAGGGCAGCAGTGGGCAGGGATAGGTCTGACATATACAGTCCAACCTACTTAGATGTTTTGCTGAACAAAAGCTAATATGAATGCACAACAAAAATTCTACCGTCTCCTTGCTCATTTCAACAAGGCTTATACAGGCAACCTTTCTAAGGGAGGGTATCCTAATGTTAAGCAGGCGGGGTGTCATTTGGATTTTTTAAACTCAGGCACGAAAATGTCTTGTGCTAGCAGAGGATGTCAATTTCTATATCGTTTTTTGGCTATTAATTACTGCCACAGCTGGAATTCGTCATATTGGGTTTAGCAGCCTGCCTGCTCATGAGACAAGGAGGAAGCATTTCAGTAGAAGTATCCTACTGCATGACATTTTATTTGCCAAAGCACTAGGTATGGCAGTGACGTTAACACATATTTTATTCCAAAACACGTGAGGAAGAACTTTATGAGCGACAAACTTCTGACAGACATCAAAAATATTTTAAAGTGTTTCTCTGTGCTCAAATGTTACAATATCTGTGTTTATGCTTCTGAATATATTCAAGTTTTTCAGCGGAGAAACAATGAGAGTGGAGCAAAGCAAGAATAACTGATCAATGTAAATCTCTCTTTGGCAGAATCAAGCTAGTGTGATTTATAACCAAGCTAGGGTAATTTATAACTATCCTTTCTTCAACCAAACTGCATTCTAATCAAATTGCCTACAAATTGCTTATAACAAACCTATCCTACTGCTATTAGAAAGTCTGGAGCTACAGTACAGATTATTTAATGAAAGTATGTTGCCCAAACTATTAAGAATTTCTCACATGTATAATGCTTGAACTCCAGTAGCCTGCCAATACTTGATCTCGCATAGTGACACATGAGCTTTCATCCCCAAATCCTAAACTCTTTATACATCAGTACAGCAATACGTATTCCAGCAACAACTGAAAAGCAGACATTTCAGCTGTCATCTGAAAAACAGTTAAATGATTTGAAGCACACAGTCTTTCCTGCAAAGGTTATCCATTCCATAGACCGACACATAACATTTTTCTCCACATTTATCTTCACCAAGACAGCAGGATACAACTCTATATAGGTAAGGTTTTTTTTAATGTTTAACATTTTATTATGTTTTTATATACATTGGAAGTCACCCAGAGTGGCTGGGGGAACCCAGTCAGATGGGTCGGGTATAAATAATAAAAGTATTATTATTATTGACTAGGACGTCCCTAGGAGGAGGGTATGCAGTTATACATGTTAACTCCTGCTATATACTATCTGCATGCATCTTAAGAAATTAGTGACTCCAGCTGGAATAAACTACTTTCAGTTAGATACCCCATCCTCAGTGGTTACTAATAGATTTAGATGACTGATCACATTCAGTTGGTGGATCAAAGACAGAGAACTAATCACTAAGCTATCAGAGAAGCAATAGCTTTCACATGACACTGAAGGTTGTATCTAATCATTACAACAACCTTCAACGAGAAGACAGGTTGAACAAACGCCAAGGGGAAAAATAAATGCCAGATAAATTCTTTTAAAAATGGTAATAATCTTTATTAGATTTATCAGAACCCACCAGTGAGCTGCAGAAGCCAAGCATAGTGACTCACCAAGTTTCCAGAAATGGATATTGGGAGGAGAAGAGGCAATCAGCCTCAGGTATTGTTTGAAGGTCGGTTGGTTTAATTTATAACATTTTAATTTAATCCTTTCCCCAGGGTAGCATACATTGCCCCTCACACTATCTGATTCTCACAAGACCCCTGTATAGAAGACAAGGAAAACGTTGACTGGCCCAAGGTCATCCAGGGAGCTCCACGGCTGAGTGAGACCTTGAATCTCCCTGGTCTGACACTGTCACCACATTAACAATACATTTTCTAAAAGTAAAGGAAGTCCACAACTTATGTGGGAGTTACCTCCCAGGATTTCAGGCAGCAGTCTTTCCCAGCCCTACCACTGAGCTACGCCCCCTTTTATAGAAGGGCATGACATCTCTCCTGGTAATAAACATTTGAATCTATGATGCTCAGAACAAGAATGTGAACCAGTAGATTTCAACTGAAGGTGGGCATGTTACTGAAGCAGAGACTTGGGAGGCAAGACTGGCTGCTGCAGATCTATTTAGAAAGGTGGTGCAACACAAGAGAAAATTTTGGTCAGCTGTGCAAACCTCAAGCTTTCAAAGAATTGGTGAATAGCCCGATTTCTGTTATTTTGAAGAGAATAAAAGTCCTCGTTCCTCTACAAATTGCTGAAAAAGTATTTTCCTAAGACTTTTATCAAAACCAAAGATAATCCTGCTGGTCAAAACATGTTCCTCTTTACATCCCATTCCAGCTTTGAAGTCAGCAACAGAACACGGAATGCAGCTTTATTTTTCCATCTTTAATCTTTTCCCTACCTTTCTCGACATCATGCAGGACATTCCCATTTGTTAATATCCTCTTCCTGCAGTTTCTGAGTAAAAAAAAAAAGTATGTTTTAACTTAATGAACAGCTTTTCATAACAGCTTCTTTAACAAACACTATTATTCTCCAAGCGCTTTCATGAGGAAGACTGCCTTCACTTAAGAATAAAATCCCAACATCCGTCAACTGTTTGTACATTACTTGTGCAAAGTCTGGCCATCCATGCATTATTCACATTTTCAAAATGCCCACACACAAGCCTACAAAAATGCAGCTGTGTACATATTCCCCTTCAGTGCTTTGCATTCTATCCTGCCCTGTCCCTGACATCTTTTGCAATACCTACAACACTCCCTAGCATTGCTTACTAGATCGTTTTCATATGACCATCTTCTTGTAATATCCATTGTAACTGATGGGTATTTTGTGGTTTGCTATGTTATATTGTTTTGATTGGTTGATTGTATTTGTGGTATCTTTCTTTTGTATTAATATGTTGTTAACCGCTTTGGAGACCTTTGGGCCAAAAAGCAATGCTGTATATAAATAAAACACAACACAACTTATACTGTCTCAGCCATCCTTGGCATGCAGAGAAGCGGCCACTGTGTTTAAGTTGTTACACAGCTGAGATGCTACTAGCATTACATTTCCCATTCTATGTGCGTCCACTTAAGACACTGAGGACTGTCAAGCACCTCCTGCATCTTTGACCTGTGGTACATCCACAGGCAACAGCAGAAGAGAACTTACTGCACCAAAACTGCATCCTGCTCTTACAGTTAATTGCTCAACCACTATTATTTTAGGCAGAGCGGACTTTTCTAACTGCCTACATAACCAAACAGGTCAATAGTTTTCAGTTACACTGCTGATATTTCATCACACACAGGATCCCTATGTCACCTAATTATAACAGCTTACATATAACTTCATGAAGAATCTGTGAAAATCAAACACTGAGCTTCTATAAAGTTGGAGGGACGCAGTTTAGTATTCCGTAGAGGATGGAAGTGATATTTCCAGTTAATCCTCACTGCTTTCAAGCATGATTACTTGGAAACAAGTTCGTCTGAAATCAGTGAGATCTACTTCCAATATTTACTGGCATTGTGGGCTGTAGAGCAAGATAAGGCATTACTATACAGTGGAAAATAACAATTCGGGAGAGGGGACTATAATCCTAATATTTTTATACTGTGCTTTGTTATGTATGGCGCCCCACCCCCACCCCGCAATTCACCAGGCATTACGCTCTGCTAGCAAGAATACATGCTAAGGTGTAACCTATCTTTGTTCTTAAAAGTTAATCGGGTATTAAGATGGTGCATCTAAACCTATTTACTAGTATAAATTACAGATAAAAACAAAAATTCCAAGCAACATCCATTTCTGCCCTCCAATCTAGTTTCTTGTACATTCCTTTTGTTTACAGTCTATTAACCAAACATCAATGGTTGTTCCAGGATAGCTTTTGTTCCTAGCATCAGACCACCAAAGAATTAAGATTTCACACTAAGCTTCCTATCAACTATGATCTTTAGCAACTACCTTTAAAAAAAAATCCAAGGGTGAAGACTCTTCTTTTGGTATAGATTGCTTCCAATGCTGCTGGAGTGCAAGATCCAGTCAGCAAGGGCAATTGTGTAGATAAGCAAACTGCTTGGACTACATGACATGGTAGGATTCTATACATTAATTGTCTGATGTTCTCTCAATTCCTAGTCAATCTATTATTTGCTCTGACACCTCTTCCCAGTGTCACTCACTTCTTGCACCACCTTCCCAAAATGCACAAATCTAAATAGTCAGTCCACACCCACACTCAGTATTTGTCCAGCATTTCCAGTCCTGCAGAGTCTCCAACTTTCCAGTTAAACAAGGACTAAAATGAGGGTTAAAAACTGTCCAGCAACAGAGCACTCATTGACCCAGAATCCTTGAGAGACAATGCAATCAATTCTGACAAGGAAAAGCAATTATTTCAGTCATTCAAAGAAAATTCATTGATTGTTTAATCTTTTGCTTTTCAAGAGGGAACTGGGCATTCAAAGAAAACAGCTAGAATAGCTAGAATAGGAGCAGATCAAGGTTGTGTTCCAAGCTTATCTCTGAAGGGCAGGGGAATACCTATGTCAGTTTCAAAATGAAGGGATGAAAAGTGAGTGTGCATATACTGCTTTGGTAGAATATACTATCTTTTAAGAATACAGTACGTGTATGGATTCAGCAACATTAGTAGGTATCAGCTACGTCATTCAGTTTTAGCGAATACATTTTATCTATAAGCTGGGGAGAGGCTTGAATGATGCTGCTCAATGAAAGAGTTAATTCCTTGTCCTCCAATATTTTAATATACAATAAATGCTTCCTAGTTTGAAAGGCAGGCAGTTTATGAGTTAAAGTTACAGAAACACACTATCCCTGCATCAATTTTAAATTAGTCCCAACCAGACAGGGAATGTAGTCTATCACTGCAGGTGAATTAACCTAAATTCTTCACCTGGCTTATAAGCCTTATATGTCTGCCACCCATTTTGTTTCAAAAAAAGATGGACATACAAGTGAAAGGGAGAGGTTACACCCAGGAGTGCGTTAGGGAGAAAGCATTCATTTTTAATCAGATGGATGATTCTCGCTGGCACCAACCCATTTCAATCCTCTTATCCTTTTCCAACAGTCAATTTGAAGGCAGAAACCCTGCAGTAATTAGCTAGATGTTCGCTCTGGTATCACACAGAGAATGGCTAGAATGCTATTATTAATGTACCAACAAGAAGGGAGCAAAATGAGGCTAATATATGCTGTAGTAACAAGGCATTATCAGGGAGACAGAGACAGACAGAGAAACAGAAGTGATGGAATGAATATATCATACGATAACAAGGCTTTTGTAGTTACAGCTACGGAGGCAACAAACTGGGTTAATATAAAAATAAACAGAAAGATACTTCAAGTGCCCATAAGTGGAGGAAACGGGTTGCTACAAGTAGAAAGCCAGAACTCAAATCAGCTGTGGGGGGTGGGAAGAAAAGAGAACCAGGGGCCGCTCACCTCAGAAAAGATGTGAAAAGGGGCAGAGGGTATAACGGCAAATGCTATAGCTTGGCATGGAGGAAAAAATATGTGTATCTAGGCTGCAACCATCAGGGTCTAGTGGGGAGAAGAGGAAAGGCAGGATTCCTATAGGCAGAAGATGCCAAGGTGGAAAGAAGGGGCAACTGTGGGACCACATTTGTGTGAACGCACACATGGAAATCAATGACTCCAGGCACATTGTAAAGAGGAGTTCGCGGAAGGGTGTGACAGCTGTGCATGCTGCAACTATTAACATTGCACAAAACAGTGTACAGTACAAAGGTTAGTATGGATTATTCGGTGGGGGGGGGAGCAGAGAAAAAGGTGGGTTGCAATAACTGCGCTTTATAAACCAGGAGATGCAAAGAGTAGAAAGAAGGCAAAGTCGTGAACTACTAGTCCAGGTAGCCAAAAGAAAAAGAGGTGTAAATTCCGAATATTTAGAGGGGAAGGGCATAAGAGGTGAACAAAATGGGCTATATTGGGGGGTGGGGGCGGGGAGGTAGGCAGATGCAAAAGGACGTGGGCGCGGGACCCACCTTTTTGGATCGGGGGGGTCGTTATTCTGGGGCAAGGCGATGCTTGGTCAAGGGGGGGGGGTCCCAAGCGGCGTGTGGACACCTGGGCGGGCGTGTAAGGATAACGGGTCGGCTTTGGGCCTGACAGGGCAAGAAGAAACCAGCGATCCTGGAAAGAAACGAAACGCGAAAGGGATGCTCAGGAAGGATGGCGAAGCCGGGGAGGGAGGGAAGGAGCCCAGAAATAACCTGGATTTTTTGGGGGGGGGGCGAGGCATTCGGGGGGGGCCCGGACAGGTGGGCGTTAATGGAAAAATGGGGCACCCCCCCTTCCCCCATCCGAGCGACCTTCCCTCCCCTCACCTGCCATGGCTGGAAGCGGCTGGAAATGGCGGCGGCCTGGGGTGGCTGCGCTCCCTCGCAGAGCGGCGGAGACTGAGGGAGCGCGAGCGAGGGGACTTGGCGGCCGAGGCATGGAAGAGGAGGAGGAGGAGGAGGAGCAGGAGGCGGAGGAGGAGGTAGGACGCGAGGGCGGGCGGGCGGGCAGGCGAGCGAAGGCCGCCCCCTCCTCACAAGATGGCGCCTTCCGCCGCGGCCCCTCGGGCAGCGCGGAAAGAGCGCGGGCGGCGCCGGCCTTCCTTTCTCGCGTCTCCCCCCCCCTTCTTCTCCGGGGTGATGGCGTCGGCGGCGTCTCGGAAGCGGCGTCGGCTTCTTCTCCCCCCGCGGCCCCTCCGCGGCTTGGAGGGAGGCGGCGGCGCGGCAGGCCGGGGATGGAGATAGCGCCGCCGCCGCCTTTGTTCTTCTCTGAGGAGGCTGCTGCGCTCGCTGCTCGTTTTCATAAACGGATTAATCCATATGCTGTGTGTGTATATCTCTATATATTTCTATCTTATCTATCTAAGCGATGTACATGAAACGGTAAAACCTATTTCCCATAAAATCCTCGGAGTGGAATAAACGAACCAGTGGACATGCCTAGATTACTTATTCGGACAGGATATATTATTATTATTATTCATTGAATTTATATGCCGCCTTATACCCGCAAGTCTATCCAAATACGTTAATTCGACCATATTTATTTTTTTCCTGTATTTTTATACAGAATATGTTCATATGGGTGTGAGAGGGAATTTATTATTGCTGCTGTTATTTGCCTCAGCCAACTATTTGCCCCGTCATGTGAGGGGGGCGGTAGCTCAGCAAACCCCCAAAGGAAACTTGGCCGACAAATAAGAAAACGAGCCAATTGTTGTCTTATTTCCCCTTTTCCATCCTCTCAGGGCGAGTTTCTTCTGAGTTGTGGTGACAGGTAGAAATGCAACAGGTTCAGCTCCCCACCCCACCCCCACTCCGTGTGACGCTCTCACAGGTCCTCATGGTTCTGTGTCTCAGGAGGACCCCTTAGCTTAGCCCCAGCACCCGGGTGCCTGCCGGCTCTTTGGGACTACAACTCCCATCAGCCCCTGAATCGTATAGGTGGGCTGATGGGAATTGTATTTTTTTTAAAAATGATATTTATTACAGTTTCAGAAAAGAGTACAAAAATAAGAAAAAGAAAAAAAAGAAAAAAATACAAAATACAGAAAAATAAAAACACTTAAAAACAAATCAATCTTTCCATGTCTTGTCTTTCGTTTACTTGTTTCCCTGACCTCCTCACACCTCCCTTTTTTGTATTCCAGTTCAATTAGTTAATTCAGCAAATCCTTTCCCTCTTTGTTTTTATCTTAATCCTTTAACTTAATATATTATAACTTTAGATTCTCACCTGTTAACAATCCATTTTTACATACTCCTTTGTAACATTGCTGCTAAAACCACTTAACTTCATTCCGACATCATTCTAACATTCCTTAATTTTGCAGTATTTCTGTAAATAGTCTTTAAATTTCTTCCAATCTTCTTCCACCGACTCTTCTCCCTGGTCTCGGATTCTGCCAGTCATTTCCGCCAGTTCCATGTAGTCCATCACCTTCATCTGCCATTCTTCCAGGGTGGGTAAATCTTGTGTCTTCCAGTGCTTTGTGATGAGTATTCTTGCTGCTGTTGTAGCATACATAAAGAAAGTTCTGTCCTTCTTTGGCACCAATTGGCCGACCATGCCCAGGAGAAAGGCCTCTGGTTTCTTCAGAAAGGTATATTTAAATACCTTTTTCATTTCATTATAAATCATCTCCCAGAAAGCCTTAATCCTTGGGCATGTCCACCAAAGGTGAAAGAATGTACCTTCAATTTCTTTACATTTCCAACATTTATTATCGGGCAAATGATAGATTTTTGCAAGCTTGACTGGGGTCATGTACCACCTGCATATCATTTTCATAATATTCTCTCTTAAGGCATTACATGCCGTAAACTTCATACCTGTGGTCCATAACTGTTCCCAGTCAGCCATCATTATGTTATGTCCAACATCTTGTGCCCATTTAATCATAGCAGATTTCACCATTTCATCCTGAGTATTCCATTTCAACAGCAAGTTATACATCCTTGACAAAATCTTAGTTTTGGGTTCTAACAGTTCTGTTTCCAATTTTGATTTTTCCACCTGGAAGCCAATTTTCTTGTCCAAATTATATGCCTCCATTATCTGATAATAATGAAGCCAATCTCGCACTTTATTTTTTAATTTTTCAAAACTCTGCAATTTCAATCTGTCTCCCTCTTGTTCCAGAATTTCCCAATATTTCGGCCATTTGGCCTCCATATTGAGCTTTTTCTGAGCCTTCGCTTCCATCGGTGACAACCACCTTGGGGTTTTATTTTCAAGTAGGTCCTTATATCTTATCCAGACATTAAACAGTGCTTTCCTGACAATATGATTTTCAAATGCTTTATGTGGGGCTGATGGGAATTGTAGTCCAAAACACCTGGGAGTCCACCAGGTTGGGAATCACCAGCATGCCTGCTTGTGGGCTTCCCACTGAGGCATCAGACTGGCCGCTGTGGGGTACAAGGTGTGCTTGTACCAAAGCTTTTAAGAGGTGGCCTACCTGAGTGGGGGTGAAAAAAGGGAACACCTCCTGGAAAAAAAATTTCTGGGTTCATGGTAGCACCTGACTACGTATGGTTGGGTCTACAGTATGTTGGTTTTTTAAAAAAATATGTAGGGCACGTTTTGCCTGGTATTATAGGAATTCTAAGGTCTCATATGGGACGCAGGTGGCGCTGTGGGTTAAACCACAGAGCCTAGGACTTGCCGATCAGAAGGTCAGCCCCACGATGGGGTGAGCTCCTGTTGCTCGGTCCCTGCTCCTGCCAACCTAGCAGTTCGAAAGCACGTCAAAGTGCAAGTAGATAAATAGGTACTGCTCCGGTGGGAAGGTAAACAGCGTTTCCGTGTGCTGCTCTGGTTCACCAGATGGCCACATGACCCGGAAGCTGTACGCCGGCTCCCTCGGCCAATAAAGCGAGATGAGCACCGCAACCTAATGGTCAGGGGTCCCTTTACCTTTTACCTTAAGGTCTCATATGTATAAATCATATGTATGTATTTGCCTTGTTGATTTATGATCATAACTATATACACCACATGTCTGAAATAGTATAGGAGGAACAGTCATGAAGCCATTTTGACTCTTCCAGCCACCTCAAAAATTCTCTGCAGTAAGGAAGGAAATGGGGAAACCTCCCCATTGTCTCTTTGCTCACAAATCCTGTCTTAAGGGCGTATTGTGTATGAATAGGGTGAGCCTGTGACCTGGATTCAGGAACTAAGTATTTAGCATCTCAAAAGGAATGGCTAGGCTGCCCAGGTGAAGCAATCAAGTGACCATTATCAGTATCCTGCCAGACAGGATTTATGCTGTAGCCTGCCTCCTTCCGTGATGTATGTATGATGTTTTGGGGGGTGGTCTCTGGCTACAGCGTGGGCAACTTCAAAAGTCTATAGAAGGGCTTGCGCACCATTGTTCTGGGACTGGGTCCTTCCTGACTCCTGCAATGGACCCTCCGGATACAAACTTAATTTGTTCCGGGGGTCCATACGTATCCCAAAAAGTCTGCATCTAGAGACGCCGCTTCTGCGTGCACATGCGGCGCATTAGAGCGCTTCTGCGCATGCGTGCGCGGCGAAACCCAGAAGTATACACTTCCAGGTTTGCTGCATTCGCAACCCGAAAGTTACATTACCCGAAGGTAACGTAACCCAAGGCTCCACTGTATTTTCTGGTTGGCCTCTGTTATTTTCTCCTACCGACAGAGAACCTGCTTAACGACTCTATACGGGCTCTTAGATATGCCACAGGGAGCAGTTTTTTTCTTATAACACTGGGAGCCATGTGTATACTCTCTTGAGTTACATGATGGAAGAAATCAAGATATAAATGTAATAAATAATACTGAGCAATACACGCATAGGATCATGCTGTAAACCTCTGGAACATTTTTTTGGGTGTGCGGGAGAAATGGAGGAAACATAAATAGAAGAATTTTTTTTTAAAAAAAGCAGGATGGAAAACAGGAAATGGGGAACAGAAGATAAGGAACTGGGTGCAAATTAATAAATACATAATAAGAAAAGAATTATGGAATATTAGTAGTAGTAGTAGTAGTAAGCATGACCAAAAAGAGCCAATTCACCTGACTGTGCCATTTTTTAAACATTTATCAATTCTGTTTGTTTTCATTTCAAGGCTTTTGCAGGTGTAAAAGAAGGGAGAACATGAAAAAATTTAAATTGCACAGAACAGAAAGACTACAAAGCATTTTCTTAATCAAATATTTCAATATTTATGGGGGGCACAAATGAAAATATCTATTTTACCAAATCACAGATGCACACAGATAAATCACCGCACATGTCAAATCTGGGCCCCCTTGAGAAGATGAAATAGTACTGTATCACTAAGATCATACAATTGAGACAAGAGCCGGCTGCTGTTCTCTCTTTTCCAAAAAGTTTAGGTTTGGCACTGGGCAGTTTGGAAGGGGAAACCTAAGGTGCATTCAGCTTCTCCTTGTATCTGGGGTCTCTGTGCTCCCATGCATAGCTTACAGAGGTATAGGATGGCAGTTCAACTCTCTCCTTTGGAGTGCTTTCTTCTTGGAGTGCTTTGTTATCATGTCATTTGATCTCCAGAGGAAGCGAGTCCCTGGTAGCATTTGAAGTTTAGCTCCAGTCTTCTTGTTGGTACATGTGAACCAACTGACCACTTCAGAACTGTTACCTGCATTAGTTGCTTGATAAGTGTCACATTTCAAACCATGTTGCTTTTTCTCTCTAGAGGCTGATCTCTGCAAAAGAAACCATAGCATCTGGATCAGGCTTTGTCAAAAGAGCAGGTTGGTCAGTGACACAATCTCTAGCATTCTAGTTACAGGTAGGTAGCCATGTTGGTCTGCCGTAGTTGAAACAAAATAAAATAAAGAAATTCCTTCCAGTAGCACCTAAGAGACCAGCTAACTTTGTTATTGGTATGGGCTTTCTGAGATATCTGAAGAGGTGTGCATGCACACAAAAGCTCATACCAGTAAACAAACTTAGTTGGTCTCTAAGGTGCTACGGGAAGGACTTTTTTTTATTTTTTGTTTCAATCTCCAGCATGTTACAACATTCCACTTTGGCCTTCAAATCTTTGTTGATCTTTCAGTCATTGCAAATAATTTCTTGTTTGCCTAGAGCTTGACTGCTTTCCCAGTCTTGCTAAGACAGTAGAGAGAGCTCTGAAAATCAGATAAAGAGAAAGTGAGTCTGATCTTGTGCCTAGGGTATCCTGTGCTCATGGGATACATTAACACACTTCTCTGGGTCCCCTTCTTTCTGAAGGGGGTGTATGCAAGCCCAGTTAAGTGGAGAAATGAATGGGTTCCTTCCCACTGCCTGTGACAAACAGCCTACTGTTGCCCATAATAAAACAGTTGTCAGCCTAATCCTATGCATGTTTACCTGGGAAGGGAAAGGCCTATTAAGTGAGACTTAATCCCAGGTATATATGCATATATGATTATAGCCTTTACTGACTACTGCTCTCCTATGCCACTCCAAAAAAAGAATAACAGCAATAAAAACCTGAGCAAAATCCACATTCCTAATCTTCCTAATATTGTTGAGGGCACGGGGCAGGTAAGGGAAAGTTTCAATCTCAGCCATCCTAGATTTACTTGATTGCTGCTGGAATTTCCCTCCTACACCAGTAAGCAAAAAAAGGAAATATTTGAATAAGTGATTTGGCTGTTTATTTTACACATATTGCCCAATGACTGTCAGAGGATTCTGTTCAAGTTATATTGCTTTAGCAGTGAAAGCACCTGTAGCCATTGTTTGTATTTGAGCAGCCACAACCATGAATAATAGTGTACTGTAGTTTTCCACTGCATGGGGACTTTTGTATCCTTTTAATGCACGCCATCTGTAGTGTAGGAGGAGTTGTTTTGAATGCGTCTACACCACCATCTATGCAAACAATACCTTCCCACGCAGCGTGCTGTACCATTTAGTGGTGGGGTTTGTGTGCAGGTAGAATTATACTGGCATGAACTATACATAATTATATTAGACTGGAACTGCTTGTAGGCCTACCAAAAAGCAGTTACTACTGCACTGGAAAGTACAAATGT